TATGGAAGGTAGTTTACAAATGAATCCTGTAACCAGGAGTCAAGCAGGATTCATATGTAAGATAGTTTACAAATGAATCCAATCTTCAGGATTCGTGCAGGATTCATATGGAAGGTAGTTTACAAATGAATCTTGTAGCCGTTATTCAAGCAGGATTCATATGGAAGGTACGTAGTTCACAAATGAATACTGATCTTTTTGCAGTTTTGTACTGGAGTTTATCAACATTATCTTTAAGTTTTACATTAGATTGTTTGATAAGACCAGACTATATAAATGTAGTTTCCCGAATGACATTTATATTTAAAATCTTACTAAATCTCCCATGAAATTGCGTGCTTACATGGAATTTATAGCAATACGGAATGGCTAAAGGCAAAGTGGTAGCATAAACAAAGTCAAGCGTGTGGTTATCTTTAGCTCTTGCCACCCAACATATGTTTTATGTTTCAACCGTTTGTGTACGTGTGGTAACACATCCCCCCTCAAAAAAGAAATATGCCTCACAATTAACATGATATAGTATAGCATTGTACATGCCTTGATCTGATCTTATTCTAAAGATATATAGATGCCCTATTTTAAACTTTACATAAAAATTGTACATCTCCTATGAGAAAGGGGACACATTCGCCATATTAAGTAACATCACTTTTATAGGCTTATAGCCCCTATAAACAACGGCTAACTAATAGATTCATTACTTTTGATATAATGTTCACTTACTGTCTAATGCATCTAATGAAATAGATTAAAACATCCAGGTAAATATACAGTCGACCCGAAGGTATTTTCTAAGCACAATGGTAAAATCCAGGTAATGGACTTTCATTTCTGAGAAACACATTAATATTTTAACAATGAAATGTGATGTAGATATAAAGGAAATGCTTTGCCGCTCAGTGATTTTTTACTAGAACATGTCTCATTAGTAAATTAACACTAACGATCACGAACATAGGTCTTTTAAAGGTGCCGACCTCCGATGGGGGAAGACAACAATCATCCAGATTAGCTTAATTCAGGTGATTTCACATTCAGTATGCAATACAAATGAAGGGTTGCTAATGACCTCAAATGTCCCGATGTCAACCCAAACCACAGAATTTCTGACAAAAGCCTTGAACATTATTTCTCCTTGAAAACATTATCAAATCCAAGAAGAACCATCTTGTCACTTTTAAACTAAAAGCCAATTCATATTCTCTGTAAATAATTGTCCATATGTCTTTACTTTCAAATTATAACGCCATCTGACAGATTTGCACGTCTCAGTTGGCTGATTGAAGAATATATCATTTTGGCAGAATATATTACATTGGGTATCAACGTGTTACCAAGACACTTTTTTCTGAAGCAAAACGATCTGCCTTTTGGAAGCAGATTTTGGGAAGATATTTTGTTTTCTACATCAAAAACGATTCAATCTACGATTTTCTCCATAATATTGGGTGTGTATGGTAGCGCATCAGCTACTATTTCGAGAAGTATAATTAGTTTTTCATCTTACTTCATTGCGACACCGTATGCAATTTGAGTTCCTCGATTTTTGTAGCAAAGACACTATAGGTATAAAAGCGAGGAGAAAACTGCAACTAAGCCATATTGTGATGACGTGGGGTGGTAGTTATAATACATTTTGAAATTGGAGAGCATGCGCTTATTAGACACATACAATGGAGAAAATGTTATAAGTTGTTGAATGATTTGAATGCAATACAGGATACACTCTCTGCTCTGGAGAGGTCAACAATTGTATACTGTATTGCGCTACGGAGGTGGTCAATGGGGACAATCCCAGTAGCAATGCAGATTGGTACAGTACGAACTTACCAATCAGAGGGCTTCGTTTTATAGATCATACGAAAAAATGAAAAAATAAATATATTTCACTCCTTTTTTATAACATATCGTCTTTGAGGAATCTACTTGAATATCTAATGAGGAAAATGTTTGCATGGGTCTATTGTTCAAGAAATTGGTTGACCTGAAAACAAAATATTTTATCAAAATTCGCCACCTGAAGGTTGAAAATCTTGTTCGAAAAACAGTAAGTAGAAAGACATTTCGTCGAACTTTGACTTGTAATAAGAGACATATTTCGACCCAAAAGCCAAAAGTTTTTTCAGCAAGCTGTATTTTAAAAGAACCAAGATATATGGACCTTATATATTGGTTCAAATGACACAGCGCAACATTGTGCAACGAATTCTTCCGGAGTCATATCATGGATTGTGTAGCTAGCCATATACAGTACATGACGAACAAGCTAAGATATTTGCATATGGTCAAACAGGTACAACATGAAACAATTCTGAATTATTAATAAGCAATCTATACCGATAAAAACACGAACAAAACTACTAAATGTACAGGAATCATAAAACCAAGAGATACATCGAGCAGCGCAGGTTTTATCCATCTAAAAGATCAGCAGTATAAACAATATGATGTAGTCCATGTCTGAAAGGTCAATCAATTGTTACACTTCTTGTGGTGTAACACAAGGAGCAACACACACGTTTGATAGGCAATATGTATATATATATATACAGGGTGGGCCAAAACTTTTTTTCAAGACACTATAACTTTTTATTTTCCAACCTGTATACCCCAAATTCTGCAGTTATATAGTGCCAGGGGTTCTGAGTAATAATAAAATGTAACAAGCCCTTCAACTTGAATTATATTTGATCTAAAAGAGGAGTTCAATTGGTCCGCCACCCTCTTTGATGATCGCTTTTAGTCTTAGTTGCCTTGCTGATATAGCAGTATCGGTGAAATGTTAGCTAAGTTTCTTTCAACCTGTCTTAATTGTCAGCTTTAGTTGAGCAAATTTCAAGCTTGGGTGCCTTCATACAATCTCCTGGAGACCTTCCCATACCCTATACTCACTGGGGTTTGCATCGGGACTATTAGCCCAGATTTATAGAGTTCAGAAAGGAAGGAAGGGCTAAGTCATCCAAGAAGAAGATGAGCACCGAACTCCCTTCCACTCTATCTAAAGCATCTGACTGGGATCTCCAAGTTGACATCAGGAGAAAGCTAGTATTCCCCCAGTATAGAGTTGTGACCACACAGAGACCAGATATGGTGCTTCTATCTATGAAAAGCAAAACCATCGATCTTACTGTACCTTGCGAGGAGGGAGGGTGAAATTGAAATCCAGTGGGTGAAATTGCAGGCATCACGCAGTTGAAGAAGGTTGCAGAGGCTAGGCTTTCCAGCTGCCTCCCTACGCCACATGTTAAAGGACCTGGGAATACGGTCCAGCCATCTTAGGAAAGCCATTAAGGATATCAGTGCCACAGCAGTCATGCTCACATTGGCTCTGGCTGTGGAGGAAAGAGAAGTGGACTCCAACGACAACATAGCAACCAACCCAATCCCGAGTACAAAGTATATCCCTCCGACTAGTTTCAATTAACGACCGCATGTGGAGTCTTATCAACTATGCAGGGGCAACCTCCATCCCCAATCAGGTATACTTTGGAGCGCCCCGAAACCTGAGGAGGAAGAAGTACTGATGATGCGACTTGTCCTCTTTATTGACCTTCCAACTCCCACCACCATCTTGTACGTATTGCAGCATAACATCATGACAACGATGCTTAATAAAACTATGAATTAATTTATGTCATTCCTAACCTGGTAATAATAGCGAATCCAGGTTCTAGGATTTATGGACTGACAATTGATGTTGAGCCCTAGATGACTATAATTACTAACAAACAAGGTTGTCTTGTAGTAGACAAGTCTCTGCCGAGGGGCCTTCTTTGACGTTTCCTCTGCCATTTTTCAATCGGTTTTCTTATTTTTTCCCTTGTAACAGAGTAAAGCCATACAGTTAAACAAGTGTTCCTTCCCTTGATGGATCAAGATCGAGTAAAGCAAATCGGAGAATAAAACTAGACTTTATTACGTGATGCTGTAAACGCAATAGGCCACTAATGGATGAGAAGAGAATGAGAAATCTGAGGAAAATACTAATGTATTAAGAACTCCTTCGTCAAATTAGACTTTCTCTCAAAACCAATATTTTAATGTTAATACTTATTTTTGCTTAATACAAATACTGAAATTGTATCCTTCATTTTGTGCATGTATATACATGACATTGTACATATCTGTGAGTCTGAAGGTCCATGCCTTGTGATTATCAAAAATGTCAAAAATAAGTTATACCCTCTGCATTCGTTCGACTTCTCTTCTCAAAAGAGAGCTTCGTCGTAGTGAGACTCTGTGCGCAGGGTAAAAAGAAGTCAGATCGTGAAAAAATTTGTGTTTAAATTTTAAGTAAAATGCAATAATGTCATATGTCCAATGTTGATGTCAACTTCAAGATGGGAGGAGTGCATAAAAAGAAACTATCCCTAATGGGATGCAATGCCTATTTTCAGCTATCCTATGAAAGACCAAAAATTGGTCATAAATATGTGATATTTAGTCCCTCGCTTTTGTTACGTTGACCATGAATGTTGCCAATGTTACAATATCATGAAGATCGTCAAGGTAACAAAAGCGAGGGACTAAATATGTGAATTGCGTCTTCGTTAATATACCAAACATAGAACCGCCTGCATATTCTCAAATTAGACTATCTTCCTTAACTTTGAGTTAACTCTTTGTCCACAACTTGACTCATAAGTGGTGTAGAATCGAGATATAAAAATATCTTACTGAAACGAAGTCCGGAAGTTCTTCCATCTTGTTACGCTGACGTATCGTCAGCGTAACTAAGTGATTACCAGTGTTATTAATTAGGTATTTTAGAGACAGAATTAAATTAAAGGAACTGAGACATATTTCACTGAATGTTAACCTTCAAAAACAATTGTTCATAAATCATCTTATTTGTCCAGGGATAACCTCAACCTGTTTTATCGATAGGCAACAGTAATTTACAAATGCATCTAATGGTTACTAGACTAAGTATTGTTCACAGGATTCAATCTATATTATCTTTACTATAGGGTATAATATTTAATTCATGTACTGACCTTTATTTCGTTATTCTTATTCGATGGACTACTTTCTCTTGGGATTCTCGTCCAATATGTGGTGTTTATACGTACACACCGCTTTTAGCTCCTCTGCAAAACAAAAGTCAATTTAAAAGGTAGTTCATTGTAACCAGAGAAAATGCACCCTATTCAAAATCATGGAGCATGCCAAACTTTTACTTTGGTGTCATGATAATATGATTTATAGGTACCATGAATCTGATCTTCTAGTTTAATAAGCTCTACAAAGCTCTACGGATCGTTCTATATTTCTGGTTAAATTGTGACATTTCTGACGCTGTCTTAGGGAGACCACTATGAGCTCTAAATTACTACTTTCGATATTCAATTAATTGTACATTGCAATTATATTAAATACAAATTGATCTTGAATGTCAATGTTCATATTCTGGCAATTGTGTTTCGTTCAAGTTTGATAATCAAATCTATAATTTGATATCGATTAGAGTCCACCGGTATCCCACAGAATAATACATAACATAGAATAAGAAATATTAAACCCACAGATAGGTATTAGATATATAAATACCTAGCAACACAATAGAATGAATTATAGATGATTACATTTTTTTCTCTTGTTTTTTAAAGAATGGACATTTGGCAAGCTATCAGAAACTAGTATTTCATGTTGCTACCTACAGTATTGAGTAAAGCTTACTTTAAAATATCCTCAATGTTCAATGTCTCCACTGTACCTGGAATAGTTGATGCAGTTCACTGAAGCTGCACTTATTACACTCTACTCGCTCATATATATCTATCTTCTATTGACTCTTTAGATGGCATATCATGACACTCGTATTAGTCACTAGGTAGAGCAGTTCTTCCCTTTGTCAAGTTGAAGAACTGGTATCTTTATCCTGGCTAGAACCATAGACAATACATTTGTGAACAGGATACTCAATCGGACGGGCGCGGGCCGATGAATCTGAGCAAATGTTACCCAGGCATTAGATAAACCATTCGTACAGGCTTTTAGAAGAAATAATGACATTGGACCTTCGGCCATTATTTAACCGAATGGCAGGTACTCATGGTTTATCAATTACAAAACTTACAAAGATTGAAATGTGTCTAACCCCTATCACACCAAACTAGTTCTTACTCGTTCTTGCCAGTCCTACGAAAACGTCGTAAAACGGGCTCAATCTGGCTGTGGTCGGGAAATATGTCTGAAATAATTAGCTTCTTCGTTCTTAAACAGTCTCCAATACGTCCATCTCGTTCGCACTTCGTTCAGGTCGCACCACGTCGGTGTGCAACGTCGTAGAACGCGTCCCTTAGTCTAGAAGGTCAACATGACCTGATTACAGAACGGTATGGTCGCCATCGAATTTTGAATCGATTCAAAATCGAAAGTTGCAGCTACGTTCATTCCGTTCGCACACAGTTTAAAACCAGTTTTGAAGAACGCAGTGGCAACTTGTTTGGTGTGATAGCTATATTTTTGCTAACTCGTTAATAAGCAATGTTAAATACGTTCTTAATCAGTTTAAACCCGTTTTCTTAGAACGTAGTGAGAACTAGTTTGGTGTGATAGTAGGGTTAGTATTTCTATTTGTTCATTTGCTTCATTTACCCCCCTATCACACCAAACTCGTTCTTTCCCGTTCTTGCCAGTCCTACGAAAACGTCGTAAAACGGGCTCAATCTGGCTGTGGTCGGGAAATATGTCTGAAATAATTAGCTTCTTCGTTCTTAAACAGTCTTCAATACGTCCTTCTCGTTCGCAGTTCGTTCAGGTCGCACCACGTCGGTGTGCAACGTAGTAGAACGCGTCCCTTAGTCTAGAAGGTCAACATGACCTGATTACAGAACGTTATGGTCGCCATCGAACTTTGAATCGATTCAAAATTCTAAAATCACATTCCCGTCTGAGAACGATCATAAAGTTCGTAAATAGACCTTAGAAAGTTGCAGCTACGTTCATTCCGTTCGCAAACAGTTTTGAAGAACGCAGTGGCAACTTGTTTGGTGTGATAGCTATATTTTGCTAACTCGTTCATAAGCAGTGTTAAATACGTTCTCAATCAGTTTAAACCCGTTTGCAATTAGTTCTACCTCGTTCTCAACACGTCCTCAGACAATTCAACTCGTTGTTAAAACGTCCCTAGTAGGATTGAAGTACGACGGTTCCGTTCGTAGTACGTCCAGCTCGTCGTTAGTACGTTGTCACTCGTTCTAATTGTAGAACGTGACGACCACGAGAACATTTTGAGCATTGTCTAAGTTCTAGAGGACCTACCCGTTCGAGTACGTTCGATGAAGTTTGTAAATAGATCCCAAACGGTTCTTAGTAGGTCCAGTCCGTTCGTACACAGTTGAAGCCCGTTTTTGAGAACGTAGTGAGAACTAGTTTGGTGTGATAGTAGGGTAACCTTACTATCACATCAAACTAGTTCTCACTACGTTCTCGAAAACGGGCTTCAACTGTGTACGAACGGACTGGACCTACTAAGAACCGTTTGGGATCTATTTACAAACTGTATCGAACCTACTCGAACGGGTAGGTCCTCTAGAACTTAGACAATGCTCAAAATGTCCTCGTGGTCGTCACGTTCTACAATTAGAACGAGTGACAACGTACTAACGACGAGCTGGACGTACTACGAACGGAACCGTCGTAGTTCAATCCTACTAGGGACGTTTTAACAACGAGTTGAACTGTCTGAGGACGTGTTGAGAACGAGGTAGAACTAATTGCAAACGGGTTTAAACTGATTAAGAACGTATTTAACACTGCTTATGAACGAGTTAGCCAGAATATAGCTATAACACTAAACAAGTTGCCACTGCGTTCTTCAAAACTGGTTTTAGACTGTGTGCGAACGGAATGAACGTAGCAACTTTCTAAGGTCTATTTACGAACTTTATGAACGTTCTCAGACGGGAATGTGATTTTAGAATTTTGAATCGATTCAAAATTCGATGGCGACCATTCCGTTCTGTAATCAGGTCATGTTGACCTTCTAGACTAAGGGACGCGTTCTACGACGTTGCACACCGACGTGGTGCGACCTGAACGAACTGCGAACGAGATGGACGTCTTGAAGACTGTTCAAGAACGAAGAAGCTAATTATTTCAGACATATTTCCCGACCACAGCCAGATTGAGCCCGTTTTACGACGTTTTCGTAGGACTGGCAAGAACGGGTAAGAACTAGTTTGGTGTGATAGAGGGGTTAGGTAACAAAGGTCTGTACTACGTCCCTTTCTCCACAATGTTTCCTATTGGGGTGTGCTGCACACTGTTATCCTATGTAAAGCAATTATCATCTGGCATATCACCGTTAATTTCTATGGCCGATTACAGCATTGAATATGTCTATCATAAGTAATCTGACTAATTAATTCTAACATAGGGTTCGATTCTGATTCTATCTAGGTCCGTAAGGCATACTGAATGCGGGTTTTCCAGAGTTACTCATTCTTCATCAGTAAAGTTACCCACACTGGTAGACCTCGTGAAATTTGGCATAGAAATAACATATTTTTGCTCTATCAAAACAAGAGTTGACTGTGAACATTTCCTGAAATCCTCTGGCATCGCGCAGAGGCCAGTTGCCAATTCAATTGTGAAGAACTGATGAAGTTTGCAAATTCTGAATAACTCCCATAACGTTTTATGAATTTTGAACTGTTACTAAAATGTAATCAACGTTCAATCCTAAATCAGAGCAACACATAAGTAAAACTATCACTCATTGTATAACAATGTCATTTTGATTTTGAATACAATAAGCGTCCCAGACGACATTGACCTTTACATGCCCACATCATTTAAAGCAATGTACACGTATATAGAAAGGCACTAGTATAAAGATACCGTGTAACACGAATTTGAAGACACATTCCGGATAGTACAATGCTACTACCAAGTTATCCATTTTCAAAAGAATATCACAAAATAATGTCGTATATTTTACGCTCTCCACCAAAATGTAAGCAACTAGAAGTTCCCGTATGGGTCATCTGTTGAAGCGTCATTATCATTTATTATCGAATTGACAATATCCATCAAAACGAAACATTTCCTTCCCAGTGTAATTAAAAACAAACTTAAGATTCAGAGACAAGCATGTAATGGCGTCTCCAAAGAGTTTCGAAATATTTTAAAAGAGTGCAATGTCGTCCCATTCGAAAAGTTTATTTCAATTGTTGTATCATTGGTATAAGTACTACTTCGCATCGTATACTGTTACACTTTCAAAACTTTTACAACAGCATGAGTTTGGCATCTCGATCGGTTATAATGAAGAACAGATAGAGGTTTTGTCAAGTCTGGAATTTTTTTTTGGAAAATTAACAGCTAACAACTACAGTAAATTAACAATGCCAATACCATAATATTAATTGTACTATGTAAAGTACTTGTAAAAATATATGCAATCGTTCTTTAATCCGACTTAGTTCTACTATAGTATTCCATTATATATTTATAGCATATAGCAAGAATTCGTATACATACTGCAATGTTGGTATAATCCAAAATGGATTTTGATTACTATGTAGTATTTATAAAGAAATCAAAATATAAAATGCCACAAAGAATGATCAATCAACAATAAATCAAGTAAAATGCAACTGAGTCAAAAAATCCTAAAAATATTAATATCAATTAACTCGCGCTGACCTGTGTAAATAGAGCAATTAATGAATGTGACCATGATGTGTTATTTCTATAAAGTGACAGATTTTTTCAGATAAAGATCAACTATTTTGATGGAATGTTTACAAATCACACTGGTACAGTATATACACCTATACTATTAAGTACTTGTTTGTTATGAATACGGTATTCTTCCCTAGGGCCTACGAATATTTAATTTGTCGCCTGGTGTACTGAGTTCGTGTTGTGTTAACGCATGTACGGCAGCCCAATATCAATTATTTAACTACTTGCACACTGTTACCACATGAATACAGCTGACAACTAGATGAATGATGGATGTAACACAAGAAACGTGTTATTAAAGTATTTTACAAATGTATCTTTTACTCACCTAACACGTTGTTAATAACACTCCTCACTTTAGTTTGTAATAGTAATTCCGAATGTTGTTGTTCCGTGAAAGGCAATCATCACGGGTACTTCCGAAAGAACGCGGTCCAATATTCAAAGAAAACAAAAGTGATCCCAGGATGTATTTCTCTCCGATCTGTCGTATTTGTATTTATTCAACAATGATACACAGAATGAAATCTGTTATATTAAAAGTAACAAGTTACCCGTGGCGATCTGTATACAAAGTTATTATTCCACGTATAATCCATTCATCACAAAGTGCTTTTGTTGCTATCTTGAATATTGCAGGTGAGAAGTAGTCCACGCTCTGAAGCAATCAGCTGTTTGAAGATGTATTGCCTGCAAAGTTTATTATTCTTTAAGACGAACAGGAGAACTTTATCTTGCAGTGTCCACCCTTCTATAATTTGTATTTGTAAATAGGCCACAGCGTTAAGTCTTAGACCACCGTATTTAATGTTTGCTATTATTTAGTTTTTACATGTGTCAGATCGGTGCAGTATTAATCATTTTGGTCGGTATACACAATATCCGTAAATAGCAAGATTTCGAGCAAGATTTGTAATCCTATCTCTTGGTTGTTTGTAACATGCAGACCAGTCTATATATCTCACTGGAACCGGGAACTGATCCTTATATATCAATGTGACATTCGACAACTAAAGCCCTGAAATCCGAGATGGTATACTTGTATTCCTGTAGCTAGTCTCAATGATAGGTTTCAATGTACATCGTGTTCAACCGTGCAGTCGCCAATGACGATTTTCTATAATAGTATACCACTTCTAAAATATAGGTGCTATTAAACAATAATTGTTGATTATTTAAAGGAGTATCAACAATGTCAGTAACAGAGGTTGAAATATTGGCAGATACTAGGTTAAGAAACCATTAACACAATAAATATGTCAATGCAAGATGCATTTATTTAAAGATCTAATAGCAAAGGTTTTGCAAAAATAAATCAATGCAGTGTAAAACAAATGTATGTATAATGAAGAAATAAATATTTAATGAAAAAAAATAGATATGTGTTTGTAATATTGGTATTAACTTAAGATTAAAAAGTGTCACTATCTCTTTCATTTTTCAACAAATATAGGCTCACGTGACATATGACGCGGGGCAGTCAATTTTGATCTATCGTAGACCATATCAGTATCAAACTGCCGATATTTCAACCTCGTCTTGCGAGGCCATTTTTATTTGAAACATCTTGAATTTGGTGTCAAAATAAAGCTGGTCACGCCCACTTTCAGAGTTATCAATGAATCATTTACTACGACTACTATATTCATTTAGGAGGCGTGTAAAGTTAACCAATCAGAAAGACAATTGCTCCATATATGACAGTTCATTAACATATTCAGTGTTTACTATTGTTTTTCGCGTCATGACAACACGAGTAGTAACCAATCAAAATGCCGTATTTTATCACGTGAGTTCAGAGTGACGTGCACGACATGTAAGTTTAGTCTGAGCTGATCGCGATGTTGAACAATTTCTTCTCGGAATTTGTCCAGAGAAATCAGCGATTCTAAATTAAGGTAGGATCTCCCATTTCTTCCTGTACAAGTTTTAACTTATCTCTATCGAATCCTAAAGTTTTGGATGAAGATATGAAGCATACGTTTAAAAACGAAGCGATTAATTTGACGATCTGATTTTGCAATTTGCAATGGCCAATTTACTGCAAGTCTGCGTGTATTTGACAAGAGATAGCGCCAAGTCTTGTATCCGAATGCTTGTTAAGCCACTCAAAAACAAGATCCATATTTTCTAAATTTGATAACTTTGCAGAGAGTCCGTTTTCATAACCTGTTTTCCGCGTCTAAATTCAAACTGAGTAGGATTATAGGATCGCTGGGATTCTCAGTCAATGGCAACGAGTCTTCACTCCAGAACGCACATTTTTTTAGTTGATTCTCCGTCATAGTACTTGTCTAAAGTCCATATCTGCTCTTTTACTGGCATACTTTGACATATTTCCCCTCCTTAAATTGTCCTCCTTAAATAACACCCTCTCGCCGATTTATATATAGCCATTTCCCAGAACCCGGGAGTCAGAATCGCTGATGTTTGCCATATTGAACATGTTGAAATATGTACTGTAATATCTGTAATACACACTACCCTACCACGTGACCACGTTTAAAAGGGAAACAGGGTACAGCTAAGTTGCAAATGGAGGACGTGGGTTTAATTCCATATTTCTGAACGTAAAATACATTTTACATTTATTTTTAGTGTTCTACCAGACATAGAATTGATTCATCAAGCAGTTTGTAGAATATTGTTGGCAAAAAACCACTATAGGCAAAGATAGATAATAGTGGACGCAGTGAAGCAAAACTTAATGCAATACACGATACATTTCAGTAAATCTGTCAACGTACAGGGAGCATGTAAGTTTCCCTTCGAAAATGTTACATTGATATGTAACAAAACCCCTGTAAACTGTTATTTAAACTGGTTGTCATCGTGTTATATGTGGATACGTTTTCCAGTATGTTATTCAACTGTACTTTTGTGAATTAATTGTTTTTCTAAAATCTTAAGATGCAAAATAGTCGTCCCAGAAATGTATCTTTACTTTGCCGTAAGGCATAACATATTGTGAAACATTTTTCCTCTTGTCACAAGGAGGATAATGTTTGTTTCGAGGTGTCTTGTGATGAGGGTTTCATGATTAAATGCAAAATCACTGGAGCAGATACCATCCAAAAACATCTGACATTCAACACGTCATCTAAGACTACATCGAGCTGGTATTAGTTTTTTTTTACAATAATAGAGAAATACGACGTCATATCACCTCTACAGCAAATCGTGAAGAACAAAATGTCGTGGCATGATGGTATTTTGAACAAACTATTTTAAATGATCGGTTTTTGAGGACGGTAGTGAATTAGACCATTCAAGGGGTTATATAGAAAGATTCTTTACATGTAGTTCACGCAATTTTAATTATTCTGAATAGCGGATAGTCATTAATCCTGATAGCCAATAGTCATTTATCACTTACGTGTTTATATTTAATTTTGTTATTTTATTTCAATGTGATACCCTAGTAACACGTATAATCTAGCGTTCTTGTTAATTTAATGACTAAAATGCATTTACGACCTGAAAGCCCGTGTCTAAATCTACTAAATAATGTTTACTTTATTTGGATTAAATAACAAATGATGACACCTCAAAGCATCAACAGGCGGCCTTTTTAGTATTATTTTCACCGTTTGCAACGTAAATATACATGAGATCGGGACATAGTATGTCTGTATAATCAGCTTACTTTCTCGCTCCCTGTACTAGTGAACAATGTACATTCCTTGTACCCTGTATTGATCAACTTTTGCAGCTGTGTACCGTGTACTATGACATATCAAATATTTTAAAATTTAAAACGATATTATTTACATTATTTCTTCAACTATCATATAACTTGGAACATGGACTTCACTATTGCACCACTGAAGTTCAGCGAATAGCAATATTGACTCACTCCGAGCACTAAACGTATTAACCTTTTCACTAAGCAGTCGATATACTCAAAAGCGACCTGATTGAAAGCCAAAAAATTCGCGCATGCGCTATCGAGGTAGGGTAGTGTGTAATACTAGGCATTGCCTGCTACGCGTAAGGGTCACGTGACTAGCGCGATACAGGAAAAATGGGGAATTTCGAAACAACAATTTTTGGGCACTTTTATTGCAAATTTCAGGTATTTATAAGTGTTTGTGGTATAAAATATAATCCACAGACATAAATGAACATCCAAACTACATATTTTATTACGTTTTGGAGCCTTTTTTGCTTTTAAAATGACATCTTTAAGAAGATCACTTTGTTAATCTAATGAATATTAAATCGCATTGATTAATTAACCATCATCCGACATTGGATGATAATGATGATGTTTAACTGATCGTAGATCGAACGTGTAGGATATTCTGAATTGAAAATATTTTTTGAAGTTTGAATCTTGATAACGTAGATAAAGATCTAGATATGACTTGATTAATAATCATAAGTCCATGTAACCATGACAAGTTCCTTTAACATCAAATATTCACGTGAACCCAAACCATCTGTTGAATAGGGGTTAACATTTGATATAATCTGATCTTTTTTGTATGACACGCGTTAGAACGTGTAGCATCATAGAATGAATCCAATAAATAACCAAGGGCGGCTGGTTTAGTCACCCCATGTTATAAGTGATCTTATCCCTACTTACCCTACGGGGAAAATATGTTTCGCAGCTAGATCGATGCGCCTGGTGTCTTGGGGATTTGCATGAGTTGGTTGTACTTTGTATAGGAAACAATTTTAAACCTACTGTTGATAGAGTGGTTCAAAAGCCTTACCGAAATAATTTCATTTGTTCACGTTCGCCTAAACGTAAAAAATATCGCCAAACCATGGGCTTTCAAGAGAGCCCATGGTCACACATAACGATACCAATTTTACTTGTCGGCTATGAGTATTTTAGCTGTACACCAACTTTTCTATCACATGTTTACATACAATTGTTCTCTATGCAGAGTACAATCAAGCCCATAGAGACCATCTTGGGTTTCCAAGGTATAATGTTTTCATATGATTGAAAATCAAACTGGGAAACGAGTATGATAGAGACTGGGCGCTGTAGTATCGTGCGCAGAACTACCTGTGAATCAGTATCTCCATTTCCGTATGGTAAGTCATTTTTACTGAACTTATCAGATATAGCGACTCAGTAGTAATGTAAACAAACCCAGTGCCACGGATAAAATCACAAGCATAGTATAGAGTGTAAAGTATGTTACGCGGTATATGGCATGCATTCATGGTTGCGCGGTATTTGTGATACGGGTGAATATGCCATACTCACCTGCGGTATATGGCATATACCGGAGGTGAGTATGCGATACATTGATTTCAGTGAATACCCGATACTCACCTGCGGAATATGTCATACTCACTTGCAGAATATGCCATATACCGCAGGTGAAAACGTGATACAGAAAGCCTTGATTTGATTGGTTGCAAAAATCGACTCTAAATGTAAAACTGCGCTCGATTAACAATATAGTTAGTGCGTCGAGTACTTATACATGAATCCTGGATTTGATTGAGTAAGTTTATTACGCGAGATTGGTGACTGATACTTCTGCTAAGTAAATATATTCGATAGTACTGTTGATTCAGTAATAATTATAATGATTTAACGTTTTACTTGTTCGTTCAATCGATGCAATTGACAATTGCGTACTTCCGTATCACGTTCTCATTGGTTAGTGTGTATGCCATATACCGCGGGTGAATCTGTCATACACCGCAAGTGAATATGCCATATTCGTTGCGGAATATGACATATTTTTGTATCGTGTTTACCGCGTAACAAAGTACGCCATTGCGGTTGTTATTAAAAGCTCGTCAATTCTCGTGAGACCGTTGCATTTAAATATTCTTACATTTGGTGATGGCTATAATAGAACAGACGCAGAGACATTGGAAAAATCTGGGCTGAAATTAAAATGAATTAAATGCAGTCAGTTTCAGCAGTAAAACAGTTGCAATTGAAAATCTAAACAAACGTTCTACTACTAGATATAAACAGTGCACTCAATTATCTTCGTGTCCCTGAGGACACATTCTACACCGTCTCTTCCTTAATAAAACCTGACACCAATATTTAACTATGGCTGCTAGCAAAGTGTATACTCATGGTTTATCTCATTTAGACGTCCTTAGTTATAGACAACTCATTAGTTGTTGGGAGCATATTGGAAACTGGAGATGGAAAAATAAGACTGTTGTTTTGAAAAAACTTATTTTAATAAATAAATACCGATTAAATGGATCCACTTTACATTTATGCGCTTGCTAAGAAACCTAGTTGAATGCATTGACTCACATGATTCAATCACACTTGAATACCCTGGCAACGGTAAAGTCAGATACTGTTGTCACAAATGGCGGACGTAATCGTCGCTTCAACTCTTTAATCACTTCGCTCTCATTTCATGGGACCTTATATTATCATCGCTGATTCTGTGCATGCATAGCTCTTGTGATGATGTATTATATGAAATCCCAATTTTGATCAAATGCGGTCGTGAATCGCCTCAATATACAGTCTGCCATATCCTCAATGACAACGGAATCTAAATTTCAAATAATAACAGAGAAAAAAGGATAGATCTGAAATACAGTATCCGTTGTCCCGTGTCATATTTTGATCGGAAAAATTAAAGGCGTTATTTCGATGGTAGAACATAATTTTCACTGATACAATAAGTAGAAAGACACTTTGATTGATCGTTGTATCAATGGAATTTAATATAGGTGCTCTATTAAACATGCAGTTTAATGAAAATGGAATAGAATAGAAACCTTTGGCCGCCATTTGTGACAACGGTATCTGCCTTTACCGTTGTCAGAGTATTCCGGTGTGCCGATGGCATGTATCCTATTTACAAGTACTATACATCATAATGTACAGTGCAGGCCCTATTGAACTATCAGTGCTGCTAACACATTTAAATGTATTTTTTATATGCCCAAGAGCGTCATTCATCATCGTCAAAATAGCAACCATCAGTCTTTAATTGCCCCATATAAAATTTAAACCACTTTTGGATAATGTTGTAGTCTTACCCAAAATGTGATATGTAAAAAATTTATTTCCAAAGGGTGTTTACTTAAAATTGTGTACTTATTTCAAATAATTATTTTGTTGTCACTAGCATCCTATTAATCAGTAAAATCTAATCAATTAATCAACTTGTTGAAAGTACGTAGCTTTTACTTGGTCTATCAAATGATTGACGTGTAAAAAATGTGTTTACAATTTAAAGTGTTATAACATTTGCTGGTAAAATGGCGGGAAATTCAAATGTTTGGAAATTCAAATACCAATAACTTTTTACGTCAATTTTTTCCAAAACAACGTTTCCGGTAAAAACTATACTAATAGATGGTTAAACAATATTGAATAAATAATATTATTATATACCCCATATGTATTCTAGATGCTCATTGGCTTATTCATGGTCACATGATATGAAATAGATGAACTAATTCCCTGCAAAGTTCTTAATCCCTGCTATCAGGGAAGATGAAATGTACTAATCACCAGTTAGGTCATGTGACCAGTCATTATTAGTATGTTTTATCTTCCCTGCTAGCTGAGAATATAGGACCTGTCAACATTAAATGTTGAAATGAAAAAACTTTTCATTAGCTCACATGGTGAGCTTTTGCAATCACTCACTCGTCCGTCTGTCTGTCTGTGCGTTTGTGCGTGCGTCCGTCCGTGCGCCCGTCCGTCAACAATAGTGGCACATTTTAAAACCTCTGTCGATAGGATTCATGTTTTAAGTTATTTCTGTTCAACATCAATACAGAAAACTCCCCTATGACTCCTGGTTCAAAAGCTCGCCTATTTTCAAAATAGCCATCATTTTTGTCTCTCAAAATTCACCTTTGAGCCATTTCCTAGCATTACAAATAATCTCACGTGTCCCGCATTGTAAAAATCCATGTCAATGTAAAGAGTAGTTTCAGCCATTTTAGTTAACATTGATTTGTCCATCTGTCTCGCGAAATCCACTTTTCCGTCAAAAACAGCGGGAAGTTTTAAAACCTCTGTCGATAGGGTTCCTGTTTTAAGTTATTTCTGTTCAACATCAATACAGAAAACTCCTCTATGACTCCTGGTTCAAAAGCTCGCCTGTTTTCAAAATGACTTTCATTTTTGTCTAGTGAAATTCACTTTTGACCCATTTTCTAGCTTTACAAATAATTTCAGGTGTCCTGCATTGTAAAAATCCATGTCAATGTAAAGAGTAGTTGTATGAAATAATTTTGTCACAAAAAATCAGCGAAAAATTATATCCATTTTTTTTTCAGCCATTTTAGTTAACATTGATTTGACCATCTGTCTCGCAAAATCCACTTTTGGACCATTAGCCTTAAAACCGCTGTCGATAGGATTCCCGTTTTAAGTTATTTTTGTTCAACATCATTACAAAAAACTCCCCTATGACTCCTGATTCAAAAGCTCGCCTAATTTCAAAATGGCCGCCATTTTTGTTCCGCGAAATTCACTTTTGGCCCATTTCCTAGCTTTACAAATAATTTCAGGTGTCCTGCATTGTTAAAAGCCATGTCACTGTAAAAAGTAGTTGTATGAAATAATTTTGTTACAAAAATCTGCAAAAAATCATATCCGTTTTTTTATTTTCTGCCATTTTAGTAAACATTGATTTGTCCAATGGTCTCTCAGTCAGTCCAAAATAGTGGCAAGTTTTAAAACCTCTGTCTGTCAACACTTTGCTCTTATTAAATCATCTGTAGATAGGATTCCCGTTTTAAAATATTTTTGTTCAACATCAATAAAGAAAAAACTATACTCCTGGTTCAAAAGCTCGCCTATTTTCAAAATTTCCACTATTTTTGTCTCGGGAAATTCACTTTTGGCCCATTTCCTAGCTTTACAAATAATTCCAGGTGACCTGCATTGTAAAAAGCCATGTCTTTGTAAAGAGTAGTTGTATGAAATTATTTTGTTACAAAAAATCGGCAAAAAATTATATCCGTTTTTTAATTTTCTGTCATGTTAGACATCATTCACTTTTTGAGCAACACCATGTGAGCCCAGTACCCACGGTACTATTTTATTTTATTTTTGTTTAAGAGTACATATGGGGTATACTAAAGAATTTAAGCCCAAGACGCAATGCATTGTTTGCAGAATCATACCATGAAGGTGTTGTTTCCAAACCTTTGCATGACCGCGCAGCTTTTGTCATTATTCATAAAACTTTTAAATCTTTTGCAAAATAAAACAGTCTTTTCTTGAAAATGATTCAGCATTTGAATATGCTCTTGCGATATGAATAAATCAGATAATATTCAAATGTCATCAAATTATCGACAGATTAGTAAGATTTATGACTAATATAAGCTTCTTTTTTTGCATAAGCCCTTACTTAATTCACGCTGTAATGATAGGTGATAAAACGTTAAGGAATAAATAATAAAAGAGTGAATTATTCGAAGATAGGAATTTATATACACTGATATCAAACGTTAAAAACATACGAACGTACTGCAGACAGGAATGATTTTAGCATATGGATTTTACCAAATTGTACTTTTTAAATCGCTGTTGTAACCTTTTCGTAACTCTTGTCACCGAGAATGAAACACTATAAATGACTAAAATACCACTTGTAATTGCAATTACGTGAGGGCCAGAACATTACCTGAATTTGTATAGCGGTAGATCAATCGAAAACAGTGTGAAATATCACGTCCCTGCCACCATACGTATTATTTCTTAACTAAAACACCATTTTTTACTGACCATATTTCAGTTAATTGCATATCCTTTCACCTCTTAAGATTGCAAGCAGCAATATACAAACATAAATGTTGCTGTTTTTGATATCACCCCTTTTCTTGTATATACAGGATCAAGCACCGATGGTTGAAATATGCCCGATACCAACATTTGCTTGGTTTCAAAATGCGAGCATGTAACAATATTATTTTCCTACCCGTTTTCCTACACCGGACGACAAATCATTGCCCATGGAATTTTCTTTGACTACATATGGTACGGAATACAGATTACCTTGGGACCAGCCCTATGTGCCAAATCGACAAGGCCTCATATAATAATTTGACTGTTTTCTATACCTATATTTATTATGTTCAAACAAATGAACTAACAATAAACGAACGTCTTTTATGAAACATAAAAGCGGACCACATCTTCACAGAATTTAATAGTCTAACAAGTTCTGTTATTATCATTCTTTGGAATCATTAAAAACTATTTCAACGACAATATACTTAATTTGTAGTAATAAAACAAATCCTGGATTGCACTCAGTCGCTCTTTATTTATTAGAAATTCCATGTCTAATGAAATCGAGTAGTCTCTTAACGATGATGGGCGATTTCTTTGTGCGTCAGTTTACGTAGTCTTGTTTTCCCAGGTGTTTCATTGATTTAGCTGATGGCTATAGTTCTTTTGATCCAATCTACATAACGCACAACGTTGGTGTAAATTCCTGGCTTGTTCTTCTCTGAAATCAGCAAATTGTGTCAGTTCGAGTGTCATAATCATGTCATTTGTTACCCAATATGCAAAATGTGTGTCATTAAAGTGTCAATGAGATGAACGATGAGGAAATTGTAATTAGGCTAGATAAGTCATATCCGCGGTGTTTACATTAGTGATTACCATGATTGTTAGATAGATCAACTACGGAATTCCATTTCAAAAATAAGAGTACAGCCTATTTTTTACCATAACTAATAGAGTAAAGAACTAATAATTAAAGTGCCAAAAATATACAGACAGTAATTGTGCAATCTTTTAAATAACGTTGTTAATGTGTCAGATGGTACAGCTTATTTCCAAAATCATTTATCGGATTGTCTCGACCATGAAAATTGGCATATTCAAAAAGCTTAAAATAGAGAACATGAACCTGAACATCTTTAGAGAATTATCGAATATAGGGCTGCAAATCAAGAGAGGCCTTGAGTGGATAATCAAAAACACTTCAACAGGTTTGTGACAGTCCTTAAAACACTTTGGCATTAATGATCTCCATTTGTACTCTTACATTTTGGCAAACAGATTAACACAAAAAGTAACAAGGCATTAACATGACAGAATGTCACCACCTACATGTAGATGCCCACAACAATAATATGAGTTCAATCTCAATCAACTATGAACTTCTGAGAACTTTTTTACTTTAAGAAGGTCATTGAAGGTCAAGTCTTAATCTAAAATTCAGATTTGAATTTCTGCGAAAAAATTGGTCAATTTGAAGCAAGTTGAAAAAAGACCTTTTTGACCTTGAGAAGGTCATTGAAGGTCAAATCTCAAATCCAAAGACAGTTTTGGCCTTCTAAGAACTTGTATGTACATGGTTCTGGAAAAATATTGTCAAAATGAAGCAAGTAAAAAAGACCTCTTTGATATTTTTGACCTTGAGAAGGTCATCGAAGGTAAAGTCAGATTTAAACTTCAAAGAACTTTTGCGTGATTTTGAAAAATTAGTCAATTTAAAGCAAGTTGAAAAAATACCTTTTTGACCTTGAAAAGATCATTGAAGGTCAAATCTCAAATCTAAAGTCAGATTTGAACTTCTGAAAACTTGTAGATGATCGTGAAAATCATTTGAAGCCAGTCTAAACAGTATTTGTTGAGTAATTGGAAATTGTAAGAATTTGTTACATACGCCAACTGCCGGTCACCAACCACCAACCGCTGTCACAAGAATGCAGGCCATAGCAATATTACACCACTTGGTGGTGACATGAAAATCAATTTTATCCAAACGAATGCACACAAAAGATAAGAATCAATTTTATCCAAAAGCCCATTTTTGATTATCCACGGCAAGGTGCATATTAAACGTAATCCAACAATTTGATACTAGTTTGATAGTATCACATGGCCATTCATTGGTTGTTGTCTCTACCTGGCATAGATTTAAAAAGTTTTTGCAGTTCTACTGTTTTTGATCATGCTTCTTAAAGATTATCGAGAAAACGTTATTTAAAAAGCTGAGTTTTGTTAATATTGTATTTTGGAACTCACTCGCCTTTATAATAACTGAAGACACTTGATAGGTATGCAACGGAACCTCCAATATCCCAAAACAAATATATGACGGATTTCAACCAGCATCCACTATATAAAACTGTACAATGGAACTCAACCGCACATCCACCCAAAGACACAAATGTATAATGTAACTCACCTGCGCATTCTATTCCCAAGGACATAAATGTAACTCACCATGCCAGCACATCATATACCAAATGACATAAAATGGGTATGTAACTCACCCGCACATCATATACCAAAGGACATACAATTCATCCGCATATTCAATACCCATGTACATAAATGTACATACATACGAGGGTTGTCCCAGAAGTAATGCACTATATGCTCTAACTTCATATCAATAATTGATATTTTTCCATGACATTTTCAGTGAATGTTCCTTAGAGACATTTTGATTATTCTACAAATTTTCATATTGACTGATAATACTATGTTAATTTTATAACAAAATCAAGTTGGTGAGTTTGGGTAGCGTGGGCCAGGTTATTGTCACGTCAAAAGGAATAAAAAATATGAAATAATTAATCAACAAATACCTCTTAGTGTAGCAATAAGAAGTATGCTCAAAAATACATTTTAAGATACTAAATTATTAGGAGCACATCCAAGACTTAATGGATGTACAAATGTATATTGCACAATGTCCCATTTCACATTTTCTCAAAATATTGCCCTTTGCATGTTATGTACTTTTAATGCATGTCAAATTGAACACTCTTAGCAATTTCCTCAACCATGACTTGTGGAGTTTTTGCCTCCCATGTTTGGAGTTGTCATCGAGGGTCCAGTCATCACATTTAAATCTCTTCTGCCACACCACAATTGTAGTTTTTTCTGGTGAATACTACTTTTATATTGTAGCATAAGGTTGTTTGGCTGTGAGTTCTAGTGAAGTATAAAATTGGGCCACCAAACGCAAGGCCTTCTGTTATTGCAGCCATTTTGCAATTTCTTGACCGTGACTGAATTTGAATTTGTGACTAATCACAGTGCTAAATGTCATTATTTGTACTTGATGAACATCATGCTGAATAAATTTAACAATTTCCCAAACATTTTGATCATTTAAAAGAAAGAAATATTAATAAAATAACACTTTGAGCTTTTCATAATTAGAAAAATTGGTACCTGCCCCGCCCACCACTACCCCCGTGTTGCTATAGCAACCATTTTAAGACTTAACATTTATGTATGATGCTGAAACTTCAGGATATAGGAGATAAAACTTCAATTGTTATATACATCAAAATGTAGCTGAATTGAAGAATATTGAAGAAAGTTGGAGAGCATATAGTGCATTACTTCTGGGACAACCCTCGTATGTGTTATGTAACTCACAAGTACATCCTATACCCTAGGACCCAACACCCTGCACCATTCATCTATTCTCCACCTTGCAGTTCAATGGTCCTCCACTATATATGTGTTATATAATTCATCCGCACATCCTATACCCAAATGACATAAATATATGTAACTCACCTGCACATCCTATACCCCACGACACAACTCCCTGCACCATCCATCTATCCTCCACCATGCGGTTCAATGGTCCTCCACTATTTATGTGTTATATAATTCATCCGCACATCCTATACCCAAATGACATAAATGTATGTAACTCACCTGCACATCCTATACCCCAGGACACAACTCCCTGCACCATTCATATATCCTCCACCATGCTGTTCAATGGTCCTCCACTATATATGTGTTATATAAGTCGTCCGCACATCATATACCCACATGACATAAATGTATGTAACTCACCTGCACATCCTATACCCCACGACACAACTCCCTGCACCATCCATCTGTTCTCCACCATACAGTTTAATGGTCCTCCACTATCTCCCTAAATATAACAATGGGCAAGCTATGTCTTCTATATTTTGCCAGTATAACTGGATTGCTTTTAAAGACATTATCAATTTCACAATGCATATCGTATCTAACAACTTTTATAAAATAATTTTTTGTAAATAATGATTAATTGACTTGCATTTATTGGCAGTCACGGCACTTTCTTAACTTATGAGATAAACTGTTTTTAGCGCAATGGCCATTAAAAGGCAAAAACCGTAAAATATCAGTGCTGAGTAAGTCATGCATGACAAAAATAGATAATGAATAAATTACACTCTCGGAAATATCAATAAAAGGCTCACAATTTAATTTGCTATTCTTGAAATTAGAACATGAGACCAGACAAATATATTAGTTATATACTTTTAAACTTCTAAACTTCCAAATTCTTGTTTATCATTGACAAATATTTCGAAAATTAATCACGATTCCGATTTACCAATCGACGTACATGTTCGTGCGCCCCCCCCCCCCCGGGGAAAATTCCCTGGAACGCCCCTGTAATACTTGTTATCTATCATTCTGTTTTTCAACGGGCGTTTCTACTCCAACATGTGAACATGACTGACATGGATATATTTAATTTCTTGAAACGTGCTAGAGTACTACGGTGCAATGTTTAAACATACAAAAATGGTATCAAATATTTCAGATTAGGCACATGCCACCTGGTCACATCCAAATGACAATCAGTGAGTTTTAGAATGACAATTTTTAATTTTTTGTTAAAAAAGCGTTCGTGCTTGAGTGTTGCTGATTTTTCAAAGGTTTCATTTGCCGACGTTTCACAACGTCATCTCACTTTAAGTCAGGGCAAAAATCTAATCAGTTCATACCTTACAAGAGTCCCTTCCACCTTGGGCATACCCTGCACACATCATGGAGTTTGTAATATCACCATTGAAGTAGTCTGTACCATTACATACTTTCTGGTCTATCACTGGAACAGCAACTTGTTTCATTTTTCCAATGCAGCATGTTCCTGGATAATAGAAGATATACAGGATGATCCAGAAGTAACGTTAATTTTACAATTTCAATGAGTTGTCACTAACAACAATTATATTACTAATTCAATTTTATCAAGCGCCTCCCTACACCCCTACACTCAATAAAGGTAGTCGATCGGAACTTAATTGTGTGATCTGAATTTCAAGGGTGGTTCATCTCATTGTAGATTAACCATCACGACCTGTCGCAAATACACGCAAATTACCTTGTGTTTCCCCCATCCCCGTTGCATAGCACATACGTCCAGCAGCTACGTCCGTTTCTGGAAGGCATGCGAAACTAACCCTATCTCCTTGCTGAACAACTTCTGTAAGTTTAACGAGCGCTATATCACTATCACTGGATAGATCATTGTAGTCCGGGTGGTTGATGATCCTCTCAAAACGATATTTCTGCTCCGTTGAATCAATGGAAAAACGATTGTGTTTTCCAGTCCGGGCGTCAAGTCGATCTAATGCACGTACTCTACAGAAAATAAAGAATCTGGAATGACTTTTAGAAACATTTCTGCTGTAACGGGTACATTGATTTTAGCACTTGATAGGCTAACCCTACTATCACACCAAACTAGTTCTCACTACGTTCTCGAAAACGGGCTTCAACTGTGTACGAACGGACTGGACCTATTTACAAACTTCATCGAACGTACTCGAACGGATAGGTCCTTTAGAACTTAGACAATGCTCAAAATGTTCTCGTGCTCGTCACGTTCTACAATTAGAACGAGTGAGAACGTACTAACGACGAGCTGGACGTACTACGAACGGAACCGTCGCACTTCAATCCTACTAGGGACGTTTTAACAACGAGTTGAACTGTCTGAGGACGTGTTGAGAACGAGGTAGAACTAATTGCAAACGGGTTTAAACTGATTAAGAACGTATTTAACACTGCTTGTGAACGAGTTAGCAAAAATATAGCTATCACACCAAACAAGTTGCCACTGCGTTCTTCAAAACTGGTTTCAAACTGTGTGCGAACGGAATGAACGTAGCTGCAACTTTCTAAGGTCTATTTACGAACTTTATGAACGTTCTCAGACGGGAATGTGATTTTAGATTTTTGAATCGATTCAAAATTCGATGGCGACCATACCGTCCTGTAATCAGGTCATGTTGACCTTCTAGACTAAGGGACGCGTTCTACGACGTTGCACACCGACGTGGTGCGACCTGAATGAACTGCGAACGAGATGGACGTATTGAAGACTGTTTAAGAACGAAGAAGCTAATTATTTCAGAAATATTTCCCGACCACAGCCAGAATGAGCCCGTTTTATGACGTTTTCGTAGGTCTGGCAAGAACGGGTAAGAACTAGTTTGGTGTGATAGGGGGGTTAGGGATGTCGAAGTTGTTTAAGGTTGGCAACGATCGAACTCACATGTTTTCATTTGGCACTATTTAGGTGAATCCAAGCTTTGACATAAATGTTTGAGAAATAGTATTGAAACCACCCAAAGTTTTCTCCTGATGACCATATCGTGAAATATTGTGTTTTATGAATTATGATGTCGGCTTTGCGGATAGATGTCGACCCTCTGATACGCTTATGGACTTCGAGACTGTATTTTGTCTGTCCCACATCATTTAAGACTGAATGCCTTATCTTGTATGAATACTAGAATCTACAACTACTATTGATGCTATGAGTATTGGTTAATCAATTCATTTATTCCACTAGGAACTTGAATGGTGAGGGGAGGTGGCATTAGACGTTGTTTCCTTTCACGTTAGATTCTAGTTTGGAATTGAAAGTGTTTTTTTCTTGCCCGGTTCTGTAACAATTTTTGGTTCTCAATTGCCTTATGACATGATGCTATATTTGTGTTTTAAGGGACAAGCAATACTTACGAGTCAAAGCAGTGTGCAGCCGTCAAAAGCCACTGTGGATGGATCAACGTGGCCCCACAGATGTGTGAATTGTCGAGATGTATAGACACCACCCATGGCCAGCTTCCGGGTTTCGCTTCAACGCCACCCACTATGCGATTTTGTGCAAGATTTTGTTGAATTGCCGGCGTTCCGCATTTATGATCCGGAAACTGTGTGGTGGATGCTGGGTGACGTGTGCTATATGTAATTTGAGTTGTCGTAGGAGGTATCGTTGTAGATGGTCGTTCAACTGTAAAATAAAAGCAATCACACATATTTAGTACTTTAGGTGAAATAACAAGAACGACCAAAAGTAATATTATTGCCTGAAAATGAATGATAAATAACACGGGGACAATGTTCATATTACCTACTAACACTGTACAATTTAAAAAGTATGTCGAAGTAATCATTCAAAAAGAGTACATGCGTACTAGAGGTTAGTTGCTTAAGTAGAACCCTTTCATTTCACGGTGTTACTGTAGCATATGTAAGTCCATGCAGTATGTTCAAAATGCATCGAGTTTAATCGTATGCACAGTTAGTATTTAATAAGAATGCATTATGAGTTCTTAAACGTGCCGAAACATAGCAACTGACACAAGCATTGTATTGCGAATCTGAAAACTGAAGCCTGGATAAAAAAAGAAACATGCATTAGTACTACAGATAACACTAGGTTTTACTTCGTTCTGAATGGGCAGAAAAGTTAAACTATGTCTGAATTTTTTATTACATGACATACAAGTTAGAAAGTTGGAAAACTTGCTTTGGTTAATCTTTAACATAGTGATTATGTGCCAGATACGACAGACATCATTAAAGGGACATTGTTTGCAGCCCAATTTTTCTTGATCTGCTAGCTATAACCATTTTTATACTATTCATTTTCAGCAAAAAATGGGCAAATGTTTTAATATGGTCAAAATTGATTACTTAAAAATGCATTTTGCTTTTTTCATGTGGGCTGCAATCTTTAAAGACTTCACACAGGAAGTGATGGCATCAGCTCCTGAGACTACATAGTACGTTAGGCAAGAAGCACAAAACCATTTGAATATTATTTTTCATTTATGTCTGTGATACAACTCTATAGATATTCTCTTCCTTTATTCTGTCTAGAGTGGATTTTGTCTACATCTTGTCCCACACAGTTATGGTGGGCAAGTTTATAAAAGTTAATAGTTGATGACATAATTTCTCGTATGAAATTTCAAAAGACGGTAGCCTATTGGTATTGGTGAGCAATGTATTTTTAGATTATCAATTTTGACCAAATCAAAACGTTTTCTTATGTTTTGCTAAGTATTGATAGCATAATAATGGATATAATTATCATAATAATAGAAAATGGGATTCCAAGGTATATCCCTTTAAATAATCATCCAGCTAGTTCAGAAAATTCTGGAAGATAATCCCATGGTAATACCAATTTTTGGTATTCTAGAATTCTAAGTTGAACTCAACAATGGCTCTACATTATTTATTCATTAATGAGATAATAACCATCAGTAACAACTAACTTGTTGATCTGTGGAAATAGTTTGCGTAATTATTTAGCTATCTTCACGTGTATGTCAGGCATACATTGGGTACATTGAGGTCACCCTCCTTGAATTATGAGTCCAAAGACTCATCAAATAATTAAGTTTTATTTGTTTATGTCGTTTCTTATCTATCAGTATAATAAACCATCGAATCATATTTATTTGGGTCGTTCAAAATAGTATGAACAAACAAGTCAAACTAACTAAATGTGTCAATATTTAGGACCTGTCCCTATTATCTCACCTTTTTAAGTATCACTAATATTTGTCTTTCACTATCTACGATGAACACACTGGTCCATATGATAGAAGACAAGTGATATATTGAGGAAGATAACGCTACATATGGCCAATTTAATCTACTCCAACTGTCATCTTTAATTAATAATATAGTAATGTTCCAAGGCAACAATTACATAACATAATAATATTTCACATCTTGGTATCTGCAATGTCACAACACGTCCCAAAAGATTCTCTGTATTTATTGGCAGACTAGAACCAGATAAATCAACCGAATATGTGTGTACAAGTGATGAAGTGAAAGGACTGTTGCGGATTCACAGCATACAAGACAAAGAAAATATTTAAGAGTACACCATTAATAGAGAAAACAAATCCAAACTATCCCAAAACCATGATCTAACGTGAAAAGTAAGGGTATTTCGATTTCTAGTTTAAGGTTGTATCTGGGGTATAAGTGATTTATTTGGTTAACTCAACATTTGAGATTTTACATCAATTTGCAAGAATGTTCAAAACGATTAAGATGTTGTACAGGATTTCAAGAAAAGACATTAACTTTGTTTAAATTACGTTAAAAGCATAGCGTCACGTTTGAATGAATAACAAATATTTTTAAGTCATTAGATTAAACAATATTCTAACCTTTCCATCAGGCCTCCAACCGTTCTTAATCAGAGTTTCTGGGATTTCTGGTATTTTATGTGTTTTATTAAGTATAATATCATAGATGTAACAGTTGAACAAAAAACAGTAGGCTGAACGAACAATTCCAAAATAAAGTAACTTACACTTGGTGAAATCAATAAAATAATATATATAAAGATGTTTTATTTTCGGATATTTGTGTAAAAAGATGCGTAATAATACAGTATTTCCATTCAGTATTGTAATTATTATATTATATTATGAAGGAAAAAAATATAATCAGCATAATATACTATATTATATAGAGATTAATATAATATAATTAGAAATAAGTGAGATCCAAATATATTATTTGTACATATAAACATTTACCAAATCCGATTATCTCAATAAGAAAATGTAGCAGGATGTTTTATTCCCAGTATAATATTAATTTTTTAGAATTATTTGCGCCAATTTATATTTATTCTGTCTTTCTAAAATATTATTTGGTCATATTTATCAATCCAAACTGATGATTGCAGTTTATATAGAATTTTTTCCATTCTAAAAAATATTATTTTCTAGTATTTTCCAATCTAAGCAGAATATATCAAATTATATTGTATTATTTGGGTTCTTAAAAATATTATACTCGATTATTCTCGTCCAACTTGATGTACAATCCATCTGGTTAATTACTTAACCAAACAAAACAAAGAATGCACAGCATGGCATGGTTAATAGGATCAACCGTTCTACTGGCCTTCTCATCTCTATTACTTACACATGTCACACTTATTTTATTTTGATTGTTATATTTCTATTTGAAAAATATTTACAAATAAATGTTTAGAAGAAAGAAAATTTACTTGATTGAAATTAATGTTAACAATGGAGTAAAAGTGTGAAAAAGTCATCAATTAAAAATCAAAAAATTAACTTTCCAATGAGTTAATCGATTCAATCCAAATTTTAACACAATGTTAATCATAGAAAGATGGATTTATACAATAAAACAAATATGAATAATTTAATTTGCAAATTATTTTTTTGTGGAAATTAGAACAATTGGCTCTAGATATTAATCCATTAACTCCAACAAACGGATTAACTCTCACAAACAGATTAGTAATCAGTGAACAAAACTCATCTCATAGAAATTGAAAAAACTTAGGGATTAAAGTATTACTTATATTGCTCTGAATTCAATACATGAATGTGAATGATGAAAATCTGCATGATTTTGAAAGAATTGTTGACCAAGGGGAGGGGATCGTTATTCGTTAGGTACAGGCCTGTATTAAATGCGTAATGTTTTTAGCTTTTTAAACTTATTATGGCTGACAAACAATGGAGTGAAAATGTGAGGAAATTCATTGATTAAAAATCAACTTTCCGTTGAGTCAATCAATTTAATCCAAATTTTAACACAATGTAAATCATAACATTAGGGACATTATACAATCAAATAAATATGAAAAACTGAATTTTTGAATTATATTTTGTGAAACTTAGAACTGTTGGCTGTAGGAAATTAATCCATTGCCTCTAACAAACAGATTAGCATCAGTGTTAACGAAACTCATATTAAAGAAATTGAATAATTGGGGATTAAAGTTTTACTTATCATATTGCTCTGACATACATGTACCATATGCCAATATGTTATTTACATCAGTTTGTTCTACCATGCACCAATTTGCTCAAAGCATAATCATCGCTTTGTCAGATGAAACATTAAAAATAAATGTAAAATGTCCCCGCTTCTTTATTTTCATTATCAAACAACTAAACATATTGAATAATATGTATTTGGAAATGGAAAACAAAGAAAGGTTAATAAAACCAGCTTTAATTAAAAGAAATGGTCCAATTATAGTAGAAACAAATGTATTCCATCATGGACTAATCTGTTGTTTATATCCTTGGTTTACATGTATATCTCAGATATTATATGGATAACAAAAAACACACGAATTATGAAATGTGAGAGAATACAAGTTTTAATTTTGTTTTAGCATGGACCACTTGTATCAGTTAATCTAATGCACGTTTCCTAATTTATTATCAGTGATTTGCCAGAAGAAATCGGAGCAATACATCCAATATATTACAGGCTCGTAATAAGTTTTAGCCCAGGGGATCAATTTTCAAAACAAACTAAGGGGTCACAATTGATAATTTTGGCCTAAAATCACTTAACAGTGCTCAGATTGGTAAAAAATGTAGGATTTTGAAAGAATTTTGGCAAGGTGGGAAGGGGATTTACTTGAACCCAACGACTCCCCCCCCCCTCCCTGGCCATGGACCAATACCAAATTCATAATGTATTGATATATAGCAGTTTCGTGTCATAAATGTTTTGTGTTGTTTGTGAAGTGATTAAAGGTGTTTGTGTAAGAGGGGGCTTTAAGTGTTGTTTGTTGTAAACTTAGTTTGACAGAGAAACAATTGAGTTAAATTGTGAGGAAACCCAATGGGGTTAAAAATGTGAGGAAACCCATTGATTAAAAATTAACTTTCTGTTAAATGGATGAATTAAATCCAAATTTTAACACAATGTTAATCATAACATAAGGGACATTATACAATCAAATAAATATGAAAAACAATGGAATAAAAATCTTAGGAAAACCAATTAATTAAGAATTCAAAAATTAACTTTACAATGAATTAATTGATTGAATCAAAAATTTAACACAATGTTAATCATAACATTAGGGACATTATATAATCAAATATGTATGTAAAAACTTATTTTGCAAATTATTTTTGTGGAATTAAGAGCCATCAGCTGTAGAGATTAATCCATTAACCCTAACAAATGGATTAATTATCAGTATGAATGAAACTCATTTCATAGGAATTGAATAATTAGGGATTAACGGCTTGAAAATAACAGCGTATAATCGGTTTTTGATTGCAAATGCCAACATATTATTTGCTCCTGACAGGAATATTATTCTATATTATATGGTATTATATGTTGTTCTCTTTAAATAATACACGAATAATATTATTAAATCAAAAATAATTCTTAAAAATACGTATTATATTTTTTTCCGCTATAATAAAAGAAATAACTGCCTATTATACAGGAAAAAATATTCTCTACGATTCTCTCTTAATGCAACTTATTTAGCAGTATATTAAACATTTTATTCTATATTATTTTAACTATTTTACCAAGTGTTATTAATTCATATGATTCTTAAATCTTGAAATTCCATAAACACACCCATGTATGAAATGGGAAACTATGGTAATTTCAAGGTGAAAATAATAATAACGTATTTATAAAAAAAATTGGATTTCCCTAATATTAGAATTTGTTTATTTGAACCTCGAGCCGAAAGTACTTTCAATAGAAGCAAGAAAACATGTTGTGTTTACAAAAACAATGTACCCTCTGGTCCAAAAAAATCTGTGCGTCGTAATGAGTTGGTCATAACTTTTGATAATGGAAACCATACAATTCCATCTCTCAGTGTTTGATGCCTTATATGTACCATGGATATGTGTAAAATTTGGATAAAATATATGGAACATTGAAACAACTAGAAATCAGTAACCAGAGTGACCCAACAAATCACTGCTGCGACTTTTGGAACTTTTCCTCATTTTTGCTAATCCAGTGGATTATTTTCTCATCTTACTTAGTACACCAAACATCAATTAAACTTGCTAATTCAAATTATTGTTACAAGTATAAGGTATCATTTGATGCCAGAAATGACAAGGAGTAGTATTTTCGCTCGTATTGTTTCAATCAGAGTATTTTCAAGCAGAGAACCATTTACCACTAAGTATCAGCCAAGGACATCCACATCGCTTACGTTTTAGCAATCTATATTACGAGATGTAGCTTTGGCATTAAGAATTGCTGGCATACTATAGCTAGTATCCATACTAATTTCATTCACCTTATGAAACTGAATGCTTGAACACCTTATTTATATCTCCATACTTCAATACCACTTCAAGTTTTTTGTCATTCAAAATGCTACAAGACATTTCTGCTTCACACTGTACACATCTGTATAAGGTCATTTAACCTATTTCTAGTTGTGAACTATCAGTTTAGGCCTATATTGGACAATTGGCATTGCAAAACTTCATGTCTACAGAATGAGCAATGATGTAAAAAAAACTGGAGGTTAAAATGGTGCAAGTTGTGGGTGGAAGTTGCCATAGTTACAGTTAAATAGTACAGCTATTGTTATGGAAGCTCTGATGGTGCATTTTTGGAAATATATAAGATGGGTGGCTTTTAATAACTTTAGCCATTGAATTAGCAAAAACGATGGAAAAGTTCCCAAAAAATCGCAGCAGTGATTTGTGGGGTCACTATAATTACTGATCTCTAATTTTTTCAATATTCCATATATTTTATCCAAACTTTACACATATCTTTGGTGCATATAAGTGCATATCAGACCCTGCAAGTATGAAACTGTATGGTTTCCATTATCAAAAGTAATGAGCATTTCTTGGCGACGCATAGATTTTTTGGACCAGAGGGTATGTTTATTCACCACAGAAAATATTAAGAGATTCAGTAAATATTGATACCATAATATTTTCGCTTCATGTAAGGTTAATTATTTAATGTAAAAAACATTAATCCGGCCTATTTAGGGAATATGTCTCTCCAGTTTGGGACAATTGCCAAAATTGAAAAGACTAACTAGAAGAACTATAACTGAAAGCTGCAAGGATCTGGAAGGAACAAAAAAAGGAAAAAGCCATGGATTGATATACAAAGAAACAGGTTGAGTAATAATCAAAGAGCGACGAACAGCACGAAATACACTTATAATACACTTAAACTCATAACAATTAAAGATAACAGATTCACTGAGCAATGTAACCGAGATAACCAAGAGAAGGTCTGATCATGAATTTTAACTAGTTAAAAACCTAGTATTAATGCCAGTTTGTAGCAGCCTAAAGAAAGCTATACCAGCCACCTTGAAAGCGTGGAATGACATTGACGCAACAATAAAAAAAACACATAAAAATACAGGCCTACAGATAAGACAAGGATGCGGTGACTTAAACCAATAAGATCAATATCTCAACCATTATGTATGTCAAAGATAGCTCCAGATGTGAATGTGGAAACCAAATAGAAATGCTAAACGCTACTTCAAATACCAAAGGCAAAACACAATTCTACCAAGGATAACAGTAGCAGACATCGTCCATGAGAATGCTAGCAAAACAGATGACGAAAATAAAGCCATCCTCACTGCTGTATACAATTCCACGAGAGCTTCAACGAGGATTTCAAACAAATACAGTTATTTCTTTCGCTCTTTCACTTCATCTAAGCTTCCCATCCTGCACAAAAGGATAAAATTGTAAAGTGAATTTTCATTTCGACCCACTTCCCAGGTTAGTAATTTCTAGCAATTTCTCGGCGATAAAAAGTGCTAGAACAGTGTAGTTTGCATCAATTGAGAGGGTTTTGATGTATATCCAATGCTTATAACAGGAAAATTAGTTCCTACCACTCTCGGCAAATGATAAGCAAAGAAGTGCGAAACAATGTTTACATTGAAAAGTGGGCGTCTCCAACAATGTAATCCAATTGGACGGAAAGAATGGCCGACGGACCAGTTTTAACGTTATCCCAGAGTGGATAATCACGAGTTCATCTCTAAACTATGGGGTTTTCCCTCATCTTTGTTTGTATCAAAGAAAGTTGTGACTACCATAAAGTTACCTGCCAACTACTATTCCAGTTTTAGCAAAAATGGTCAATCATTGACACAACTGCCACGAGAGATTGTCATATGCTCCTTATATAAAACGTCAACAAAAGCATTCCACTACATTTCCCGATTTAACAAAAACGTATAATAGCACACATAAAAATGGCCGACATTTGTCAAAATGGCCGCCTTCTAGTAAAAGTGTCATTAGACGGTGTCCATGCTTATAAGTATTCACATATCAAATATATGAACAAAATCGTTCTCCTTTATGTGTTACAGCAAAAAATCCGCAAATAGCGTGTAATGACCACCATTTTTCAAGATGTCTGTCAATTTTGCTTTTTAGAAAAGATTTTCAATATCTAAATCAATATAATTTTTGCATCTAAAATATTGCAGTTTCATATGTTGTACCTAAAATACTGTAGAATTGACGGCCATTTTCAAAATTGGCTTTCGAGCAGAACAGTATTTGAATTATTGCCCCTGCATTAAGTGCAAATTTATGAATAAAAACAATTTTCAGAATATAACAGGACAAAATGTATTGAGTTATCTTTATTGTAAGTATATTGTATATATTATGTATGTAATTATATATACAAGATATAGTATGTACTTACTATTAATTAAAGCCTTTATTTGAAGTTTAAACCACTGACTGTGTTTTAATTTCTACATGTGGTTTTTGAAGGACTTTTTGTTCGAAAAATCGTGAATTTATTCAAAACTAAATTAATGTTACAGGTCACACATATATTTTAATAATTCACACGAATGCATATCACTCATCCTCATATGTCAAATTTAAAAAGAGATTAGTTGATAAATAAACGAGAAATGAAATCATCCATGCATGAAAGTGTTTCAAAAAATGTTTGCACCCTTAGTGATGCCACGATGATGTTACTTAATTTGTGTTTTGCACTGTATAATGAAATATTTGATGATTAGGAAATTTCAACCCTTATTTGAAAAATAACAGGAATTTGAATATTTGAGTAATAAAAAGTTGACAACTGTTCAACTATTTTTTAACATCTTCAAAATAACTAATACAATAAATAGTAAATAATGATAAAAACATATTTTCAAACTTTGCATAGGGCCTTTAAATATATAAGGGTTATGTACTGGGAGGTTTTGGATACAGGTTTTATCCCAAGGGAAAGTATGTGTATATCCCGAGGGACCGCCTACTGATGTTCTAGGTACGTCATATACCTTATAAAGTTCCAAAATTCAAAAATATACTTAAGATACGCATTTTCTTGGTATTATAAAGTGTTTTTTTTAAGTTTCTGAGATTTTCAAACTCATATAACTCATATTTTGAAAAATAAAATTTGAAAAAAAAAATTGAAAAAATGTGAAAAAAATGTTGAAAAGAATGTGAAAAAAATTTTGGGAAAAAATGTGAAAATTTTGAAAAAAATTCAAAAAAAAATTTGAAAAAAATGTGAAAAAAAATTTCAGGAGCGGGACCGGGATGGATACAGCGTGTATCCATCCCGCCCCGGGCCTTGGCTAGATACACTATATATTCCCGCTCGTTATGTACCTAGAACCTCAGTAGGTATGAAATACATAATGTGACGACAACTAACTCTGAAATAATATAATTTTGAGTCACGGCACTTTTGGAAGTTCTATCACGAAGAGCATAACGTTTATTGTAGACAAAATTCAGCATGCTGATATCATTTAGCCCAATTTCAATAAAACAGAGAAACGAGTAAAATTTACAAAATGAAACGAGAGGGGAAGAATTTCAAAGTAAAATATGAGACAAAGAATTGATGAATGAGATGGAAACGAATTCAAACGTCTTGAATCGGAGGATAAACATAAATCCGAGGAAATGCATCTTATGCTACAGAGTGTGTTCATCGGTAATATAAAAAGTTTTTCTATTATTCTTTTAAGAGGTAAGCTCCGATGACGACCAAGTAAAAATCCTGATCCAGAACCCTAAAGGCAAAAAATGTAGAAAAACTCAAAAACAGAATGAATGATAGTAACAAACCTTCCTGTAATCTCTGGTCTAACAATTCCCATCATCAAATAAAATAGTCAGTGTGATAGGCCCGTCTTTTCCATCGCAAGGTCCTGTTACTGTACTAAACCTTGTCTCTTTTTCAGGATTATGAGCCTTTCATACCAGAAGTATATGTGCCACTGTCACGTGATGATGCTAGTTCAAAGCCAATCAAAATTCTTAGAGATACATGTGCCCCCAGACATTGTTCACAGAGTCTGTTTTTGTCCGAGGATACATTTACATGTAATCATATGTGGATAGTAGGCATTGAACTGGCTCATTCTTCAGTTTCCCTCCACTGTGTTCATAAATAAACATGTGTTTGGACTAAAGATACTTCAATAACGAACCACCAGGGTAGGATGAAACCAAAACACATTTGGTGAAACATCGGAAGAATTAGTAAGAGCGGTGGAACAGCATGGAAATGGTGATCCTGCTCAGATGTTGAATCACCTCTGGGAAAGGTTGTTTTGATGAAGAATAAACATGTCTTTGAACAAAAGGTTGAGGATTGTCCTGAACAAATGGTGAGTGACTTTCGTAATTAAACATGATGCCCAAAAGCTTATAATCTCTGTTATCTTCCACAGACAAATCTCATCCATTGACCATCCTTTAAGGCAGAGGCCTTGAAGAGAGAATAAGCGAGGCATGAATAATATATATATTATATAATAATTATAAAATATATAATTAAAATAATACATAAAAATACACGAAAATAATACTTATAAATCTCACGCTTGGATGGGTTTGGGGAAGATAAGATCCAGTCATATATTTCAGATCTGGGGATGTCCCGGTCGATCACGATTGCAGGGACATATCCGTCCCGCTCCCGAGAATATAAGTTAAAATTTTCCGTGCAAATTGCAAAATAAATTACAAATTTGAATCAACATGCAAAGTCGTTGCTCGGGGTTGCGTCGGGTGCAAACTTAAACCCCCACCCTTAAGTTTTGCCTCGTCGCTATTTAAAAATTTTGACTCGTCGTTATTTCTTAATTTGCTTCAGAAAAACAGTTTGATATACCAGTAATCTGCATGATGTAAATGTTACTTTCTGCATTATACGTGTAGTTGTTTGTCTCGCTGACATTTTCGTTTCGCTTTTCATTTTTGCCTCATTGAAAGAAAAGATGCCTCATTGCACCCCCTGCGCAACCATGGCCATTGGCAAACACTTACGAAAATGACAGTCATCTAAATGATAAAGAATAATATAATTGATGAGGAACCATCCATCTCGCGATACGAGAAATACTGAAATATAGCGTCATAACTGATTCATTATTAAGGTTCCTTATACGAATATATATGTAACATTTACAAATAAAATTCCTAATTACAAATACATATATGATGTAGTAAATGGACAAATAGATCCCAAAATCGGGTACATTTTATGTGTAAAAGGACTAGAAATATTTTGTAACTAACAATTTATTATTCGCTAACTGTTATTTTGTTAAAGGAATGTACTTCTACGAATAATAACCTTGCGTATTATACGTGAATTAATGCAAAAATCAATGAAATATTTTTACATTAACGAATAATAAAATAAATCGTTGCGAATATTAATGAGATGTAGCTCAAACTGATTGACTAAAGATAATTTAGTTAATTTATGAATAATTTCTGTTTTACAACAGTTTCAGTTTTCCCTTTGTATTGAAGGAATAGTATGAATAAGTTTAATATAATTGCATAATTTTATTAAAGGACAAAAAAAGTTAAAATATCTTCGTTTGAAAAGGTAGTGCTGATGGTACGTGTTATCCAAAACCCTTTAAGTATGCGATACACCACTGTTGTATGGTCGGTTTTGGATATTGGGTCCACCCTTAAGTAAATATCTATATCTTCCCTTCTGCCCATGTGGTCCTTCGGGTAGATGTAGCTCTGGATAAACCCTATATCCATAACCTCCCAGTAGATTACCATTATATCATACTTTTCCTGTTATAATACAAAAACAGACTATTATACTAGAAACAATATTGTTAACGACGCTCTCTATGCAACTTATCTAGTAGCATAATGCACCTCTAATTCTATATCATTGTCAGCTTCCGCCACAGATTACTAGAATATATTTTTCACCAAACCCCTAACTACTGAATCCATATTTGTTGTTAGTATGTCGGCTTATGACTAAATCAACTTCTAGAGAATTCATTCCTGGACAACTCATCCTTTGGACTTTGTTAGATTTTTAGTATTACTTTATTGATTTATGTTTTATTTTCGAATGATTTCAAAATGTTCTTACTATGCTTTTATTCATTTTTAACTTGTTTAATTGGACAGATATTAATTGAATACATCCTTAAATTTATTTTATTTTTATCTGGAATCTGGATATTATCATATTCTAGACAATATTTTGTTACAGCTATATGTATCTAAATTGAATTTAAAGAATTAAAATCATTTTTTTATTTATCAGATAATGTTATAAGGGAGGTTATTAATTAAAAGGAAAAGTGCCATCTTTTTAAGCTTTAATTAATTCACTCAAAAGTCAGTTAATTAAAAGATTTATTTAAAAGTCTTTGTGACCAAAATTAGAAAATGCTTACGCACAATAAAACAATACGCTGTCAATATATTGTCATTATTTCGTCGACGTTTTTCCTTTTTCATTTTAGAGCTAAATATCAGAACACAAGTTGAGAATTAGTTTAGCAAATCTCAAAATGTTAACTATCATACATTAATCTCAATGCTCAAATGTATATCAGTATGTTGTGTTATCTATCATAACATCTGGGTTATACCTTTCTCAAATATATGTCAGTATATTATTTATCCCTTTAGTTCATAATTTATCGTGACATCTAGATAATATCATCACAGCTTGACAAACAAGTTTTGCTCATGCGTCTGTCATTTTAATTGTCACCAAACATGAATCCTAAAAATAACTTATTCAATCGTATTGTTTTAATCAAACCAAAATTATATTTTAGCATTTGTGAAACATTTTATTCTTACTTAAACAATACACATTAAAAATATGATAATAAAAATTCAGAAAACTACAATGAAACGAACCTCTGACCATATATTCTGATTTAAAAGTATAAATCATCTGAACTATTTCTAAACACACTACATGCACATATGCATGTTAGTTGATAAAAAATACCTTACACTTAATGCTAATTATAAAATATTGTCAAAAAAGTCGCAATTAATCAACTAATAAATCAGTGATTTGTTGATTACATACTTGCTGTCTATAGTTCAGATAATCTTAATGATTTTTTCACAACATTCTTTGAATTTTACTTACATTATTAAGTTCGTGTTCCAAAGTTATGCAGTGAAAAACACCATGGTCTTGCAGAAAGTCCATGATCACACATACCTTGCGTAATTAATTAATTAATTAGGCATGTATCTATTGAATAGATGTGACAAATAGCATACAATGTACATCCCAAAGCTAAGATGCATTGGTAGTTTGACAAAGTTTGACTGAATATATGAACCTTTACTTTGCTAAAAACCAAAGAAACCCATCCCTTACCAAATAATGCCAACGTCTAAGGTGTTACTGGAAATTAGAACCAAATCCATCCACTGATATTTAAGTTATCAACGATTATGTTTTTTTACGTAAAAAGATGCTATTTTGAAATTCTGAAGCCATCTTGAAAGTCTCTTCTCGGGCAAAGCTTCTTTTCACCTAGGCATCAGCATATAAAGGTTCCAATTCCGTCCACTTTAATTTAAGTTTAGTATCAAAGATTAGGTTTTCTATGAAAAAATGTCCACTTTGAAATTCTCCTGCCAAGTTGAACATCTCTTCTTGAGCCTAGCCCCTTTGTCTCAAGGCATCAGCATATTAAATTTGAACCAATTAAATTTATTAGTATTTGAGTTATCAAAGATTACATTTTACGAAAAATGGCGGTAATTTTGAATTGAATGGTCATATTGAAAACTTCTTCTCGAGCAGAGGTCCTACATCCATAAGACATAAGCCTATTAAATTTGAATCAAATTTCTCATCTGGTTTGACGTTATTTGACTTATTTGCCCAGACACACGGATGACGGCTTTTCTATATCCCCCTCGAACATCGGTGGGATAAATATATCTATCATCTCAGTTCTTTACTTCAGATCTGATTATTAGTAAGTCCTGCGCAAAATCACGTCTCTAAAATATCATATTTTTAAGTCTATAGCCCTTTTCTAAGTCCTTATTTTAACACTTTTAATAAATTTTCCAGGATAATTAGCCCGACTTTTGAGCTCTTGTATAAATTTTATTGGCACTTCCCATTGCCTTAAATATTATATCCTTAATTCTCACAAAACGGCACAATTTTGCCCCCTATGGTACCCACTTTCTGATTATAGTCAAGAGCTACTATCATAATCTATTAAAGTCGATGTTTGTCCCATAAAGATCAAAGTATCAAGGAACTTGACGAATTCAAAATTATTTGGGTACACGGGACAATTTCCTACCTGTTTGACTATTTTCCATTCTGTGATGTGCTATTCTTCATTCTTAAATAATAATGTCCTATTCCCATAATAAGTACTTTATAAAGTTTTTAACTAAGTCCTTTACTTTGAGTAGATAGAACGAAGTTCTTACAAAAAAATGTTTGAGCTACGCTTATTTATTCACCCAGGCAGTAGCACGGAAATATTCTTCAGAGGTATCACGCTAACCAAATGTATTGATAACAACTCGATCCAAAGATCCAAGATGTCCTTGAACTTGGTCTCAAAATTCAGCAAGAATATATGCCATATGAATCAATGTGCAACTACTTAGCATCAAAATGATGATCCAAGTTCTTTACAAAAATAATTCGATGGTCAAAATTGAATTCCCAGTCGAAGTGAGAATGTGATATATTTTTTAACTCGGATTCAGTGAGTAATATCGCTACACGTATTTATGCATGTTGAATACAGGGTAACTCATGAGTAACGAGAAAAATGGTTAAGGACGAGAACACCATGGTTAAGGACATCCGAAGCATATTATTCAATACAAATCGGAACTTGCTAAGCATTATAACTTTTAAGAATTCAAAAATGAATATTGATGTACCTGTATCAGTGTCATTGAAACAACATCTCTTGGTTCATATGGTCCTTACATTATTTTTGAAAATTTAAACACCATCTCGCCATTGGAATGAGATATCACAAGCATATCCAAGACACGATTAATCGCGTTTGGGTGTGTGTTTGTTACGATTATAATGATTCAATTGTTCGAACTTCGATGAAAATGGAGCAGATACTAGTATATGACTTTGTAATTCTGATCAGTCCCATATGAGAGATCCTAATAATTTATCATATGGAATGATATGTAACTCAATTCTTGTAGAGTATTGCTCACCCTATAGGTTGTGCGCAGAGTTAGTAGCAAGTAGTGCGATAATCGGACGCTAGCGCGTAGTCTATACATGAAACTTTAACTGGCAACACCTTTTGTTGTTGGTAAGTGCACTTCCAATAATTTTTTGACATGCCGTTTTGAATTCATGTTGCTGGTACTAAAACTAGAATAAAAACAGAATATTATTTTGAAATTATAAAGGTCGTCAAATAATTCGGGTGACTTAATTTTAATTTTTATTGTAAGCTTTGTAATCTGAAAAATAAACGATCATTTCCTTAAATTGTACATGGGGCTTTTTACGATAATTGATATACTCAAATTTTGTTAGAGACTGCGACATGTATTATTATTATTAATATTAATGACATTTTATATATACCATTTTGTTGCAAACACGAAGGGTAAAGAGGTATTGTTTGAAAAATGTGCTTACCTCTTTCTTCAAACATTTTGAATTTTTGGACAAATTTTTGGATGAATTTTTGGACAAAATTTCTTTTTGGGTTCATATAAACCCGGAGTATATAACATATGCGCTGATATTTTCTAACATGTTAATAAGAAATGTATACAACCAGCTCCTAAAAGAGTACATATTCTTTGACAGCTTAACTTAAATTTACAACGGAAATAACAAAATTGTGTCTGATATTGTCGTTGTTTGTCATTTAAACGGTATTAGTTAAGGGCATTTTTCTGACGCAGCTTTAAAAAATGATGCATCAACAATGTTAATAAGACCAGTCTGTTGGAGGATACACATGTTTGACAAATCGTATTCATAGTTAAAATATTTCATTCCATGGGTAACATATACAATAACATCGCCTTTATGGGAGCTGATCGTATAAATCTCATTTACTTGTTAGAAAATATCAAGGCAATCGATTCACTGTATATGCTTTAATCCGAGTTCATATTAGCCGTAAAAACCCAAAACTTTATTTTTGTTAAAACGTCCATCATTTAAGCTTTTTTAAGAAAAAGTAAACAATATGATCAATATATACCATTTGGACATGATTACCAGTTATGTTGTTATGCACACATGCCAGCATACATGTCAAAGTCTTTGATAGAATAACAGAATGTGATTATATCAATTATCGTAAACAGATCAATAAACCGAAGCATTTCTTTCGTGATCAAAGTCAAATCTATAGTTCTTTATAGAAGAAATAAAATTGATTATAGTGTAAATTTTGTTTGTACTTCAAGTTCTCGAAAAGCTGGTGAAAATGTCACGACCAATTCTTATATGCATAGTTTTGGTAGTATTGACCGCTGGTGCATTTGGACATGACGTATCTATCCGGGGACGCTTCACCTGTGGCGGGGCGGCGGTAAAGAACGCTCTTGTACGTTTGCTTGATCAAGACTACCTGGTGGATGACATCTTAGCTGATGGATGGACGGACGAGAATGGAGAATTTGAATTATCTGGAGACGGAGTTGATGGTTGGAACGGAAACCCCGATGTGTTTATCAAACTGGAATACAACTATTTGAGTAAGTGTAAATGTATTTTATTTTGCTAGTTTTGTGATACTCCCAAGATCTGCTTGATGTGAATTAACAAAATATACAGTTACGAAAGTTGTGCCAGGAAAAAACAGTTTTTTTTATTTTTTCGGAGATAAAGACCTTACAAACGGAAACAATTCAAACATTTTTAAATATTCATAAAAAATGAGGAACGATCAATATGATTTATCTTAAATCAAGGCAGCGCACATGGGAGGCAGTTTGGCAATCAATCAAACAAACAAACAAACAGATGGTATTTCACACTATTTCAATATATATTAATACATAATATAACTTATCAGAACATTTGAGCGATGGATTCTGATAAATATATTCCTGAGAAATGAAAATGTTTATTATTACAACATCGTTTTGTTCATTTGTTCTGACCAGACAGTGAAAAAAAATATTTTAAAAATCTCTATTTATAAAAATGTGAGACCAAAATAGAGAGAAAATAATTGAAAAAATAAAAATAGGGCTTAATGAAAACGTTTCTATTTATCTCAGCAAATGATATTCTATCTTGAATTTGAAAGAAAAATATGACGAGTAATACTGGTTAATTGTTTGTTTTATTTGTGCATAAAACACTCCAAATATCAGAAGAAAAAACATTTATAACATCTTGTTGTAAAGATAAGCTATATCGATTATAATTCCGAAAGTTGAAATTCAAAATTCAAATATATGAACAAACTAAATATTATAATAAATAATATTATTATACATAAATATAGATTATTCTAATATGATACGTGACGTTACGATAACTAGAAAAATTTACTTTTCTATATAATAATCGAATAGATTTTATTAAAATTTGAGACCAAAATAGAAAAAAATAAGATAATCATTTTGAATTTGAAAGAAAAAAGGCGAGCGATAAAATAAAAAAAATATATACACAACATCTTCTTGTAAAGATTATAACCAAAAATTTAAAATTTAAAATGGAAATAAAGATATATAATATAATTATATATTTGCATTAATAATGTAACGATAAATGTTTTAATTTGTTTGTTAGAATCGAACTGGTAACGTTTGAGAAAGGTTAAATAATTAAAAGCGAATCAACCTTTTGGAGTTGTTTATTACGATTTACTATTTGACATTTGCAAACGAATCATAAAATTACATCACACAGATAAGTAAAATACCTAGTTTAAAGAAAAATAGATTTTGAGAAGCACTGGCAACAACATCTCAAAAAGTTATATTTGACAACTTGCCAAACTATTTAAAAAAATGTTATCATGCATTGACCATGTCAAAATATTTGGTGATTTTTCATAAAATATCACACCATGCCATATTTGGGATTTGAAGCTGGGAGAGGTTTTATGAACCATCGCCTTATTTTTGCTATGGTTTCAACGTAAGGAGACGATATAGGGATGCGTTTCCAACAAAATCTAGTTGATTTTTGGAACTATGTAATACGCTTCCCAAAAGAATTGTTAGGTTTATAAGTTTTTATATTTCTTCCTATAGCGACAGTACTATAAAAGTTAGTCTTAGCACAAAAATATTGAGTCGAGAAATCATGTCTACTAACTAGATATTAATTTAAAGAACCAAACTGATATTGCAGACGTATGTTTCGAAAATGGTTGTTTAAAGTCTGCCATAGCAGGGTTGAACACCGGTTCAACTTACTTTGAAATTATTTGTCGTAGATTGAGTGAAGCTATATTTAAGAATTTTTTCAATGAACAAATCAATGTGTTCCGTACGATCTAAAATTATTAGAAAATATTATAACTCTTTAAGATTATATTTCTCAAAAAATGAATCTATCTTTATTACGCTTACAAATGCATATACATATATGTCCGAGGCGAGTATATGAGAATCCAAAAATGAATCGAGCAAAAAGTGAAACATGATTTTGATTTATGTTTATGTGCATATGTACGTTCATGTGAACTTTATTGCGCCTTTAAATAATAATAAAAATTTAATAAGTGGTATGGTTTGATTGAAAAATGAAAATTATTTATAAATTATGAATACTTATGAATGAGCCTCCTTCAACAGTTGAAATATGGCTACCGGGTAGACGATACCACCGCAAACGGACCTGTCGATAATAACGATACTAAATAAGCCCTGAATATTATATATAATATCTACAAATATACATAGTTTGTAGAATTACAATTAAGGTAGCCTATAATATTCAATTACTGCATATTGATATTTTTCTATTCACAGACAAAATGGTCGTAAAAGACAGAACACTCCGCGTAAGATATGAGACGTCCGAAATCACGAATAATTTTAGTGGCAAAAGCGATATAGGAACAATAAATGTCAACAATGAACACTGCAGAGTATATCAACTGTTCCGAGAAGCGATCCTTGACTATACCCTGAGGTCTGAGAACGACAACCTGCCATATGATTACCTCACTGTACACACAGATGCCCTTCTGTCTTTGGTATCGGGAACTCGTAAACCCTGGTCCAACATCGATACAATCAGGGTACCGGGTGGATATCCATTGAATGCCACCACGGCAAGGCATGAGCTGGCACATACATTGAGACATGCAATGGACGGTGGCCGGCTACACTGGTGGGCAGATATTTCAAGGTACACTGTAGCTATAACTATGATACGACAAGGTGCAAGGCAGAAAAAAGTATTTTAGTTTGACTTAGCCCATCTTTGTTTAATCAAAACCTGTTCTCTGGTTGTGTAGTTTTCCTCCTATTTGATCCAAAAACTATTAATTAAGTATAGTTTACCCGTCAAAAGATCAAATGCTATTGAATCTATGGGCCCATTTATCTATGTTAATGCCTGCTGCGTCTTTTAATTGAATGTGGTCTGCACGATCATACTATGTCTGGGTTTTAAACGTAATTCTAATACTGAATGATATAAAAGTTAGACGCTTTGATATCATCTTATCTTTTATTTGTGTCGAACCTTGGGCATCAGTTTAATCTGATAATGTAGATCACATCACTAAATAACTTTAATACGTATTTGTTATGCTCTAGATAAGAACTTAATAATGGGCGGCCCTTTTATAAATTCCTTCAGACAAAAAGAACCGTCAAACATATGAAATCGTGTTGCAATTCAATTAAAGTTACACTACAAAAACAGTGATATGTGCAAAGTAATATTATTCTCGTAATTAATTTGAAAGGGAAAAACTTCTTAAAATGTGTGGCAAAATCTTGATTGACGTAATAGTTCCGAAATAAAGTCGATTTTCTCTTTTAATAATCACAATCTTCCTCGAGGTTAACGTACACAACTCCGAGCAGCTGTATACCTTTGACAAATCAATAATTAACGGATCTATTTTGATACATTGTCATATTACTAGATCCGAATGAATATAGTCACACTGCCATCGCAAGCCAACATTTTGAAATTGAACCTAAAATATGCTATGGGAAATTCGAGGGTCAAAGAATCTCTAGAATAGCTAGTAAGGATAAAAACGTAACCACAACAATCAAACCATAGATCTATGGACCATCAGTCTGATCCGCAAAAAATTCAATTAGAGATATTTTGCGGTCATAGCCCAATAGACACAATTAAAGGACCAGACATGACCAGACATGTTCACACAGATTTGATAGGTATGTTCCATTTTTACTAAAATGTACACTTTACTTTTAGTTACAGCTATGTTCAACCACACCATTGCAACATGAGGTCAAACCCAGGATTTGCTTTCAATGAAGGATGGGCAATATATTGGTCTGGAAATTGCAAATGCTCTGAGGGATCCGATATGAACGTCGAAGGCCATGTGGCTGCAAGATTGTGCGAACTGGCAAGATGCAAAAGCGACAGCCAAATGTGGGACATCCTAGAGTCCAACCCAGGCACAATTCACTCGTATGCGGAATTTGAGGAGAAGCTCTTCAGCAAATACCAACCGGCTTGTTAAAAGTGAATACCATTGGAACTGCGAACTGGATTTTACTTGGACATGTTTTAGTCATAATATAATATGTGCTTGTACAAGAAATATATTTTAAAATGCTAGACAATTCACGACTCGAGCTTTGCTTCTACTACATTTTTGAAAAGAGTGACGCATAAAGACGAATCAAAATTTGTAACGACGCACTTTCCTCAAAAGATCAAATGCTTGACCTCACGCAATTGTATTTTGCTTAATTTTATTATAATTTGGTGCCATAATATTATAATTTTCATTTTAGTTACACACGTGACTGGGTTTTAAATACAACATTATATATGTAGGACTACGGAATGTCAGTACAAATGCACTCACCTTCTGTTCATGCTTTGTACGACATTCTGTCCAACTCCAATTTCACCATATGTAATGCCCTTATCATCATTTGTTCTTTAAATATGGCATTACCATTTTGACTATATGGCCATTATTTGCATCATGATGACGAATCGACAATGTTAAACAGCTGTTTCTTCAAAATAAAATCAACGCTTTGCTAAACTACTTGTATTACTTTTTTATAATCAATTTTCTTAAGTGTTTAATTTATGATTTTTATAATACATACGTAGGTATATCCATAAACTATCATAAAATGTCTCTAAAATCTTTATTTTATAATATTTTCTCGAGAAATTCTTAACAATTGTGTTATATGTTGTATTTTCAGGCTAAAAGGGTACCACCGATACATTATGGTTAACTAATGGTTGCTATGTCAGCACGAACACATGGTACCCAGGAGAGACCAAAATTAATTAATAAAAGCTGGATACGAATGTTTTTATTTATGTTTTGTAGCTGTTTCTCATTGTTTCCAAGTACAACTGATTTTATGAAGACAACTTCTATCGGCTATCCAAACTCAGTAAGGCTTAAATTACAATGTCATGCCCAAATTAGATATAGAGTGCAATTGTTTATGTGACAATTTTGCCTGGGTAAACCATTCTTTTGCGTTCTAAAAGGAATATTCCTTGCCAGACCCTTTCTCTCTTGATATGGTAGCTATAATCATATATATAGTTTCCATATTTAGCAAAACATGGGAAAATGTTTTAATATGGTCAATATTGATCATTTAAAAATCTAGTGCTATTTCAATGAGCTGCCATCTTTTAAGATTTCTTGCAGGAAGTGATGTCATCAACTCTCAACTTCTATAACCTTGCCCATAGCAGTATAGGAAAGTAGCACAAAATCACTTCTAGACAAGTGATCATTACTTTCTGTGTAAAAATATTTTCAGGGCTTGTCAACTTAGAATAAAAGAAGAGATTTTCAGAAGGATTAAATGAGATACAAAGTTGAAAAAGAATATTTAGCTTGTTTTGCAATTCTTAATAGCTCCTCACCTAATGCTATATGCAAAGTTGAGAGTCGATGACATCACTTCCTGTGTGAAATTTTAAAAGATGGCAGCTTACTGGAATTGAGCATCACATTTCTAAGTGATCAAATTTGACCATATCAAAACATTTTTGCGTGTTTTGCTAAACATGGCAAGCATATATATGGTTATAGCTACCATATGAGGAGAGAGATGGTTTGGCAAGGAATATTGCCGGGAGCTTAGTTCTACTAAATATAATGCGTCATACAATAAGTAAATTTCTTTACAGACTGCCCATGGTTTCAGTTTCTGCATACCATCAACGGTCTTTCTTATGCTATTATAGATCTTGACCATGATTTTTTTCTCATTTTCACAGATGATTGATCAAAAGAATTTCTGTCGGCCATTTTGAGAAGTTGATGTGCCTGATTCGTCACATAGATATTGCACTTAATTAAATCATGACATCACCGTGCAATCTTACCGACGCATTACCTGAACTACTGAATCATTGCTGAACTTGATAAAGGTTGACTTCATTATGTGTAACTCTTAATTGATCATACATTGTGGATAAACAACTGCATAGGGTTCGGATAAAAACTTCAACATCAATAGCGGGTTTGCTAAATAGCTTTCTAATCTTGTTGAAGTTTCGTTTCTAATGAGATATTAGGAGATCTGGATTTTTGATCTTTAAGGATCAACACTTCTATTTGATGGCATATTTAAATTCTGTGTGTAATTTTCTAATCAACAACTTTGATTTGCACAGTCATTTACCTTTATTCAATTTCCAAGATGTTCAAGTTTTCTGAAGCTAAATCCCCATTGACACAATGTTAAAAAATCTGTAAACGTTCATCTACTCTTTAAATGATCACAATTTTAATGTTAAATCACAGTCCAAATGTCCACAAGATCATTTACTACATTCCAATGGTGTTTTACATCAACAAATTGAGGACTCCCCCAAGATAAATTTATAATGTAAAGATTGGTACCCTAATTAAACATATAAAAGAATAATACATAGTTCATACCTGCATAAAATCTCTGATTTAATTTTATCAAAAATAAAAATTTAGAGACATTTTATGAGATTTTTGATATAATATTAATACCCTCGTATTTTGTAATATATCTGGAGCATCAGCATTGCCTAAGTCCAATAGTCCGATAAACATCCGATGCTTGCATTCAAATTAATAGACGCGTATAATAACGGGTATCATAAAACCGCTTATGTTATTGCTAGGTAGGTGTAGTTTCGTTTGGTCACATGTGAATGTTTTTTCAATTTACTCACCCGGAAATACACTGAATACTGTTCCCAGTACATCGGGGATCGAAACCCTGTAAATGTATTTTTACACAACACAGGGTTGTTCTGTATTAGGTTCTTATTTCCAAGTGATTAAATGACAGTACTTTTTGAACCGCATGTGTCTTTATATAGTGGAAAACGAATTAGGTAAAATAAAGATTCTTTTATTGGCATACTCTCGGAAAAGCTCTATAGGCATAATCATCAAAATTTTAGATTTTGAAGTGTAAAAGTTAATGAGTATAACTATTTTGGATTTGTTTTAAAAAGCTCTGGGAGTTTGAAACATGCAATCTCAGAATCAAGCAAGAAGGCACTGAAAGTTATTTTTATGATTAAACAAAATTTTAAGTTTTCAACTTTCAATGTAGAAAAAATTGACGTGTAAGAGAAAACAGTTCCTGAAAAAATGCAAAATCGTGCAAATTAATCCATTTAGCTATAGATTCCCTAATACGAGTACATTCGATAAAATATTGGTTGAACTATGTGCAGATAGCTTAATCAATATATAATTTCGTGATGAAAATACATATGGAATAACATGTTAAAAAAGTACGTTTAGAATAAAAAGACTCCTAAAACAATGGTCCCCACATAGCTATAAGGACGTGACGTCTTTATAACAGAATGGAATGGACATCCGTCAGAGTAAGTTTTTATTTTCATCACATTGACCAAGAAGGAGGTCGATTTGTATCCAATATTGTATCCGTATGTTAATAAAAGCATCCGGTTGTTGAAAAGCTAGACAGCCACGGCAGCTCAAATAAGCGGGTGAAACTTCAGCGAGCAGGATGAGAATAGACTTACTACACAACGCAACCAAGACGTTATGAAATTAATCAAATAACGCCCTGGGTGAGGAATTCTCACTCGATTATTGGGGGCCCAGGGTAGAAGCTACTAAACTTGAAATGCAAAGAAAATGGTAGAGCCATCCGAGAGTATAGAAATCTTGGAAGTTGTATCAAAAATGATTAGAAATTGGAAAGATACTTAAGATTTAGGTGTGAACAATTATTATCTATTTTTATAATGGCCAGGATTATAAATTAATTAATTTGTGTAACGTAATTTTAACAAGGTTAAGAGATTGATTTTGGGCGTAAGAACAACAACATCTTTCATCTGGGTTTCTACATCTCGAATATAGTCATAGTTTTCTCCTGTAAAGCATTGCGAAATATTGTGTTTGGTGGATTATAGCTTCGGCTTTGTGGATGGATGTTAACCATTTGATACGCTTATGGACCTCAAGGCTGTATTTTGTCTGTCCCACATCATTTGAGACTGAATGCTCTATCTTGTATGACTACTTAACTAGTATCTACAATTATTCTTGATGATGAGTATTTTTTATCTTTCAACATGTATTATGATGACTTCAGTATGAACGGAATGTCACATTTTGTTATGGTCTCGGATTGTGATAATGGCACTTGAATGGTTTGAAGGAGTAGACCTTGTTTCTTTACACATATTGGATGGTCGGGGTTTGTTTTCCTTATGGTTGGTAAACTCTTTGCTATTTTCTTGTTGTGCTCTGTAATAATTCTGGTTCCTGAACTTTTTCACTTGTGTATACATATTGGTATGATTTTCAAATATACGATTATTGTCAAAGGCATGTAGATTAATTGTGTAAACCGTGTTCATGTTTAGTTGTTCTTTCCAATTACGGTTCTTTCCTTTCTTTGTTCAGACTTTAATTGTTTGTTAGTCTTTCTTATTCCAAGACACTTGAAGATTTATTAATGCCTTCTTAGGAATAGATGCAGATATGATTCTTTCATCCCGACAAAAGCTATTTTTGTCGGGATGAGGGTGGGATCACTAGATTTGTCCGCTTTGTGAGATCAAGCTACATTTCGTAACGCTTTTAGGAAAATGTTTTCTTTTTTAGATGTTTTCGTAATGTCAAAGAAAATAAGCTACTCTATGTATTTGGTATATCATCAATACAATACAATAAACTTCTGTTTGAATAACGCTCCGACCAAAAGCTGTTTAAAACGACGCTAGCGTACACTAATGGCCACTAATCTAAAATGTACGTTTCCTTTTTAACATTTTAATATCACAATATGGTGACTATGTTTACAGCAATGGGTTATAGGGTCTTTTTTATTTTTTTGTTGCAAAAAAATATTGCATAATTATTTTGTCCGCTACGGGGATCTGAAATTCATGTTTGAACCTAATCTCCTATAGCGGACATTCAATTACGCGTTGTTGGTACGTGATATTGGTGAAAACTGCAAAAGCTGCATATGCAAACAACGATGGCTAGAGCCGTTGTTACTATTTCATGTTTTATTTAGTATTTTCCCTATCTAGCGTATAGATCCATGGATTTTCGCCTTGTGTTGTTATAAAAAAACTTTGGTCAACATTTTTTCTGGGACAAATGTTTGGAGGCCCGTTGGCGACTAAAAATAGGCAAAAATTGAGTTGAGGCAATATACAATTGTACACTTCTTTTTTAATGGCTTCTACTCTTATATCTCATTTTGTCCCAATTGATTATTTTATTATTTTGTGAATTTTGGCCATTTTCAAAAATCTCTGCGCAATCCTGGTCCCAAAAGTCCGACCTTGGGCCAAAATCGGCTTGAATCTGGGGACCAGTAATAACGACAGTCCGACAAGTCGATTCAGTTTGAAATCCGGCCCAGATGGTATTTTCGCGTGTAGTTGATCTAGTGGCAAAGACATCCTTGTATTCAATATATCGTCACAAGCCGCCATGGCCACAGGAAGGAGACATTCACGCAAACCTGGATTTTTGGTACAAAATCCTAAACTCAAAGATTACTAATTAGTGTTTTTAAAGGTATACCTTCAATCAAACGCCAGTATAACTTGAACCCTTTGCCACTTCCAACTGTTCCAGTAAAAAACTGCACGATCATACGATTGCTCATGGTATTAATGGGGAACGGAGGCTGTGTCCCACAATAACGTCCTGAAATGGAATAAGTAGTTTGACACAATGTGATAATTTGTTAATGACGATGTTGCCAACAACAATGGAGACTTTAAGCAATGCATATGAAATCGAAACGGCAACCTGTACATATAAATCGCCCTACACAGATGCATATAGTTTTTTCACATAAACAATCGTTCGATTATACTGTGTTTACTTAGTCCGTTACTAAGACTACACACCATCGTGTAATATGCCATTGACAGTTATATTGCTGGTTTTCCGTGATACATATTTCAAACAAGCTCGCTTCGTAAGATATTTGGAGCTAAAGCACGTATAAACATCATTTTCTTCAGAATTCCATTATACTATGCATCGAAATCAAAATTGTCAGCATACAATAGACATGAGTGAGTTTAATGATTCCCGTTGAGACTAACGTGAAATTGCAAATCTCCCGTTCTAAACACGAAACTGAAGCTGATCTGGTATCTGAAGTAGACTAATTAGCGCTTGTTTTGTATGCGCGCTACACACATTACTGTATCATGAAGTTTGCGTCCACGGTTACGTTGAGAAAATCATCGCAAGCTTAATGTCTCCAATATCAGAAACGTTGAACGAAAAAATCAGATGTGCGCGAAAGAACCAGATGTGCGCTACGCATGACAATGATGGTCAAACGAAGCAGTTCCTACATCCAAATGGGGTTTTGGAATAATTAGGATTGCACATTATTATCATCGTTCGAGGCCTATTCTCAGGGTATTAGTATACAAATAGTGACTGCCATTGAGGGAAATAGTGCAAAATATTTTCCTCAAGGGAATATCCTGTCCACTGACATGTTCCCGAGGCTGCAGGCCTAGGGAACAAGTCAGTTGACAGGATATTCCCGAGAGGAAAATTTTTACACTATTTCCCGAAAATGTGGCAGTCACTATTTGTTTTATTATATACCTGATAAGTACTCTGTAAACAATAACAAAATGAGAAGTCTTTTCATTTCAATATCAAATGTTCACAGGTTCTTATTGGCATTTAAAGGCATTTTACCTTTCAACTCCTATAATCTCAGATTTGGGGGAAGATAAAATGTACTATTGACTGGTCACATGACCTAACTGGTGATTAGTACAATTCATCTTCCCTGAAAGCAGGGATTTAGGACTTACCAGGGAATTAGTTCATCTATTCCATGTCATGTGACCATGAATAAGCCAATGAGCATCTAGAATACATTTGAGGTATATAATAATACTAGATATAGTACTCCTGGGCTCCTCTCTCTATTTAATACATGAGCCTGGTCATGGGAAAACCGGTCTTATCACAAAAAGTAAAATTGTGCTACAGAGCCAAAAATGTGCTCAAGAAAAATGTGCTAAATTCAAATCCGTCTTTTGGTCTATATCTGCAAGAAAAAAATTGTTAAGACATAAGCCATGGCTCATTTGAAAGGTCTCTTTGTGCTTTTTAAGATAAAAAATCAAAATATTGAAAAATATGTGATAAGACCCCTTTTCCTGTGGCCTGTCTTATATACTAAGTAGTGTTCAGCTATCAATATACGTTGTATTCTATCATATGATGTGAGTTTTTTTTCTTCAGGTACCACAGTGCATAAAAATCAATATGGATTTTAGTTTTTAAATTAATTATGAAAATTCGAAAATCGAAAAGTCCCATTGACTTGGTTTGACCTGAGACCATCATTTTTTATGTTAGTCTCAGGTTTGACCTATTTTTAAACTAAAAGGAATAACATGTACAGTTTGGAAATGCCTAGCGTGTTTTGAATATAATTCTATTTGGTACAGTATCTTAGTTTGCGATCACTTTCGTATAAATCTCCGATGGTTAAAGTAATGAGATTGATGTTGTCGATTTTAGGGTTATCAAGCGATGATCGCATATCTTAAGAAGCTCACCTATCATCCGGGAATTGACAGGAGCGTTATCATATAAAACAACGTAATCGTCTCTGCAGAATGATCGTCCAAGAAACTTCTCTTCCGCAATATCGAACTGGTCATCGAACCAAGCGAGTACTATCTGGTATAAACAAAAGAAAATTAATTTTAAGATGCAAGTTCGACAACTTTGAATGATAGATATAGATATGCTAATGAAAGGGGTGCATAACATGGGCCTGAGTGTATCTAGACGTTGCAATTTGATTTAAATTTGATTTTAATTGTGTTCAGAAAAATGGTCAAGGTAAGAAGACGGGTCTACCACAATCTAATCGTCAACCGTTCATTAACTATACTCATATTTTGAAATATGAATGTCTCCACATAATGTTTAGTAATATTGGGGACTAATTCATACATAACCCTCACAATGCCCCACCCCGTCATCTCTAAATTGATCTGATTAAGGTTCACGTCTCTAAATTCTCATTTTGAAAAAAGGGTAAAGTCAGTGGAATGGGTGTCTTTCCTTTTGTTGAACCAGATAATAACATGGATATATATGTGTAGCATTTTTCTCTAAAGGTTTGTGTCACACGCCCGGAACAGGGATGACGTCAGTTAGATCCGAACCTCCTTAAGCTTACCCATCCCCGAGGGGCCTGTATTATCCAAGAGCATTGTGAATTCTTTTCATATCCTATTGGGTAGTTCATTGAAGTAAAACTACCAAACAATTTTCCAGTTTGGTTGGCATTGTTTCCGCACCCAGACTCTTGGAAGCTATAAGTGTCCGGTATGGTTTCTATAAATACAGAAGACAATGGAAGAATATGATGTTTAAATAAATAAGGTTTGAACCTACAAATCATTCGGAGTTAATCTTAAAATGTGTCACAGTGAACTTTTCAATAAGATATTTCTGGCATTTTGTATAAGTCCAGCAAATTACAAATAATTATTGAAAAATTCGATATGACTTTGTGGAATAGGAGTTGACTTGGTAGGTCACATGACGTCGTCACATGATCGAGCTATGTAGAATCCCGGGTGTACAAGATTCAAGATTCAAGATTCAAGATTTTATTGTGTTTCAAACCAAACACTTGGTTTCCTCACAAAATCAATTACAAGACATTTACATATAATTATACAGTTAAAAAAACAAAAAACAACATGCATTGTTTCACAAATACCATCATACAATCTTTCCTTTTTCAAATAGCTCCCGACGCTGATTAAAAAGTTTATTTATAAAATGTATCAATTCGTTAACAATTTCAAAATCATCAGAAGTCATCAAAAAGTTATATTTTTCTTTATCCGACATATTATCAAATGTGTCAATAAAACTTAGTTTATTAAAAAATTCAAATCTACATTTTTTATAGCCATCACACACAAGAAGAAAATGCTTTTCATCCTCTACTTCCCCCTTATTGCAAATCTGACAAATTCTTTCATTTATTTCAAGTCGATGCTGTTTAGTGCCATCTTTTTTCTTTTTCTCGTGTCTCCCTGTTTCAATTCTTAAATTATGGTTTGCTAATCTAAACCTGGCCATTTTAAAAATTAACATTTTGTTAGTAGAAAACACTCGGATTAATTTCATTTTGCTAATTACCCAAATGTAAATCAGTCGTATTACACGTAACTACTTAATACATAAAGTTATGGATTTTGAATAAGAAATGCAAAAATTGTCAAAATCCTTCTTACTGTTGTTCACTATTTTGGTTGTCACATGATAGTTCCGTATAAAGTTTGAAGGAGTGCTCATGAATATTATTCAGTGACACGTAATGGCAAATAAATATGGGAGCTACTCACATCTTCTGGATTAGATAAGTCACAAATATATTTGACTGAATGATAACACTCTATTTAGTCATGAAATACTTCATAATGATATGTCGAAAGTTTTTTCATGAAATGTATAATTATACTATCCATTTTCCGGGATTTGTGTCACACGCCCCTGAACAGGGATGACGTCATTTAGACTTCCTTATTGGAGCTTTCGTACATGGTACAAATATAAAACTATTGCGCAGATAGTTGAACTCATCAATTTTTGTAAATTTTCATCAATGAACATGTAATCATTTATTTGAAATGTGTTTGGATACAAAAATGTACTTTTAGATTAGATCAAAGTATGCTTACCTGCCGTTGACACCTGTTGATTGGGACATCTTAAAAACAGAGACAATACGAATATTAATAACCACTTCATAATTAAGAACTTTGGATGGAGTTCATTTGAATTAATGAACGATATTACTCTACGATGCGCCTAAATACTTGATAACCGATAAGAAATAAAGATAACGATTTTCACATTAAGGTAGTTGAACTGAGTTGCTCATGTATTCTGCGTGTTTAGGTTTATGCCAAAACTATCATGCAAAACTTTTCTATTTTTAGTATTAGTGAAAGTACCTGAATGGTGATAAAAATCAGCAAAAATCGAGAAATAACCACCATTCGGGGAACAACAAATAGAACTAGAAACAGACTAGAAACAAGGGATTTATTTTTACAAAAAAGTTTCATTAGCAAATACTGAGTAAGCAAGAACTGCTTTTATAAATTTGAACCATTCCAGTATTTTCTCTGCTTGCCTTTATCATCTATCGCAGATCAAAGCGTTTCCTAATATAAGGTCAAACACTTACGGCCTGGCAATTTTTCTTTGATTCATTGATACTGTAGATTCTGTGACAATTTACGTACATGTAGGCTGTATATCTACCTTAAGATAACAAGGCAATTTCGATCCATCAAACCACGAATCTTATCACTGACAATTGCATTATCCAGGTGAATTGCTACTTACCTCGTATCATTCGGGTCGGTTGGTTTAAATTCTGTCAAAACGAGAGTATTTCCTAAGCGCCGACTGGTAAAAACTTAAAAAGGCCGAACTGCGTGACAGTTTAAATAAGCAAGTAAAAATACACTCCCCTCCATAAGTTTGGCAACCTTAGCTCCTCATTGAACTATGTGTTGAACTACGAACTACATGGAGAGGGGGTGTACCTTTCAAGTCATATCCAACGATTGGAAGTAACATTTTCCATATGTAGTATAAACTGGACAACTTGGTTTAATAAAGAATTCTTGTTCTTTTGTGAACAGGTAAATACCAGGTCGTTCGATAAGTTCATGCAAAAACATTCTCACTTTTTTTATTTTCTAATTTTTTTCCTTGAAACTTTCACAAATCATAGAAAAATACATACTCATTGAAAGACAAAAAATAAATTACTTTGTCCTGATTGTACAAAAATTATGGTTGCTATGGTAACCCATGTTTTGGTCATGCGGGGCAATTTATGACGTGAAAAAAGTTTAATATTAATTAAATTCTTGTGATTCATTAGTTGCACATTAGGTTAACTATATAAAACATTGCATTTTTAAATTGAAGTTTCTAACAAGCATGTCACTTCATTAAATGCTCAAAATATTCTCCTTTATACTGGATGCATAGTTTCACCCATTCTTTGTATTGAGCCCTAAAGCCACGGGGGAATTTAGTGCGCATTGCACTCTGCACAGCTGCAGTGAGCTCTGTCATGCATGCATAACTAACACCTATCAGTTCATCTTTCATCCTATTCAGGCCGTTTCTTTTGTAGAGCTCGCACTAAATTCCCTTGTGGCTTTAGTGCTCAATACGAAGAATGGGTGAAGCGCCAGGAACTATGCATTAAATGAAGTGACATGCTTGATAAGAACTTCAATTTGAAAGGACAATGTTTTATAGAGTGTACCTAATGTGCAACTAATAAATCACAAGAAAAATCAATTAAAATTAAACTTTATTCACGTCATAAATTGCCCCGCGTGACCAAAACACGGGTTACCATAGCAACCATAACTTTTGACCAATCAAAACAAAGTAATTTTTTTCAATGAGAATGTTTTTTCTATGATTTGTGACAGTTTCAAGGAAAAACATTGAAAAATAAAAAAAAGAGAATGTTTTTGCATGAACTTATTGAACGACCTGGTATTATTTATTTTTGTAGTAACTGTTGTTGATTTTGAAGGCCGTGTACAAACCATTACTGCATGAACCATTATGGCCACATTTACCAATTGCAGTAATACAGTTCTCGGAATAATATTCAAAGCAACAATTGTACACAGATATTGGCCATGGGTCAAGTAAGAGTAGAAGCCAGATTGATATCTTACTATTCAATGATACACCCCTTGCCTAGAGTTGTATTTTCACAAGGCAAATATTTGGATCGGATTGTTCAGGTGTGAACTAGTTATGTGTGGCAGTAAGTTGATACAGTTCATTGTAGGATGTTTCTACTTCAAAAAATTCATAAAGTAAGCCAAACTGATAAAAACAGTATGTAAATATTTGGATAGAAATGATTCACTAAAATTCATGTCGATTATTAAGACAACAAATGATTCCGAAGCGTTTAGACAAATTTCGTTTCAGAGTTATTAAATACAGATACTAAGGTACATAATAAAAGCATTAACATGACAAATGTCAGCACCTTGCATGTAAATTGTTACAGACGCCAAACTCCAAACGCTGACTGCCAAACACTGTCCAGAAAAAATTGGAGACTATAACAATATGTCATCACTTCTGATGGTGATATAACCAGAATTATATGTCAAAGGCGAAAGTGGGTACTACATGTACTACATGTATAATTGTTTTTTAGTCTCAAGAAAAAAGCTTATTTACTATCAAATTGGACAAAACTAATTTAACCAACCATTAATTGCACATCAAACATAATATTACATATTGATAATATTTGTTTATTTATAAACACAAACAGGTGTAAATAGTGTATGCATCAATGGATGCTAGTACGACATAGTACAATATTCATGTAAGAATGTCAAAATATAATATACAATATATTAAGATACTAAAAGATAGACCTTTCCAATAAACGCTACCACCTTTTGCTATTCCCAATTTCCAAATTATGGAGCTATATGATTTATTGGCCAAACTCATGATGTCATAAGTTGTATTTTGTGATTTTTACAAACAAACTTCAAACAGCAATAAGTTAATCTTAAAATAACCTTGCCACCTGCGACTCATGACATCATGCATCCAATCAGTAGTTTCGTTGATCTGAAAAAGATGGCAGCATTTATTGAAGTCTCTTTTTCATAAATTATTGGTTAATACGGCAAATCTTATATAGTTCATATGTACATTTTTCATTCTGCGGTCATTACTGGTTTTCCTTGAAGAAATACCATGGTAAGTTATGTATTTACATTTTCTATTTACATGTACTGCAATAATTGATGTGTACAGTATGTACCATACACAAGGATACCAACATCAAAATTAGGTCTGAAAAGCCTTGCCAAAATGGTAAATGAATAAACAATTGGGATTTGATCCAAAACCTATGTAGATATTTGTATGAAAATAATAAATAATAGATATAATGAACTTAGTTATCTTCAAAAAGAAAGTAATTTTAATGACTGAAACATTTGTTGTAAAAGTTGAATTTAGAAAAAAGATTGATGGAACTCATTTTTCAAATTTTTGAATTTCCCACCATTCTTTCAGCAAATGAACATTGTGCAAATCCTCATTTTCTCAATGCCCCTGAAAAGACGAAAAAAGATAAGTAAAAGCCACATTTGAATTATTTAATTTTTGTATACTATTAACTGGTCAAACACTGGTTAACAGAAATAGGTGACCCCAAAAATACTAAATCCCAGAACACTGCAACTGAAACATTTTGAAACCAATGTGTGTTCAAAAACTTTTAATAATTAAAAAAATCACATATAAGATCTTGGTCACTCTGAGTAAGACTACAATAAAACCAAGTGGTTTTCACGGGGCCTTTAAGTACTTCTTCGAGATATGTTAAAATGATCTTGGGAAATTGAAGCTGTAAAATGTAAAGTTTTGTACTCATGTGTGTCCTATAATAGCGTAGTGTACAAAAAACCAAGTGGTTTTCACGGGGCCTTTAAGTACTTCTTCGAGAGATGTTAAAATGATCTTGGGAAATTGAAGCTGTAAAATGAAGTTTTGTTCTCATGTGTGTCCTATAATAGTGTACTGTACACTTAAATGTCCCATGCAATTAGTCATAAAATTTGTCCTATCCATTCAAGTATGCCCTATACGCTTCTGTATCTTATGACATAAATCGGAGACTCTGGTTGAAAGTTTACACAATCTTTCGAAGTCTACTCCCATTACTACTGCTAACGCCTGCAGCTGAAAAAATATTAAATTGTCTTATTTATGGTGTCCATTTATCAACAGTTGTGGAATAATGAAATTTTTTTGTCAATTTGTAGGGGGAAGTTTACACGATGGTTTTGTTAGTGAATGGTGTTGATTTTTTAATATTCAAGTGAAAGACAAATCAACATTTTAGAATGCTATCTATTATAATACTAGGTTAATTTTAAGATTTGATCTAGAGATAAACATTTGTAAATCATACACTACTTAGATCATTCCCTAGTGATATAGGAGATACATGTAATTTATTGTGATGTTTATTTCTATACTGGATTTACTGTCATTTATGATAGAAGAGGAATATTAAGAAATCTCTATTTTCCATAGGGTATAACTGAAAATGTTGATGACTATTGCACAAAGGAAGTACATGTAAATGTATATATACCTCATCATTTGATGCCATGAGATTATACAGAGCAGATAATGTATGAAACAGTACATCTTCTCCCAGTGGCTTTGTAATAGCCTCAAGTATAGCACTGCCAACTTCTACTCCAAGGTCCCCCGATACAACCTGTAATGAAAATGTTTCACGAATATTACAGGGTGGGCCAAAAAAGTTTATCTAGGAATCTGTCCTTTTCAATATCTCAATCTGCATCACTTATCATTTTCATTCCTCTCTTGGAATAATGAAACAAATAATTATTTTCATAGCTACATGTTTTCAATATTTCAAGATTCTCTTGAATGTTGTAAAGTGACATCTTTCTAAATTGCTCTGCTTCATGAATTATATAAAGAAATCAGTCTATGTTATGATTTAAAAGAAATCTCAATCATGATAAATTGCGAAAATTCAAGGGCAAGGTGAAAATGTGCAAGTTGATCATTGATAGAATGTGTGAAATAAACAGAAAGCACATACATGTAGTTTGTAATCAGAGTTTAATATAATTAACAAGGCATTCACAAGCAAAGTTTCACCACCTGCCATTTGTTACAGACGCTGAATGCCAACCGCCAAATGCCGTCACAAAAACTTGGAGACCACGTGGTGACATCATAATGCATAAAAATTAGGTATTCCATACCTTATTTACCGAGAGGTTGAATGCCCATATAGATCCTGTCAGCTGAAAATCTGTAGAACTGTTGAGAATTGCACTGACACAACAGTCTGATGTGATTTTATGATTGGATGTTAGCAAATCATCTAATGGCCAATCTGTAGTTTCTGTTAACCAATCACAGCCAAGCTTACAACTGCAACAATTGCTCATCTGTAAAATAATTTGTGCCAATTACAATAGAATCTTACATTGAATATCTGGGGAAACTTCTAAGAAAACGTACAATGTCTGGATGTACAAACAATTATTTAGACTTTTGAATCCCAACATTGTCGTAATTTCAGAAGACCTCTGTTCAAAGGACTGAGATGATAATATCTAATTTTTTTCTCTTTCAAGATACATGCATTACAAAATGCTAGTACAACATACAGATAATGATGAAAGGATAATCTTCTGAATTACTGTATTTCATCAAAAAAATAATAAAAATTATAATGTAAACTGTAATCACTATATTTTGAATGAATAGTAGTCCTACTAATATTGTGAACTTAAGTTCTTGGTATAACTTATAAATAAAAAACATATGTCTTATAACAGGGACAGTATTTCTTAAAACTTCTACTCGACTCTTAATATTTTCCCTAATACATGTTAAAGCACTTACAATTCTAAGCAGAACGACTTGGTGTTCATTTGACAATCCTTCCCGTTGTTTGGATATCTTCAGCATGTTGTGATCTTTATCCATTTTTAACAAATGAAGAACTTCTTGTCTTAGAACTGCCAGTCGTAGAAAGTTCAACCCAAGAGACTGCGTTTTAGGATTGTCATTCATTTTTATTATGTCAGCTGAAATGCATTGTGTGAATATTCGTAAGACAAATATTAATCGTATACTATTTCAGCAATTACATTGGTAAAACCTGTGACAAGGTGCAGTGATATATAAGCACAACTAATATTCAAAATGGCTGCCTTATTAATTACTATGCATGTCAATAAAGCTTATCAAATTATGGCACAAGTCTGCTTTTCCATCTGTTTTAAGTTCAACGAATTGAATAGTTATCTTGTTATTATCTTAATGGCAAGATTTCTTGTGCCTGTGTGCCAATCTGAACATGATAATAACAATATAGCAGTTGAAGTGCAACAAAAACCAACAGGATGTACTTTCTCATAAAGAATCTTAAGAAATACTGAGTGCAATTTAGAAAATATATTTACAGCCAGTTAAGAAATTCTCTCCAAAGCCATTTTCATATTGAAATGTTACTAAACTGTGTCAACACCCATATGCGTATATCTGTAAATGTATATAGATTTTTGCACCAACTGAAAATAGATCGACATACAAGAGTTAAGTTCAATCTTGGTTATCACATTGAAACCTCATTTTTTATATTTGGACTTACTTAGACATCTAATATGTTCTTTACTGAGGTACCATTGAGGTTCTTCTGTTGATAAATATTCCCGAACCTCGTCCAATAAGGCTATGTCAATGTTTGGTAATGTTGAAGATATTGTTGTACGTATGTTAGTGTACTCTGTTAGAATCTAAAGGGAAAGTAAACATTTTTTGTGAAGTAATTTTCAGCAATGCTAATATAAAAAAAGAGCGCAGCACACAGTTCAAAAACACTGATAATAGAATATTTAATGGAAAATTTAGCATGTTTAATTTTTTAACTTTTTTTTAAATTAAATTTTTATCCATAGAAAATACATTTTCTTTATTAAAACACGTGAAACAAATTTAATAAACTACATCATAAGGTATATGAACCCCACTGAAGATTTTCATTTATGATTTTTTCATACCTTTTTTCCATGGAACGTAATTGGTTTATTTGGATCAGCAGTGGACTGAGATTTTGTTGTGTTGTTTGTTTGACTAGTAGCAGCCGAATTTCGAGATTGTGGCGTTGTTGATGATGATGACTCAGGGAAGACTGAGTGATGGCCACCAGAGGGAGTCACTGACATGGCGTCAACAAATGGCTTAATCATTGCCCCGAATGGACTGAAATATCAGTTTACAGTTAACATATACATATTTTACAGTTCTTCAGCAAACATAAACATTACGTTATACTCATATTTTCAGCTTTAATCAAGTCATTATTCAATTTTTTTTCATTAAAACTGCGAAATATCCAGAGGTTGAATATTCCTTATGCAAATAGCAATTAATAAACTTAATTTGTTATTTCTACATATATGTAGCACAGTTAGATACATTTACAAAAATTAACATTTTAATGCATATATTAACTCCTCAAAAATCAATTACAGTAAGTGAGAACTCAAGACATTGAAATTAGAAGACAAATGGCTGCACTGGATAAACATTTAATGAATTAAACATGTTCATAAGCTACTACAAATGAAAATCTGTGTACATAATACTACATTTCTATAGTGATAGCACTCATCTTCATCTTGACTCTCAAGGTTTTAGATGCTCCAATTTGTTCCAAGGGGTGTTATAACCAATTGGAATTCGAAGATGACTCCTCATCAACCAAAAAACAACTGCAAAGCATGACACAGATAATGCGATAAATTATAACTTACGTTTGCATAACTTCAGATGGGAGGTTTGTAATGTGTGCAGGGATTGTCTTTCCTGTTAGGAATTGAGCAACCTCATTACTGAATGTGTTACAGTTATGTTCCAATAGATGGTAGCACTCTGGCCTAGATAAATAAATAAGTATAAATATTAGTTTAGTACAAATGTTTTAACAGTACTCATTTTCCTTTATCTAAATAGTTCAAAACAAATAACATTGTAATTCTGCCTTGTTTGAGATAATTTAATAACAAAAAATACATGCACATTACTTTCATACACGTAAATTACCTAAATGTTGTTTGTGATAGCTCGTGTAAATATTCCATGAACATTTCGAGGGGTATCTGGGTAGATCCAAGGTCATCTATTGTGTCTGGTGGCCCTAGTTGAGTACCACACTATCAAGAAATGAATGAAAACACGCATATGAAAAATATCGTCCCACCATGAGGCTATACACATTTATCAAAATATAATTTTCATCGAAAAGTAATATTGATAATCAATACACTTCCTGGATAATGACTCGCACATACATGCACAGGTTCAATTTATCTGAAAAAATTGTACAATACTCTTAAATGCATATATTATGTTTAGATTAATGTATTATGATGCAATATTTAAATTTTGACTTACTGGTGGACAACTTTCTATTCCCATTCCTCCAAAAAAGTATTCCTGGCCATAGGCAACAATTGCTGTGTGCCAGATACCATCAATTTGTCTCCCTATAACACAAAGCAATAGGGAAATTCATTTGTTGACATTGAAAAATAGGAGTTATTCAAGGAATGGGACCTTCACAATCCAATTTGAATTCCGTAAATCACTTTGTGAATCCACTAAATAATTGAAGGAAATTCTATTTCTAAAAGAAATAAAATTTTCTTTCGAAGTTTCCTTCCCGGAAGTTGATTTCTGATCGAAATAGTACGAGGCATGTGATAGGACAAATAGTTATCCAATACTCGATATCCGAGCAGTATAGTAATCAGTACAAGTCTTACGATTGGCCGCTAGCTGAAGACCCGATTTAAACCATTTTCTATTGTTCAAGTGCGATCACAAGATCATTATTTAAGAATGCGCATGTGCAAGAAACTGTACTAAAAAATTGAACCTCGCGCAGATTGCCTTATACACAAAGAAAATGTGTTTCTAACGGTTGAATATAAGTTATACCTCACAAGTGATGGTATCTGTATCATTCAATGACATACTAGACTCGCCAGAACACTGATTTAGACCGACAAATAGCAAAAGCGATACAAAATTTCATCAATTTTATTTTGGTTAGTGTAAAAGCGTGACTTTGAATTCCCGGGAACATTTTTTCAAGGGAAGCAGTTTTTTGAGGGGAGACGCATTTTTTGAAAATTGTTACATCCCAGAGACGCAATCTTGGACAAACCTACTGAAAACACTGGGGCTATTTGGACATTGACTTATATTTCTGATTCAAATTGTCCGCCATGTTTGTTTTCTGGAAATTTTAAAAATAAATTGAAATCTCCAACGGTCAAGATCTAAATCCAAGATGGCCAACCCTGGATCATAGTGAACAGAAGCCCCCGTGTTATCTATAGGTTACACTACAAGTTCGGAAAGAAGTTTGAAAAGAGAAAATAGGGTAAATTTAAAAATTATCTTTGACTTGTTTTGTTTACATGATTCTTCTGGCACACCTAAAACATTGTAATGTCAGTGAATACCGACATCTCAGTTGGGAGCCAGTTTTTTCTGATTCAAGATGCCAAACCTGGAGTATTCAGTATATATATAGAGAACTTCCCATTATCCGTGCGCTGAATATATGAATTATTGGCAATGGTAAAAAAACATGATCAAAGTAGCCCATGACAAAATAACCCCATAAATGTATATCGAATGTCGACACATCTTCCCTACAGTTTGGACCAAAATAAATGACAGGTGGATTTTCTATCACCATATCCAAACCATGGTGTTTTGAAAGCCCTGTACATTTAGTCTCAAATATTGTCTAGATACATATCCCTTAAAATTTTTATATTTTACATTTTGTATACTCTCATCCACTGATGTATGGCCTCTTGAAAATTCTCTTATTTTTAACATGGGAAATCCTCACTTCAGCAAATCCATGTGTCATTATTTTTGTTCCAAACTGTAGTGTAACATCCATAACAGAATATTCTAGAAAGTACAAGATAATTGCATTTATGAAAAAAGTAGAGTCAGTACGTCTATTTCCAAACACCCCCATCAAAAAATGTAGTTAGCTTGGCTGTACTGCACATCTATGCTATGATTCTATATATATTATGTGTATTATCCACTGTAGAATGCATTTGCAGAAAAAATTACGAAAAATTGTAAAAAATATCTGGGTTATTCCATTTTTACTACAAGGTATTTTAGGGGGGTAATTCCGAACAGGAGTTTTTTTGGGGGGTAAATCCGAACATTTGCATGGGGGTAATTCCAAACACTTAACTTAAACTTAATTGTTTTAATTATTAGATTGATGGTATATCATTATATGATACCCTTAACTTATGATACTGGATCCTGTCACCCCTGCATATCAAGAAACCCAAATTTAAATCATTATTACTGACATCTATTTATTTAAACGCACAGAGTTTGTGGGGGTAATTCCAAACACTAGCATGGGGGTAATTCCGAACACCTAAATCATCATAATTGATTATTTTATTGTAAGATTGTTGGTATACATCATTATATTGTATCTTTCAGGCTATAAATATTATGTAGAGGTAGTAGAGGTACTATTATTCAATTCAATGATCTGCTTGCCATTATTTGGAACCCGTTCGTGTTTACCCCCCTGTTTGGATTTGGACGTATTGACTCTATACAGTGCGCGAATGTATTTCGACTGTAAGTGTGTAATAAACAGACCAAATAAAAAATAAATACAAAAAACAGGAATTCGATTTATGAGGATGAGAATTCAGAATGCATCACCATGATGACTTGGAAGAAAAAATATTGAACTGGGCGATAATTGAGAAGTATTTCATAAAATGTTGCTCACTTTACCAACACTTCACTTACCTAGAAATCCCATCGATAGAGACCTTGCAAGCCCTTTTGATAAATCATAAATATAGACTTTGATGGGATACTCGTCCATTTCGATGAAAATAAGCTATTTGTTTTCTCAGAATAATATTTTGTAAAAATTTCAAAACGATAGGCAGCTGATACTCGTTGGAAATTTTTATACGCTAAAAATCCAAACGATCAGTTTTACACACGGCTTATAATAAGTGAAGTCCGAACGCGCATCCTCGGCTACTCAGGAAAAGTTTTCAGATCCGCCCCTGGTTATCCTGCAAATACATTGAAACTGATGATACGTTTGCACTAAAGCTGAACTAATAATTACACCCTATGCAATAGTTGAATAGTAAACACATTTTTCAAAACTGTCAATACAAAAGAAATCAAATTTTTCTAAAATCGGATCATGAGCAATTTACCTTCATAATTGTCAGTTTGGGGTTTAGGCTATATAAATCTCGTATTTGGTCTAACATGCCATGAGCCTAGGGCCAAGGCCATCGGCTTTAATTCGTCCTAAACCAAGTAATCATAGTAAATGCGCCCTTTTCAGACATCGTTGATTTTTGTCCGAAAAATTCAAAAATTAATAAAGGTCTGGTAACACTTACCGAGAAATAGACAAAAATAACAATAGAGAGTTTAAGTTGCAATGTTTTTCACGACAGAACTGTGAAAGGAAAGCACACGAATCATCTTAGTGATATGTATAGGGTGCATAGAAAACAAGTGCTAATTCAGAATCATATCCCGTTCAGCTTCAGAGTTTCGTGTTTAGAACGGCCGAAATTTGCAATTTTAAGTCGGTGTCAACGGGAATCATTATTCTCATGTCTATTGAATACTATGCTGGCAATTTTGATTTAGCAGTGCATATATATTAATGCATGCTTTCTGAAAAATGATGCATGTCATATGTTCTTACGCAACAAGCTTGCATGCTTGATTTTATATGTAAGCTTTAAGGTGCAACAATGAGTGCAAGGGGGTCATTCAACGATCATCGCCGGACCAGTGTCAAAATATCATTTAGGTTTGAATTTTTCATCAAGACTAACATATATTTTCATTATCTACAAAGAAACCCCCTGGATAAGCATTATTTCAGCTGATATTCCTCTTGAAACGTGGTGAATCTTAAAAATCTATAAGTTGGACTCCCTGTATAGAAGCTTTGAACTGAATTTATACTTCTTAATGTTGAAATTGATAGTTAATACATACGTTTTAAGAAAATAGGTATGCCAAATATTGACCTGATAGCTCAGAAAAAATAAAACATTTCGCATTTTCTCTCTACAGTCCTTGTTGCCCCTTTAAGCTCTGTTATCAACGATCTACGTGAATATGGACATTACTCAATAAAATTCAATAAAATGTCTTTGAAAATAACGCAAGTCTCTTAAACTTGAGAGTATATATTTTCAGTTATAAACTTCTCTATAGATGAGTAAAGCTGAGAGACAAGCTGTGCTCCTTAATAGTTCTATTAGGTCTCTTAACCCCTGAGCTAAATTTGACAGACAGTTTCTGAAAATGTTCATTGCCAATTATTACACTATAACTCCAGGTATTTCCGATGAAAGTCACCTCTATCAAAACAGGGTCACTTTCTTAATATATCATTATTAGTATTGCTATATGTAACATGTCATTATGACTTGCATTATAAAAGTACAACTCTATAATCGAAGCGATCCTACGCAGATTTTCACCCATCGTCGTGTATATGTACGCGTGATATATATAAAGTAGTTGCAAAGAGCGGAGAAACATTCCTCTTTTATTTTCACACCTCCTTCAGAGATAAGTCTATACCACTTGGATATGTAATATTCGAAGTATTCCTTCCGGCAAGCCAGATTCCAGTACCAACCACGTAAGACGAAAAACCTGGGGAATTAGATCGCATTTATTATTTGGAAAGCCGTCTGGTTGTTGTATCTATTTTTCTATTCTTGCATGCAATACCAACTTGGCAATTGCGGAGATAATGGGAACTCAAACCGAGGACCATATACAAATAATCATAAAGGTTAAACCTATCAATATTGAATAATATATTTATCGTTCATCGAATTCGTTTTTTCATAAACATGCATCATTGATTACAATGTGAAAGTTGAACTTGTATTGGGAGAAGGCTGCACAGTAGCTCTCTCACACAACAGAGACTGCAGAATATTCTTGATAAAGTCAAGTGGTTTGGCCTCTTGTTTATAGCCTCTTAATGGATACATCTTACGTATACCATCAAAGTAGAAATCCCAATAATATTGCTTCCAAATATTCGAGAACTGTTTTTAACATAACATGTTTATCATTAACCTCGCCATCATTATCTCAGGCATTGATCGCATCATCATCAGCAATGCCTGGTAGGGTTCCTGTCTTCATTATAACGTGTCTATTATTTGATCATCATTTTACATCTTTACTTTAGGCAATCTAATATTTGATGGTTATTAATCTTAGATGCATCAGAATTACGAGTGAATGACTTACGATTACAGGGTAAGCCAAAAATTTCCTTCATAAATGTAGGGCCGTAAGGTGTCCATTAAACGTTACACCACGATGTAATGTAAGTCATCTAGATCTATGATATGAATAAATGCCAAGAGTTTATGATATTTTGTTCAAGAATAGTCAAAATTGTCGCCTCATTTAATATAAATCCAAACGTATTGAATAGCATAAATGTCTCATAGCATTTACCTGATTTAATTTTAATATAATTTATTCTAATGATGTGTTATGTTTACTGAATCTATATCCTAGCCATGCCAACTCGTGTGGACTTGTCCAACAAAACCTGGTAAAACATAAAAATGAATGATTTAAATTAAAAAGTCACATAGGCACTATTATCGCATTGCATGGTTGGATAAGTACGAATTGTCATATCGGTTAGAAGCAAAGGCGAGCTCCAAGTGTCATTTGCTTATTTTAATTCTCGATTTTATTTCTGGTATAGTTGTATTTTATTATACCATTGCTAGAATTCCTGTATTCTGGAAAGATGTATTAATTGCTCGGCGTACTAGCTACCCGCTCTTAGCATCATAGGGAATACCTCGAAATGAAATGTCTCATTTATTGAGATTATTCAAAAATAAAAAGAAATTACAAAACAAATATTCCATTCTACGTTCGTGTAGTACCTGTTAATGTTCATTATCGGGTTTTAAAGTTATATTGCCCGGAACCCCTATGACTATACTTGACTTCATGCGTAATACTCTTTTGTAGTTGTATCGCACCTGCTTACGATTACATAAACGTACAGTGAACAAATCCTCCCTGCTTTTTGAGAAACGGTTAAGACAATAGCTTAAGGTCTCATAGTCAAAAATAACCAGTCCAACAACAAGTTGGTAATAGATCAAAAGTCTCCAGTGAGTTTCACTACGTAGACAGCAGATGCTACCAAACCGATGATAGAGCAGTGATATTTCGCCACATAAACATCTGTATTGGGAATTCGTAACTCAATTTTCAACTCAAACATTTTTCGCGTTAGCTGAATTTTTATTCCTTCAGTGATTGTCCAGAAGATAATGTAACGACGTAGAGAAGTATTACAACCTAGAAGTATTACAACCGTACCCGATTGTTATATACCCATATACGTAAGACGTGTTCAGGAAATATTAGATGTAGTTTATTAATTTGAATATGCGAATAAGGATACACTAGGAAACAGAAGTGTCTGACAAATTTGGTACGAAAAATTAATGAACATGATGAGACGTGATGCTTTGGTAATAAACAATACGAAAACGTCAAAAGATATTTACTTTCTAATATATTAGGGAGATTCATATTCCGAAGAACATTTTGCATTCAATGGCTGATACCTTTACTTGAAATCAAACAAATGGTAAAGAATAAACAACAACTTTTGAAGAAAATGAAATCCTCAAAGGATGGGATCGGAATAAATATGCATCTAAAAAGAATAAATGGTTTATCACGAGTAAATTAGAGCTTGGTGTCTTTCCTTTTGGCTACTGGATATGGATAAAATGGAAATGCTACGAATACAATTTAATATCGTTATGACGTTGGTGTTAACGTTTATTGACGAAGGTACGTTAACCTTTCAGGAATGTTTTTGTATCAGTCCATGTATTCCTCAGAATATGTCAGGTCCGTAGCCAGGGGGTGAGGTCGGGTTCGAGTGAAACCTCCTCCCCGGGTCAATTTTTTTCCTATATCATGCAGTTTTTCATCATTCTGGGTACTTTTCAAGTGACTTTGGCCATTTTGGGCCCAAGCTCAAAAGTGAACCCCCTGGGATTTTTCATAAACTGGATCCCTCTTGGCAAATCCTAGTTACGGGCCTGTATGTGTACATATAATAGCACTTGTTAAACAACTCCGGTCCTCAATTTGGTTTCCTGTTTTCAACCGACTGGAAAAGAAATTAAGTGTCAATGTTTTTTTTAAATAGAAAAACGGTAAAAATATATATATTGTCTAATGAAGAATAAACAAACCAACCCCGGATCCGCCATGCCAGTTATAGTTACATTATGATGGGATACACCTCCATAAACATGTAAATGGAATATTTGATGTTTTCTAGCATTAGTAAACAAATAAAAAAGTGTTGGAAATCTCGGCTGATATTACAAAAACAGTCATGTAATACACTTAAAATCACGTTGCGCAAATGTCAGTTGCAAATGGGGTTAAGAAGAAATGTTGAATTATTCTCTACAATCTCACTCAAGTTTTTCACGCTTGAATTAGATTAGCATGGAGAAAGAAAGTAACTTTTCATTGAAGTTGCTATATCTTTTGTAAATAGACAGTTCTGGATAGCCTGAGAAAAATTATGCTTTTCGAATTTGGTTTAGCCTCATCTCACTTGTTAAAGCATAATGCCATGGAAACATTACAATTTTATTTTATTGCTCAAATAGATAATAGGTCTTCAGAAGTAAAGGAGCACGTAGGTTATCGCAAACAATTTCAAACGATTCTAACTTGAATTATGAATATTTTCTGATCATGAACATATGGGTGTATCTTTTAGATCCATTCATTATCTTCAAGAAAAGTATATATATTGACAATTTAGTTAATCAGACCTAAGTGATATTGAAGGGGCAATGGACCAATCAACATACTTTTTCAAAAATGATGACCTAATTTTCACCAAAAATGCAACCTTTTATTGTATTGTTGAATGCATAATTAGAATGTGCTTTAAGACATGTTGGATTTCCTAAAATGAAAATTTGATTGCTCCAGGGACTTTAAAGATACTGAATTTGGATGACCAAAATGAACTGAAACCAATGGATAGCATGAGATTTTTCAACGGAGAAATAACACGGGGAACGCTTATCTTAAAGCAATTAAGTTTTTCTTTCAAGAACTATTTGATACGTCAAAATAGAGAATAGTAATGCATTAAACATTGTAAAAAATGATTGCATTTTTGGTGAAAATGGGGTCAACATCTTTGAAAAAGTGTGTTGATGAGTTTGTTTGACTTTATTGTTACTGTATATAATTTTTTTGAGATAATGAATTGATTTAAAAGATAAACCTGTCTTCATTGTCAGAAAATAGTCATAGTCCAAGATATAACCTTCTCACGGGATACTAGAGTATCCGCGTATATTGAGTATGACCGGTTCTAAGCTTACGAGTGTGACCGTATTTCTGTTCCTATAAACAGACGAGGTGAGTACTTGCTTTTTATGAATACTTTCGAACGTTTTCTTTTTATCCTACTTGGTCAATGAATGATACTTGGTATACTTATAATGCCAGGCATATCACAAGGGGCCTTAATCAAGAGAAAACGTATTAATATTAGATTGAAGCCGTAAAATCCTAGTTTCCAGCATCTTTGATCAGTTTTTGTGTAACACAACGCAACTCCGAAGAGGATGACACATCTTATGTATAATATATAGCTAGATCTACGAATTAGTCATGAATATTTTAAATAACTTAGCCTGCTCTGTCCAAATATGATACATATTTGAATTTTTGAGAATACGAATGTCACTGGTGCCCCATTATTGGAGAATACGATTGTGAAACAATCAGTGGGCCGTGTTAAACTCGTTTCCATGACATTTCACAAGCGTATCCTCTGGGAAAAGATAAATCCTTCTCTTGCTCACTCTACGGGGGATAATATAAACTGAGATTTGGAGATCTTGTTCAGGTTAGCCATAAAAAGGTTTGGGATTTGTTTTTTTCTACTGTGATATTAATGATTTGGCTCTAAGGCGAGAAATCTGTACTTTCTGATTGATATTCCATTATGAACAGTTACATTGCTAAAATAGCTCATGTTTAACATTTTTTTATTACATTACTATTAAATACAGCATAAACTATTCAACAAACACAATTTCAAAAAGGATAATATAGAAGTTAACCTTTATTTTCCATTTTTAAGCAGCTGTGCCTCTCATGACTTTCCAAAACAGGTCATATTCGTAGCCTAAGAACCGGTCATACTCAATATACGCGGATACTCTAGTTACCCGTGCTTCTGAAATTGTTTGCGATAACCTACGTGCTCCTTTCAGGACTAGAGGTCAAAAATCTCTCTAATCTAGGTGAAAGGAGATTTTTCAAAACATTTTTGATCCTTTTATTGACGTACTTTCTGACGTCATAGAATGTTTTGAAAAATTGACCAAAAATGAGATTTTTCCATAAACTTTTTGCAGGTAAAGTAACATAGGTTAAAATTGGAAATTTAGTGATCGGAATAATTCTTTCATGATTATTTGAGAATTCTTGTGCAAAATATCGAGTTTCTTTCGGAGAATATTGATATTTGTATAGCTTGCTATGAACGGTATTAAACGATGTTCATCTTAGGGCACCGGGCCTATTCCAAGGCAACCAGCTAACCTCCTTGAAACTATACCTCTCCGGGGGTTCAATCCAATCTAAAGATTAAGTACATCATGCATATGATACCAATACCAAGGGAGAAGATCAGGAACGTGGTAACTTGCCAAATGGCCCCAAGGTTACTTTTTTATTTTAGAATATCAGCCATTGGGACATTTCCCATCAACTCATGACTTATTGGCAACTGAAACTTCAATTTGATCATACTAATGTAATTTTTGCATTCTCTCGGGTGAATATACAATAGGCCATAATAAGTGCATTTCATTATTTCATTGGAAATTTCAGAGGTCTACCAACTGTAATTAGTTTTGGAATGCTGGTTTCCCCTTGCAATTAATATATACTTATCCTGGAGTGGCAAGTGTACTATAGATCATTTGCATGTTGTGTTTAAAATTGATACAACCTCCATACATGTTGCAAGACCTTACGACTCCATGTAAAATAATATTCCGACATCATTGCTGAATATTTCTTTCGGGGTACCCACTATCAATGTTTTTGTATACGAATGTATATGTATGCATATTAATTATAATATTAGGAACGTAAAGCAACGTGTTTTGAGAGAAATTGTACGTGAACGTGTATGATAACAGTCATCTGGGGATTGGTTCTCCCCTTCTAGTATTTATAACTAGCCCGATTGAATGTAAAGGTACAAGGAATAGTGGGAATAAGGTCACTGGAAACCCGATTGAGAGGAGGGGATAGTAATCCCTTCTATATAAAACACGTACGCGTTTGCGTTCTCTTAAAAACGTGGCACTAAACCACCCTATTATAACGAAAGCACAAATATTAAATCGGTAAAGACCAAGGAGTTATTCCTAAAATAGGAATGGTTAGAACAGGTAAACAAACAAAACCCCACCATCCCTGAAATTAATCGAACACCTCCCCCCCCTGAACCAAACCATCATCACAACCCACATCACAAGACATTGACTCACCAGGGACATCATTTGACATAGGTTTTGACTACATGACTTAACTGTCAGGTTGATACCTCTGACGATATAATTGATTTTCCACCAAAATCGTAAATTATGTACGAGCTATTGCTATGCTAATTGTTTTATGAAAGAAAGGGGGACATAAAGGAATACCATGCATGTTTATGATTCTATTAGAAATACTGTTATGTATAGATACAAGAGCAAATTATGTCCAGGGGAAATAATCACAAAACACTTTGTATATAAATGGGACAATTGAATTACTTTTTAAATAACGTGGCTCTTATTACCGTTGTACATGAAGCATATATTGTAAATAAGAGGTAAAATTGTTTATTGAACATTACAGTATATATAAATGTCTGATTTTGTATGGTTTTTTTTCACGAACTATTTAATTTCCGAATTGATGGATTCTCTTAATGGGTGTACCATTATCTTCTAAATGGAATATATGTCGAACATTGCTGACTTTTATTAGTTGTTCATGAAGCTTTTTTTTCTCCAGGGAGAGCTATTGACTGCTTTAGCTGCATGTCTGTCAACAACAGTTTGGAGGCGTGTGAAGATACATTTGGCCCAACTGGGAGTGTCATTCCATTGTTGAGCAGAGACTGTCTAGTAGGTTATCCGCGATTCAAGGCAACACACTGTGTTAAGATAACTGGAACAAACGGTGAGTTTCAAATAGAGAACAATATAACTCCAATAGTTTCACTATCATTTTCGATATTTTCAAAAATCCTTAATCTCAGCTATGAATAAGATCCAAGATACAGGTCTAACTAGCGGGCTGGTCAAATAACCAATCAAATGAGCTGATAGTGATCGGTTCGATACATCGGATTGTACAATAGTACACGTCCTTCCTGCAGAGCACTTCCACATACGATTCATAATAAATGTATTCGATTTTCATCTTATCGGTCTTATTGTTTCAGAGGATGGACATTCAATGATATTGCGGACGTGTGTAAAAGACAATTGGGGAAATGGTTGTGGAGATATTCCCTTTCTTGACCAAAAAGACCCAGAATTAAAACATTACGTACATGGGTGTGTGACTTCATGCAATACAGACGGATGCAATACAGCTGATAGTCTTCAAAGACGTACCTGGATATTTTGGCTTGCAATGGTATTAGGAACTTTGATGACAAATATAGGATAAAACTGATATTGCTCAGGTGTAAACCCTCTGTACGTAGGGTTCCATGACGATTGGTAGAAGGCATTCGTCCTCTTGGAGGCCTGTGTTTCTGAGGGTGGCCTGCAACATTTTGCTCCACTGATGTGCTTCCAGGGGGTGTTACAGACTGACCGGATCTTATGCATTGGGAGAACTAGTGTCGTTTTGCAGTTTCCAAGCACCTTGATTAACCAGTTAACCTCGTATTTCTCATTCAAATCATATGTAGAAACACACAAAAATACACTCACTCTTATTGAATCTCCGAGTGGCAAGATGTAAAATAAGACATCAAGGAGTAGGTGGAACGAAAGATATATTTTCCATGTACATTCAAGCATTATCTATTTTCTTTATAACGAATGGTCCCTAGACCGGATAGTGGGATTCTGCCTCAAGTTGCTTACGCTGGTCCTTATAATTATAAGTACATGCATATAGGGGAGAGTGGTGATGATGTAAATGTATAGATCAACGGAGAGGCGCCGCATTTGGCTAGGACCCAAACAAACCAGCAGGTGTTCCTTCAACATATTCCGCTTTACACTTCCCTCCAAAAAGTTTAGAAACCCCAACATCCCCATTCGGACCGAATGCTATTGCCTGCTTTAACAGGCTTTAACAGGCTATCCAATGGAAAGTCGAGATGCCCAAACTTTTTAACGGGAATGTACCTTCATAATTATAAGCCACAGCATTAAAAATGCAGTGTCAATGGGGACTAGAAGTTATAGATTTCCAAACCGTGTTCAATGCTGCTAAGACTTATTTGAGATAAATACTTTTCGAGTGGCTTTTTTGCTTTAGAAGGGGAAGCTATATCCGTATTCAAGTAAAAATAAATTCATTATACAGTAGAGAACCACGGGTAAAAATATAACTAGACATAAGATTATAGTTTTGGGACCCCTCCCCTTGGTTGTATTTGCAGTGCAGACAGTAGACAAATCATTGAGATCGATCGGGGGCTTTTAAAAATATCCATTCTTCTTGGAGTCGAATCCAATTTGGCCCATGTTTGACCTTTGAGTTTTTATCATTACTTTCAAAATCTTACATTACTTGTAGTGTTCATTTTCACACCGGAATAGCCTGACAACGGTAAAGTCAGATACCGTTGTCACAAATAGCGGACATAACCGTGAATTTTCATGAACTGTATGTTTAATAGAGAACCTGGACTAAATTCCTTTGGAACAATAATCACTCAAAGTGTATTTATACTTACAGCACAGCTAATAATGTTCTACCATCGAAACAAAGTCCGTATCTAACCAATCAAAATGAGAGACGGGACAACGGACAAGTTGCATTACCATATGTCGTTGTCTTTGTAAATTATTTCAGATTCCGTTGTCATTGGCGATATCAAAGACGCTATATATTGTGGCGATCCACGACCCAATTTGATGGAAACTGAGATTTCATATGATACATTATCACAAGAGCTTGATACATGCACAGAATTATCGACGATAAAATCCCATTAAATGAGGACCAAGGGATTAGAGTTGAAGCGACGGTTATGTCCGCCATTTGTGGCAACGGTATCTGACTTTACCGTTGTCAGGCTACTATATCTAGTATTCCGGTGTGATGTTAGGCGTTAAACTATAGGTGCGCGAATATAATAAAAAAACTACAGTATATAGCTAAAACATGTATGACGCACATCATTTTCTTCAGAAAGCATTATATTGTGCATTGAAATCATGATTGCCAGCGTAGTATTTAATACCCCATAAATGTGGGGTTATTTTGAGTTTTTTTTATATGTAGGACAATGAAACAAATGTCCTACATATAAAAAAAACTCAAAATAACCCCACATTTATGGGTGTAAGTATTTAATAGACATGAGTATAATGATTCCCGTTGACACCAATAATGTTCTTAACACAGCTCTGAAGCTGATCGGGTATTTGAAGTAGATTAAGTTGCGCTTGTTTCGTATGCGCGCTATATACATACTGCATTGATTCATTGGCTTTGCGTTCACGGTTCCGTTGTGAATGAACACCACAATATTAGTCCGCATTCATGGTTTATAGTTCTTTAAAGTAAATGCTATATACATGAATAGATGTCTCTGCATACGGTGTCTTTTTTGTAGCTTAAACTCTCAATTCTCTAATAATTACTTAGTACTGTCAGCAGGCCCATAGCCAGGGGGGGGGTTCGCAGGGTTCGGGCGAACCCCCCCCCCCCCCCCCTGGTCAAAAATTCTTTCAAAATCATGCTGTTTTTGACCATTTTGAGCACTTCTCAAGTGATTTTAGCCTAATTTGGGCCAAAATTGTCAAATGTGAACCCCCCCCCTGGAAATTTTTGAAAATTGAACCCCCTTGGCAAATCCTGGCTACGGGCCTGACTGTTTCACTTATACATGTATGTACATCCCAGGCCCGTAGCCAGAGGGGGAGCTGGAGGAGCGGAAGCTCCCCCCCCCTGCCCAGAAATTCTTACAAAATCATGCAGTTTTCCACCATTCTGAGAATTTTTCGCATGAGTTATATATAAGTATTTCAGTAATGTGTTTTGATATATCATGTCATATGATGTATTTTCAAGAGGCTGGGAAAGACCTAGTACTACACAGCAATGTATGCTGTATAACCTATAAATTACATGTACAATTCAATTACTTTACTGTACATGTAGTATTCATTTTTGGCGCCCGCTTATTTTGATGTTTCACTGAGATGTTTGTAATAAAATGCATCGTACACGAAATGTGAGTTATGTCTTTTTGTAATATATTTCAACTCCCCATTTCGCTGTTCGCTCTTTGAATCAGAACGTTCGCATATATGGTGCATATATGTACTCAAAAAGGACAAAATTTGATTGGTCAATATTTTTCAACGATGCATTTCGTGTAGCTATTTGTGAGACCCGAAAGTTCTAAATCAAATTAATTACGCAATTTTGTTTTTACACCCGCAAGCTAAATAAAAAAATGACACCATCGGAATTCTTCTTCTTTGTCATTGAATTAATAGTCAGTATACCAGATTTAATCAATAAAAGATTATACAATTAACAACAAAATTCGGAAACGAGTATGTAAGATTTGCTTTCGAACCACTAAACTTGACCTAGATAATAGCGACGTGTCTTCTTTGGTCAAATGCTCAGTTGTTTGTGGGTTTTCAACGTAACTCTATAATGTAATATGAAGATGAGTACTTTTATTCAGTTGTTGCATCGATGTTACAGTTTGTAGTGCGGTAATATTGGCATGAACGTGTTGAAAGTCGAATGGAATTGCTTTTTCCAATATGGCGACTAGTCACGTGACTTCTTCTCTTCCGGAATATACTCCCATTTTCAATCATTGTTTTCACCCCGTTAGGAGCCAATAAAATGAAAAAAAATATATGTTATATAAAGATTATTAAAAGACTAATTGTTTCTGATAGTTTGTTTTCTCCGATCGCATGGAGATTCGATCGAAAATATCGCTTGAAAAATGGGTATGAAAATCCCCATGTTAAACCAACGGGGAAAAACAAGGTAGAAAAATTTTGTTCCCCCGCGAACTGCATCATGGGAAATATTTTGACCTTATAAGGAAAAACTTTCGCGCCATCTTTATTAGAGATTCAATACTACCGAATCCGCGATTTTAAGAATAGAAGTAGCATTATCTGTGTGACCGATTATAGCACGGTCCCGTTGAGTCCCTAGTTGGAACATGGGCATTTTATAGATTGATGGCCGCCCTCACATAAGCTCAATATATATTGATACCGATTATTGTACTAACTTTGAATATCACAGTATAGTTATTCTACTTTACCCGTTGACAATATTCGTCTTTAAACTGAGACGTAAGGACGACGAAATGTGCACTTGTTCTGTGTCCAAACAACGAACATATTGAAATGTAAAATATGGTTGTTCGTAGTTGCAGTGTGTAGAGGAATGTAAATGCAAAACTTAAGTATAAATGAAACTAATCCTATTTTTAAAGTTTTACCGAGTACATTGTACACTTTACTTTAAATATTATATTTGAACGTTACTTCCTTAATATTATGTTCAAAGAATGGATAAATATGTTGTAAAAAGGATTTAACTAGTGTAGGCGATATTACTAATTCTATATTTTCGTTTATACAGATTGCGCATCTAGCTCAACAATGGCTGCTTCCTCGGATGAAAAAGCGTTTTTCAGTGCTGTGCAAATTGGAGAAAAGAAGCCCTGTAGAGCATGTACAGACTTCAAATCTTGGTCTAAATTACAAGGCAAATCCACAAAATCCACTTCGGAACGTAAGGTAACACTTGTTATTGTGTCTGTTGTTAATGAGATTGATTTGAAATTAGTCTTCAGATATGTAATATTTTTCTGTGTTGCATCAACTTATTGAAGCTCATTTACCACCAAATGGCAAACAATATCCACGTTTTGATTATCGTATCGCACAATAAGCCATCATCCAACTTCCCCTTCTTTGCTCTAGACCAACATTTGACTGATCTGCAACATTGACAGATTCGATTGAGAATTCTAAATAATCAGAGACATCTATTCAGAAGGCTATGTTTCATTTTCAGTATGACAGATACACAGATAGCCTGGCAGAAGTTCCTGATAAGCCACCAGAAGACTGCCCCTTAGACAGGCCACAACTGGGCCGTAATACCTGGTCATTTCTTCACACTATGGCTGCATACTATCCAGATAAACCATCCACAACTGAACAGAAAGACATGAACAATTTCTTACAACTATTCTCAAAAGTTTTCCCTTGTTATGAGTGTGCAGAGGACTTCAAAGAAAAGTAAGATCTATATATTGCAGTAGTAAGAGGGTTGGTGATCCCCCATTGTACAGTACCACTGATTTACCTTCTTCTAAGGCCACTGTATCGTGGCCTTCCAGTACAGATATATTCCTGCATGAACAACTGGTCATGTCGTAATCATAAAATTTGAAATCATGTGTATGTCTACCATTTTTCCACATCACAATTTGAATTGCGAGTTTTGGTCTTATTACCTCACCAAAAATTCCAAAACACACACAAAGTGATCAGTGTATTAGTTCACATCTTCTGGATTGCTAACTTAGAATTTACAGCCAGTTACTAATGTCAGACGTTAACGACATTTCGTCCAGTTTTCGAACATCGCCATTTTTCTTGGAGCCATTTTGTTTTAATTTTAGACGAAATCCTGTCGAAATCATGTCATATCTCATCAAGAAGCCAAGCTGGATCCGGTTTGATTAATGATTTATTTATCTGGCGATTTTTAAAATATTCAATTAATTTATGACACCCCCGCCAGCTTTTTTCAAATAGAGTTCACGTATTCCAGATGGAATCCCCTCTAGCCAAGTATTGGCTAGAGACTCGAGTAACCACTGATGACCCTACATGTATCTTAATTGCAAGATGAACCTCTCTATGCTCTCTTTGATTCATTGGCATTTTATATTTTTGATGATTTATTGATCAATATTGCTGAGAAACGTATTCACACATAGCGAGGCAAGGTGTGTCCGATTCCAGTTCGGGGCTTAAATCCTTAAGTGAGCAATATATATTATTTTGGCTATTAAAGGAATATGCTTAGGTCAATTAGTTAATGTGAAGTTAATATACTTGTACTGCACAGATGATAGATAATTGAATATACACTTTATTTACTGTATGGTTGTTTTTATGTCCCCCTTATGTCCCCACCACATAGTGTGGGGCCATATTGTCGGCCTAGGCGCGTCCGTCTGTCCGTCCGTCTGTCTGTCCGTCCGTACGTCCGGGAGTTTTCTCCAAAACCGCTGCAGATATCACCTTCAAATTTTCAGGGATAATTTATGAGTGCATACAGATGTGGATGAAAAAAAATTAACTCGATACCTACTTCCTGTCGGCCATTTTGAAGTCAAATGCTAAAATCCTTGTCTGCAAACTTTAAGAAAAACGGCTTCACAGTTGCTTTTAAAACTTTAACATCTTGTTCAGCTCACTTCATTCTAGATCTGATTAGGTTTTGGACCTGTTAGCTCAGTCATGTCAGCCATTTTGAATGTTTTAAGAAAAGTTAGCGCACGATAATACTTTGTATCATATTGAATGGTGTTTTTCAGTTTTCATGCTTTAACTTTTTAGTAGCTTTATAAATAATTTCAGGTGTACTTTGTTGTAAAAGCTTATGTTATTGTTAACAGTAGGTATATGTGATAATTTTGTAAAAAGATTTCAGCAAAAACTCATAATCACTTTTTTATTGTCGGCCATTTTGGATTTTTCCGTCCTAAAATCTTGTCTGTAAAGTCTTGTCTACGCGTTTTCAGGTGAACCGTTTGGTAGATCAATTTCAAATTTTCAGGGATGATTCTTAGTATGAGAATCTAGATCTGATTAGTTTTTGGGCATTCTTGGTAAATGTCAAGGCAGCCATTTTGGATTTTCCGTCCTAAAATCGTGTCTGTAAAGTCTTGTCTACGCATTTTCAGGTGAACCGTTTGGTAGATCAATTTCAAATTTTCAGGGATGATTCTCAGTATGAAAATCTAGATCTGATAATTTTTACGGCATTCTGGATAAATGTCAAGGCAGCCATTTTGGATTTTCCGTCTTAAAATCTTGCCCGTAAAGTCTTGTCTACGCGTTTTTAGGTGAACCGTTTGGTAGATCAATTTCAAATTTTCAGGGATGATTCTTAGTATGAAAATCTAGAACTGATTAGTTTTTGGGCATTCTGGGTAAATGTCAAGGCAGCCATTTTGGATTTTCTGTCCTAAAATCTTGTCTGTAAAGTCTTGTCTACACATTTCCAGGTGAACTGTTTGGTACATCAATTTTAAATTTTCAGGGATGATTCTTAGTATGAAAATCTAGAACAGATTAGTTTTTGGCATTCTGGATAAATGTCAAGGCAGCCATTTTGGATTTTCTGTCCTCAAATCTTGTCTGTAACGTCTTGTTTACATGTTTTCTGGTTAACTGTGTGAGGGATCAATTTCAAATTTTCAGGGGTGGTTCTTAGTATGAAAATCTAGAACTGACTAATTTTTTGTCATTCTTGGTAAATTTTAAGATGGCCATTTTGGATTCTCCGTCCTCAAATTGTGTCGGTAAAGTCTTGTCTACTCATTTTTAGGATAATCATTTGACAGGATTACCCATAGGTGGGGACATATTGTACACATTTGTGTTCTTGTTATAAAGTTATAATGAAGTATAGTATACATGTAGCTACTGTATGGTTAGATTACATGTAGTTTAACCTTCAATATGTGTCAAATCTTCATACTAAGGGCAAAGCTGTAACTATTGTTGCTATTCAGTTATTGTTGATAATATTGTTCTAATATACATGTAAATTACAACAACCTACTGGAGTATCACTGACGATGATCAATCATACAATTCAGGAAGCAATTAAAACAATTCTTGCATGTGTAGAATCCCCATGGCTCTTAGAGACCACATGTCAAGTGACCAAACCTATATTGTTGTTGTATATTTTGTATTTTCAGTATAAAGATTCATCCTCCAGAGACAAGCTCCCAACAGATTCTGTCAAAATGGCTTTGTGAGAGACACAATGATGTCAATAAAAAACTAGGGAAACCAATATTTGACTGTCGGAAAGTTAATGAACGGTGGCGAGATGGTTGGAAAGATGGCAGTTGTGATTGATAGATACTTACAGAATACAGTGTATAATATATATGGATAAAAGTTGTTGAAGTGCCAAAAAGAGGTTGCCACACATACCAGGCCAGGTAGAAAAGAGAAAAAACAGATAGAGATAGAGTTAACAGAACCCGAAGCCAAGATAATGAAAAATGCTTGATAAGTTTTGCTAGAAATGTCACAAATGTTGCATCTTTACCAAGAAATATCTGACGTATTTATTTTCTCAAGTATTGCAAATTTCCTCATCATTCTGTCAAAAATCACTTCTCTTTTACAGAGATTTTCGACATGTTTTTTCACAGTTTTCCACTTATTTCGGCAAGATTCTTACACCTTCACAGACAGTTATTGAAAACAACACAAAGTGCATTTCTCATTTTCTAGGCTTGGTCAAAGACAATAATTTTTAAATCAAAGAAGGCATTGTGAGACACAATATGGCAAACCTAGATTTGAATTGGTAAGCGCAGGCCAACTTTGGCAAGTCATAAAGTGGACATATTTTGAGCATTATACAACTCCACTACAGGGTTTGATGACAATGGTAATTATTGAAATTGTACAATGGAGTACAATGTTGCTATTGTGTGCTGCAGGGAGAGGATGTTTAGAACTCCATAAGTCTCAATACACTCAGGGCTACCAAGTTGAATATTGGGTGTATAAAATGCAGAAATATATGTGATTTAGTCATTTATGAGGCATTGGTCGCAAAAACAAGTCATATGAAAGCCTCATGAAAGTTTCAGTTCATAGCAAAACAACCGGGGGAGATTTGAGAGGGAATTGTAAAAATTCAAAACCTCGAAACTAGACCAGTTGATTGAAAGTGAGTTGATCCCTTCAAGTAAAGTGTTATCAGCAAAAGTTGTGATACTATGAACATATAAGATCAATTTCCTCATAACTTAATTTATATACAGAATGATTTGTATGCATATGACACATAGCGTCAGTCATGATTTAGAAAATCCAACTGTAGAAGTAAATATTATTTTAAGCGCACAAGCTCTGAATTTTATTTTATGGAATAAATATATGTGAATGCATCCTTTGTTAATCAAATCTATATATGCCAAAATATAATATATGAAAAACAATATATATTGTATTATTTATTTTACTTTGGGCGTTGGAAAATACTATACGAGTAGGTCTATAAATTAATTGAAATTCATTCGTTGTTAAAACTTTGCTTAAAATTGTGAGGAATGTAAGCCTCTGTTTTTGTCAAAAGTGTCCATGCGCACAATAAACATCGTCGCGTAAACGAATATGTTCAACAAACACGTGCATACCGGGTGTACATGTGTCTGAGGTTTTTGTAGACTCTGCATCTGTGATCATGCATCTTATTATCCCATCGAACAAACTTCGCGGGGATAAAGGGAACGCCACCACTCGTACATGTGCGTCCGTAGAAAGAAGAGAACGAATGAAGACACTGATGCAGCAGCAACAAATGACATCCGTCCGTCTTTCCGCGTGATAACTCAAATACCGTTAGCACGACTTTGTTCATATTTTGTACACATATACCCTCTGGCATCCTCCGTACGCAGGGCTTCAAAAACCAGAATATCTTCTTCAAGAAGGTGATCCTCTGGAGACAGAGGTTATGCTCGAAAGCCGATTTACAAAATGGCCGCTCATTTAAAAAAACAGCCATTTTAGGGGCGATTTTACAGTAATTTAGGTACAGTTCATAAATAGCAATATGTTTTAAATGTAAAAAAAGTATATAGGACATTTAGCTAAAAGAAGCACATGGCAGCCATCTTGAAAAATGACGGGTTTACACGCTATTAAACGATTTTATGTTTTATTTTATTAAACGATTTTATGTTTTTTACTACTCAAAAAGTAGAGCGATTTTGTTCATATTTGATATGTGAATACAATAACGATAACACACTGTCTAAATACACTTTGGTGAGAAGGCGGCCATTTGAACATCTAACTCAAAAATGAATAAATCGATTTTGTTCATATTTCATATGTGAACACTCATAGATGGCACACTTTCTCATGGTACATTTACATGTACGTTTGTGCGATTTTATATGTGCCTACTTAGAACATTTCACACTTTCTGATCAAAAGGCTATTGAGCAAACGTTTTGAAAATGGTGGCAATTTTTCTATTTTTGCCAGGCCTATACACTTCGTTTGTAAAAATGCCAGCCATGACTGTTCGATGGAATTTGCTACGCTTTGGCGTTGCTGTTGTCTCGTATGTCACCGTCGTCATTTTAACAACGCATCTTCACATAAAATAAAAAAACAGGGTACATTAAGTACATATATGGCAAGATACACTATAGTATGGCCTATTTATAGAATGACTGCTAAAGTCTAAGTCAATGCATCAGGAATGAGCATTTTTGCTACAATTTGCAATAAAAAATGTTTATCCACAAAACAGCAAAATAAAGATAATGTCTCCAGCAGATTTCGGTCATGAAAATATTTAATAGTTTATTTCAGATTAATCAGCATTTAATCACAACCTCTTTTGTTGTTACATTTTAACATGTGCCCATGATACCAAATCAACGGCGTAAAGCGATTCAGTTTGTATTCTGTGTTGACGACCCTTGTATATTATGTTCGACCCGTGTATATATGTAAACATTACAATAAGTCAACTTATATATTCAAAGCCACTGTAAATAAACAAGAAAATTATAAATAAATTGTTCATAAAAATAATTAAAAAGAAATAGAAGTAACTATGATAAATGAACTTATATACTAATATATATTATCTAATAACTGATTCAACACACATGCAGGTGGTGCATTTCGAATGTTAATGCCTTGTATATGATAGTATATTTACATACAATGATGTTCTATACAGCAATATACATACAGAAAACTTTCAGAAAATTCAGCTGTTTCATTGTACGAGCGTATGTCACTAAAATGCACCAGCTCTGGATTTTAGTTTTACACTTATTCGTATGGAATCACAAATAAATGTAAATGTAACATTTATTTGATTTGCGTGTCAAAATTTAAAAATAACATCATTTTGCTTTTTTTAATTTAATCTGGCTCTAAAGTCGTTCTTGCTTCAACAATTAGGCATTGCAGAAAATCAATTAAACACCCATTCTTCAAATAGACTAGATGCGAGTTGAAATAATCTTGATTTAAGTCATTAGATATTCAAAATTCAGTCAAAGTGATGTCATTGGTTATTTTTCTGAAAATGTGAACTCTAGTTCAGGGAGATTCCCCATAGACCCCATGTTACAAAATCACAAAAAGTGAAATATCTTTTCTTGTATTGGACGGATAACATTTTCCTTTACTGGACATATTTTAATTTGCATAGATACATAAGGGTGATATGAAAATTGAACTATTAAAACAGATGTAATTTAAGTCAAATGGAACTTTCTCCTATACCCGCCATGCCATCTGACCCGAACGAGCCACCTGGTGGTGAAACTGGTAACTACCTACTCGCATCTGCTTTATAATATTGAGGAGTATAAGCTTATGTTTTCGACAAAAGTTTTGCTGCACTCAAATCTGCGCATACTCTTTCTTCATTGTTCAGTAGAAGCCTCAATCTAGTGAATGAAGATACTTAACAAACACGACCACACCAGGTGTAAATGTGACTTTGAGGTTTATGTATTATAAGTCTCTGCTTGAAAGAAGTAATTTTGATTTTATTTGCCCTTGACACCATTTGTACATTATCAATTACACATACTGAATGGCAGGTTACACGATCGTGTCCTATTTTCATAAATAGTAAGTAATTCTAGTTATAAAAAAAGTTCATAATTAATTATGCTGAGCTAGTTAAATTGCCGAGAATAGATCTCCAGCAGATCTTTGTCATGTAGCATTTAAAGGCAGAATTAGATTTAGCTACTTTCATTACTTTGGTGCCTCATCTTGACGAGATCATTCCTTGTCATGTCTATTTTCAAAAAAATACCCCAAGTATATACTTTAGCTAGAAAGCTAAATATTTTTACAATAACGCAATCATTTGTCTATAAGAATGATTACCATTTTTATTATTTTAGAGAATTTAGATATTTTTCCCCCATTTTTGCACTTTGAATCTTAAACAACTTCAACAATTGATAACATAATATCACGGACCTTTGGGGGGATATACTATTTGAGCTTAAATGAATACATTGGTAGATCAATGGCACATATTGCTTGCAATTTTGTCACTCCCTATAGATCTTATTCTGCCTTTAATAGTTTATTTGAGATCAGCATTTTATCACAACCTCTTTTTTTGTTACATTCTTACCATGTAAACCATGGTAATAAATCAGCACGATTCAGTTTGTACTCTGTGTTTACTACGCATGCTGATAAAATGGAAGTGTATTCTGAGAAATACTCCGAATTTACTGGCTTTGTTGACATCCTTGGAGGGAAATATGTCGATCGTTTGGATGAAAAATCAAAGAAGAAAGCAAAGGAAGAGATTTATGAGGACCCAAAAGAGAGAGATGCAGCGATACGACAGTTTAGAGATTGGGTTAAAGCGCAACCTCATTACACCGTGTGTACAGGTGAGTAATTAGGCCATGAAGGCCTGTTGACGAAGGACGAGTATACTATGTTTCAAATATTTATTTATTTTATAGGTATGAAGAGAATGAGTACCGATGAGTACTGACTTTAAACTGACAACAATAATTAATTGGATTGAAATTAGATTGTATACATGACATTGAAATTTATGATCTTTTTAATTTATAATTCAGAAATCTCAATCACTTTAAAAAAAAATTAATATTATTATAATATATCGCACTTTTCTTAAATGAATATCACAAACAGTAAATCATCATAAGTTTTCGATTTTTTCTAAAATAGTGCGCAAAATTATCAACCGGAGAAAATCTACATTGAATTATGCATCAAGGACACGACCTTGTAGATATTTAATTCCATATTTGTTTACTCATATAGACCAGACGGGACACTCGAACAAATCTGAATGCTAAAACTGACAGCGTGAAATTTTACGATGAAAATAGCTTTTGGCATAGTCAAAACTCATAAAACTTGAAATGAAGTATAGCATTTTGCGTCACATTGCAAGGTCATGGTTATTCAAGCAGTTTTCCGCTAAGTACCTCATAGAGGATTGGATTGAACTTGGATTGTCGAATGACCAAGTGCACGTAAGCAAGTGCTATGACGTGTCGCAAAAGGTGGCGCATTTTGTTTTTTAAGGGTATCGCGTGAATGTAACTTTGATTCCCCGGATTATAAGATAATATTCTAATTAAAGTTATATATCATTTTAAAGCTGTTTCAATGAAGATTTTAGATCAACTACACTCCGTTCACATTTTTTGCGCGTTCGTTTTTAAAAAAGATTTTTTTACCAAAACATCTGGGAAATATCCCATGTTGACACGTTACATTTTGAATTATTTTTCGTCTTTAAACGCTCATAACTCAAACAATATATGACTATTATACTTATTTTTCGTCTTGATAAAGGGAGATGGAAGTTTTATTTCAAAGGATGAATTTTAGTAAGCGTCCCATATTGTGAGGTCATAGAGTCTGAAAATTAGAATCTGTTGACAGCGACCTTTTTTGCTCATTTTTTGGTACCTTCAACTTTTCAGGTGTACATTAAACAAAAAATACGAGATCAATTTTTAATAAATCATACATGATTATTTTGCTCCTAAACTCTAGTTTATTAATAAATAGTTGATTTTGTTCAAATAGGGCTAATTTACGCCATTCGCCTATTTTTAAGCACAGCAAGACGTATATTTATTTCACCTAAAATATCAATTGATTCGTATTTTATTATGCTCCTAGCCCATTAACAATATATATATGATATCAGAGTTATTCGTCTAAAATGTTTTGAGATATAGAGGTAAATGTGGAGGACGAAAGGATTTCCATGTGTGTACATTTTTCTCAAAAACGTCACATTCTATCATGTTAAAAGCGAGGATCCTCTGGATTACGCCACAAAATGTGTAACAATGCGTGCGCGAGCTTTTTGCGACACGTCTATACCTTGCTATACACTCCCCTCCATAAGTTTGGCTATACACTCCCCTCAACAAGTTTGACAACCAGAAGTTTTTCATTTGATAGCATATTGAAGTATGACAATGTTAGAATTTTACTTTTGTACCTTAATTACAATATTTCGGAAATATTAACAGATTCGATGATCTTTTAAATCGCCAAACATATGAGAGGCTTTCACTGGTGATCCACTCGATTACGCTGGTTACCATCTCGTTTTGGTAACAAAATGTCGAAACATCCGGAAGGTACGATTTTTCTCGTTTCCTAATTTTACACGTTGTAGGCAGAATTCCCATGACATTTTTTAACACAGGCGTGTATCAGTATCATATGTTTAAGAAAGTGTACATATTTGCGAACAATTAGTTCAGAAGACAACAGAATCGTCGATTTACTTCCTCACTTAAGTTACATAAACGGTTTGGGTTAAAAGTGCAGATCTTAACTGTTTTTCGAAAAACCGTTTATGTAACTTAAGTGAGAAAGCTATTTTTTCGCAAACATGTACATTTTCTAAAACATATGATACTGATGCACGTTGTGAGAAAAAACGTCGTGGAGATTCTGCCTACAACGCGTGAAATAAGGAAAAAAGAAAAATCGTGCCTTCGACGTTCCGACATTTTGTTACCAAAACGGTTCGTTTTGATAACCAGCGTAATCGAGTGGATCACCAGTGGCTTTTATAAGTGATACAAATGGGATTTCTTGTTTCCAAACATATGGAGGGAGTGTAGTGTACCCATGTAGACACTCAATTGTTTGACCATTATTTGTTTCAGATGACACATTTTCAAACATATGGAGGGAAGTGTACCCATGTTGACACTCAATAGACTAGATGCGAGTAGAAATGATCTTGATTACACGTCATTAAATATACAAAATTCACTAGTGATGTCATATTTGAAATCTATATGTAAGAATACATCAAAAAATATGGTTTCGAAAATTGTTTATCAACTTTGAAAATTTAATATTTTTTGAAAATGTGACTTCTAGTTCGGGTTGATTCCCCATAGTGTAGACACTCAATTGTTTGACCATTATTTGTTTCAGATGACACATTTCCAAACATATGGAGGAGAGTGTACCCATGTAGACACTCAATTGTGTGACCATTATTTGTTTCAGATGACACATTTCCAAACATATGGAGGGGAGTGTAGTGTACCCATGTAGACACTCAAATTGTGTGACCATAATTATTTGTTTCAGATGACACATTTCCAAACATATGGAGGGGAGTGTAGTGTACCCATGTAGACACTCAAATGTGTGACCATTATAATTATTTGTTTCAGATGACACATTTCTTCTTGCATTTCTGCGGAGGTGTAAGTACAGTCAACTAGAAGCCCGGCTCATGTTTGACACCTTCCATACTGTTATAGCAAGTAAAATCCGAGCGTGGATGATTGACATCAAATGTAGTGCCGAGGATTTAGCCATGGCACATCTGAGGAGGTACAGTATGAAAATGTATAGGCCCGAGGGCTTTCCCAAACATGTTTATTCAAAAAGTTGATTTAGCAACATTTCTCCCTTGGTATCCGTCTTGTCGCGCTTGTTGCAACTTTTCAACCTTAATGGTAGAGCGTTAACAAGGAAGATGGCATAACGTTAATCTCACCTCCAATAACGATTATTCAGCTCTCAAAAAAGAAATTATAAAATTGATGATCCATGGGTCATGATCAACATCATTCTCGAGATTATTTAACTAAAGTCTATATTCGTCTCGGGATTAAACTACATCGTGTCCTAGAACGTATGCATATGTTTTAAAATAGTAACACTATTTGTACAGAATGTTTTGCCACTCTATCACTCCCTTAATATACGCAGCGAAAATAATGCCGTAGGGGACCAAAAATCAAAAATGAAAATTTCCAAATTTCCCTCCATATTGCCGTCACAGCTGCACTCAATATGCTTGACTGAATCATCATAAATAAATAAAAATATATTAGTATTATTGCTGAATTTTGCACTGTACTTGTATAAATGTACCACAAATTAAAGGTGCCAACGTTCAAAACAATGGTTTTTCAATCAGATGGTGTCATATTTATAGGATATCCTATGATTTTGAGGAATATCATTTTTATCTACGAGGTGATATTGATATCTGCACGAGAGAGCGAAGCGAACGAGTGCATATATCAATATCACCGAGTAGATTAAAATGATATTCTGAAAAAAATCATAGGATGTTCTTATTATCCTACACTTACAAGGAGTGTACTGAATGTATAATATCATTGTAAAATGAATTTCATGCTAAATAGAGTCAGTTTGGCGGGAAATCAACTAGCGGAGTATATCGTCACAATATCCTCCGTATATTGGTTTTTCCGGAGGATATCGTCATGATATCCTCCGCCCGGAGTATATCGTAACGATATCCTCCGGATATTCATTTTGCCAATAAATATCAAATTTATTTTTTCATGTTATTATACATTTAGTACACTAAGTGTAGGATAATATCATTTATCTTTAAAATGATAGCCAATGCATGGCATGGTTTAACGTTATATCATATGATATTCATACTTAAACTTGGGAATTGTGTATTTGGGCCCAAAAAGTTGGAGTTGGATGGATAATTTAAATTAAAAAGTAACCTTTGTACCACACCGATCACGCTGTTGTACCGGACCGGTCTATTAACGTCACCTGCGTATACCAAGGGTGAATCAAGAAGATGAAGTCCATGTTGTCATTGTTTTACTTACAGATGTGCGATACCTTTACCGTTGAGAGACCCTTGGGGAAGACGCATCATCCTATGGAGAGCAGGTATATTAAAGGGGCATTAAAGATGTTTTGATTCGTAACGACATGTAAGCACCATCGATAGACTTAAAGACTTGTCATCATCAAAGCTTGAAAAGCACTCGCTTTAAAAGTGAATTGCTTGAATTTCATTATTTTAGTACTTGTAGTAGAAATGTACAAAATCTTTTGCAATGAATTATGTGGATGATTCAATGCGCTTAAATGTATTGTACCATTGCCTTTGAAAGTCTTGATACAAGCCATTGGTGCTTATCCTTCAAGATCGGGCTTCACTAAGCATAGATGTGAACTCTAAAGCCATTTCACTGATGCTCGACTTCATTAAAGACAATAGCTAATTCCCTCCCTCATGTCTCTCTCTCTGATATCCTGTTGTCCTATCACACCTGCTCCGGTCCGGGACCCTGTCTGCCTGCCACCCCCAGCCTCTCACCATTCCTATATAATGACTATATCAATGAAATAAATAATAATAATAATAAAAAAAATCGGGCTTCACTGCTATAGCAGCGATGGAAAGAATTGAAATAGTGGTGGACCAAGGATGTTTTGTGCTTAAATCATCCACAATATGCTGGGCTTAATTTCTTTTCAAATTGACACATTAATTAACAGGAGCATTCGACACTGGCAAGAATACTGGCTACAATGCAGACACCTTTTTTATGATGTGGGGCATTATTTTAATGATACTTCAACGTGAGGACATGACCCAGGTGAACTGATATAATAATCATTTTATACCACCGGCAATATTCATTAATATTCAATTCAAAGCACGATGCAATATATTTTGCTCGAAAAAATTAATGTCGTCAAGACTTTCTTGATGTGTAACCAGTTACACGTTTAAATCTGTTCAGACAAAAATAAATTATTTGATGTAGAATAAAAACCCAAACGATGAACGGTTACAAAATACAAATTGACAATTACCCTATTTATATTTAAGGTGAATGGCTACGTCATTCTACAAGACGGAACGGGTCAAACTATGAAACATATGACATACTTTGGTTTGGAGCGTTTCAAATACACGTTGAAACTATTTTATGTGAGTTATCATTAGACTCTCTTACACGAGTCGAATGTTTTCATCATCATTGCCGCAGGCCTAGGACAAGCAGAGCTTAGGCATGACAGATACTATGTTCCACTGACGTGTCGCAAAAAGGTCGCGCACGCATTGTTACACATTTTGTGGCGTATAATCTAGAGGATCCTCGCTTTTAACATGATAGAATGTGACGTTTTTGAGAAAAATGTACACACATGAAAATCCTTTCGTCCTTCACATTTACTTCTATATCTCAAAACATTTTAGACGAATAACTCTGATATCATATATATATTGTTAATGGGCTAGGAGCATCATAAGACACGAATCAATTGTTATTCCATAGTTAGCATGATATTCATAGGATAACATGTGAAAATAAAAACGGTATTTTTGTAATCAGTGGTAAAATATGATATTTTTGACAAATTTTCACTTAACCATAACATACGGTTTTTTAGCCATGACATACGACGTCGTTTGCGATGGTTTATGGATTTTTGCTACTTCAGACTCAAAACGAGGCTAAGTGTCAACATCGCCGGATCGTTTGGAAATTCGAATTAAATAACTTAATTTCCGACGATTCTGATGATGACTTTAACTATGGAATAAAAAGAACATCCTATGATTTACTCGTGATATGATTTTAATCCACTCATGGATATTGATATTTGCACTCTCTCGCTACGCTCGCTCGTGCAGATCGATCATATCCATTCGTGGATAAAAATCATATCACTCATAAATCATAGGATATCCTCTATATATTTTAGGTGAAATAAATATACGTGTTGATGTGCTTGAAAATAGGCGAATGGCGTAAATTAGCCCTATTTTATTGAATTTTGAAAACCCTCCACTTTTCCACATACAACAGAAAACACATACTTTTGCGAACAAAATCAACTATTTAATAAACTAGAGTTTAAGAGCAAAATAATCATGTATGATTTATTAAAAATTGATCTCGTACTTTTTGTTTAATGTACAACTGAAAAGTTAAAGGTAACAAAAAATGAGCAAAAAAGGTCGCTGCCAACAGATTCTATTTGTCAAGCTCTATGACGTCACAATATGGGACGCTCACTAAAATTCATCCTTTGAAATAAAACTTCTATCTACCTTTATCAAGACGAAAAATAAGTAAAATGTCATATATTGTTGTTTGAGTTATGAGCGTTTAAAGACGAAAAATAATTCAAAATGTAACGTGTCAACAGGGGATATTTGCCAGATGTTTTGGTAAAAAACTCTTTTTTAAAAAAGAACTCGCGAGAATTGTGAACGGAGTGTAGTTGATCTAAAAACTTCATCGAAACAGCTTTAAAATGATATAATTAAAATATTATCTTATAATCCGGGGAATCAAAGTAACATTCACGCGATACCCTTAAAAAACAAATGCGCCACCTTTTTGCGACACGTCACTAGGTCGAGGAACAAAAGTTTCTACGGGATGATAAAATGCAATATATTAAGGAAATTGATATTTTCATAATGATTCTTTACTTACACATACAGTGGAGGTTTTTGGTATTATGACTTCATTCTATTTGACTTCTTCGCTATCTCCACGAAGATTGTTCTGTTAGGTCACTCCCTCTATTTTATGTTGAATCTAAGGACGTGCAGTGATGAGAGCTTTTAGGGATCTATGGTATACCCTTATTTCAAACCGGCTTAATTCATTCTTTAACTTGGTGTTTTTCAGAATAACTTTCCTGCCAGGATTAAGAAAGTCGTTTACTACAACTGTGGAATGATCATGGAGGCCTTCATGGCCATCGTGAGCCCCTTGATTACACAGAAGATAAGGGATAGGGTATGCCGTGTTAACAAAGTTTTGATTAAAACTGAGAGCTACATAGTTTCTATCTATTACATTCTTTCAGTCATATTTCCTCGAGTCCATGAGATCAATTGTCCTATTATTGTTGTATTTTGTTTACCACCAATGAAGGTGAGCAATACCTCTTGGGTATGTCCCGTATATATACGGTCGTAATTTACGTAATTAACATGGAAGATAGACCCAGAAACCCCTCCTTGAAAGAGCCCTGTGTTCTTTTATGTGCACTTATACATAGACATACAAGTACACACCACAGCCTTTTGTACGAGTTGCGGACCACTCAGTCAAACACCCTGAAGAACTTCACGCAAACAAGCAAAGGACCTTATACACCCTCCATTGGGATCTCCCCATGGGAAAAAAATAATTCATCTGATTTTTCAAAATGAGTATTCTGCTTCAATTATTACATTTATATGCACACTAGTATCTTGTTGACCTATATTCAGCACTGTATTGATGTATAGGCCACTTATTAGGGTCATAATTCAATCATGAAGTGTAGAGGCATAGATTCCAAACCAGGAAGTATTTTTGTGTCTGTCAAAATCCATTTACATCCTACGCATCCCTGCATCTTATCCAAATATGTTACTACATAATGAAATATAATAGTATAATCTTTGGTTTTACAAACTTGTATGATATTTGATAAGTGTAAAAGTTTTTGGAGCATTTTTCTATAGCCATTTTGTAGGGGAAAAAATGATGAAAAAATGTACAATCTTTTAATTTTAAGTATGACCTGAATCGATTGCAAACTTCATATTTGCACATTTGATGAGATAAACCATTTGTGTCGTATTGTGAAATTATTAAGTTTGCAATCGATTCAGGTCATAGTGTATTTTTGGTATTTCTGTGATAATCAATGGAAATCAATGGCCTCTATTGGGATCTGGTGATATCCTCATGTTAAGTCAATGGTGCACAGCCCCATGTAAGTCAATACAACCTTACTGAACGAAATGATCCCTATCTCAGCTTATGTGTGTCCGAACACTTTAATATTTTCCAAACTATTATATTACATTTTATTCTTCATGTTACACCTACGAATGATTCATTTTGACCATAGGGATATTTGCCAATAATTGCACCTTGTCCTTTAGTGTTGCCTGAATCGGGGATCGAATGCGGGACCTATTGCGTAAGAGGTACCTGCGCTACCGCTGAGCTACACGGATGGACTACTCTTATCTTCCTATAAATTACATTTGAACGTTTTTATGGCTTCTCAACCACACTTACCTCAGTCACATAAGAAATCATTTTTTCTTTTGGAACGTAGGTCATCGTGGGTCATTTACTTTTCACAGTACAAGAGTGTGTGGTTTAAGTTAGATAAACCATTCATGCTGGGTCGTAGTAGAACTAACAGCCTCTGGCCAATACCCGCGGCTATTATTTATCAAAAATCAGGTGCTCATAGTTTATTCATAACACAAAAAAAGCTATTTTCAATGCTGATATAAAGGAAGATTATTTCAAATTTCTCTTACTTTACACAAAGCAGATATGCCATAACACATACTAATAGTATAATTTAAGAATTTGAGTATATCTATTTCAGTTCGTGGTTAGAGGATCCATGGAAGAGATTTATACGAAAGACATACCAGCAGAATGTCTTCCATTGGAATACCTACCAGATGATTACAAGGGAAAGTCTCCTGGCAATTTGGAAAAGGTGCATGGTGAGTACAATAGACATACAAAGACATACGTAAGTGACAAGTAAGGAGAATTGGAGTACTTTCAAAAATGTAAAATATCATGGTAAATTTTCAATCAGCATGCTACCATAGCTGAACATACATTCTATTTTAGGAATATTCTGGAACAAAGTGAAAGAACCAGCAATTGAGACGAAAATCTGGGATTTAAGTCACAACTTTTTCAAAGTTGATGAGAAAAAGAGACCAGATGCTGATATTCCCCAAGCTGCATTCAGAAAACTAAACATAGACTAATTATGGACCATTGTGTTCCACTGAGGTTCAAACCCTACAGTTTATATGTTTCTATGAAACTGCTACAGAAAATACTCATCATTAAGGGTGATATATACACAGTAGCCTATATACAATGTTATATATTATGAGGAAGTGTAGGGCAACATAAAGAATACATGCAAAACCTATATGGGAGGATTCACAGCTCTCATATTGTTAGTTTCAAGTTAGTATAAATATAAGTATTATACGGTAAGTTATTGAATGATTTGAAGTGCAATAAAGGATATATTCTGTTCGTGAAATTTTGTATTGAAACGAGACGAAGTCAAGTGCCAATACAGAATATCGAGACAGAATATTTCCTGTATTGCACTTCAAATCATTCAATAACGTTTTTATCGTGTGATCCTCTGTATTGCTACTGAGATTCATTGGGATGTATATGTTCAGAGTTAAAATTGGTAACTTAACACAATTTTTACTGTATATTTATATCATTTTGATTATATAATGCAGCAATTCTAATGAACCATCAAGAAATCCTGGGGTATCAAGTATCTGCAAAGGCAAAGAAATTAGGTGAAATTGCACCGTACGAAATGCTCATTTCAATACAAGCTCGATAACATTAATTGGGAACATGAAACCATAGATAGTTTTTCTCACAGATGAACTTTATTTGGCAACCAACGTAGTAATTTTGGAAAATACAAACATATATGGGTATGCACAGCTTATGGGAACCATTAATTACAGAGCATAAATTATATCAATTAATAAAAAAGTAATCATCCAAAACACAGTTTTGGAGGGGGTGTTCCCTTTATTTTATACTGTTATATACCAGGTAAATGCTTAGATTAAATAAAAATAAAAACAAACAAAAATAAAACACCAGACCTTGTGTCCAATATGACTCCAGTTATTAGAGTCATTTAATATAGACATCTCTCAATGTGAACTGAAGTGAACACTCTTAGCCATCAATTGGCTGCATTCATTTTAGGCAGAATTTTCATTATACTAGAATGTAAAATCTTTTGGGAAGTGAATTTATGAGCTAATGGAGTATTCTAGAATGTGTCGACATTTTCAGGTTAAATGTTTTGTGTCTATCAGGTTTTAGAAGCATATCTGTTTCTCAGTGATAAGTACATTTTTAATAAGATATACTTAACTCCTCATTGGGATACATCATCGCTTGATATACTTAGTATTCACAATTAAAAGAAAATGAATACATCTGTAAAATATAGAGCTTATCTTTTTCATGTGTGCAAAATTTAATCACTGCCATTTAAGACACTTAATATAAAACCTTTATATTTAATAATCTGAGTCTTTGATATACAAAAATCAAAAATATTCCACACTATACAATATGGAGTGGAGGCTTACCATACTGTTTATTGATTGCATTGTTAATGAGGGGGTATAATCTACTACTGTAAAACACCTAGAAAATCTCACTGTGCCATGTTGTTCTCAAACATTGCAAAATTGTTACAGTAATTCAACTAAATTAGCTAAATTTTCTGGGTTAACAGATGTGAAATAACTTCATATGGAATAAAGGAGCCTGGTTTCATTGAGTAACATGGTGGGGAATAAGACCTATATTTTCTTACTATATATATCAAAGTTGATTCGTATTAGTTTTTGGTCAGTTCAGGGATAGCACTCCTCAATTTATCACCTTGGTGGTTAAAATAACACTTTTGTTATAATACAGTATGCACAAAGCATTTTTGTTAACTCTTTTCTTCAAAGTAACAAACTAAATATCTGAAAATACATTTCAATTTTTTACACTAACAACTATTAAATGCTTACATCGCCATAATGTCTTGGCAAAACTATTTACATCTGTCTGACTAATATCTGTTTGTAAATAATTATACTATGTACATGTACATATTCACCTTATTAATTATTCATTGTAAAATAGACGTCCTCTTCAATCACAGCACTTTGAACTATATACAATATTTACAATTTATTTATAGCTTCGATAATCAAAACCTATAATACAGATAATTTGTGGAGTTTGGAACCTCACTGTATTTTTTTTATATATTTATATATGTATATATTTACAGTTAAGTCAACTTACTTATTCAAAGCTAATGTAAATAAATAAGAAATTATTAAATAAATTGTTCATAAAATAATTGAAATGAAATAGTAAGTAACTATGATTAATGAACTGATATCTATTATCTAACTATGAACTGTACTATACAACTGAACCGATTCAACACTGAATGTTTGTTTGCCCTTGCCCTAATTTTGAAGTGAAGGGCAATGTTTGAATTGATGAATTGTTAAATTTAATTCACCCTCATTACACTATGTCTGCATCCTATGCAGTTTTTAGTTGTTTCTAATTTTCTTGTCAGCATTATAAGCTGTTTGTGAAATTCCCTTAGGGCATTATGTTCCTATTAAATTCCCTTTGAGACATTATATGTTGCTTGTTAACTTCCTCCAGGGCATTGTGTGTTGCTTGTTAACTTCCTTTGGGGCATTATGTGTTGCTTGCTAACTTCCTTTGGGGCACTATATGTTGTTTGTGAATTTCCCTTGGGGCATTATATGTTGTTTGTGAATTTCCTTTGGGACATTATGTTGTTTGCGAATTTCCTCAAGGGCATTATATGTTGCATGTGAATGTATAGAAGGGCAGTGTTTTCATTACTCCGGGCAATAACAGCAACATGCTGTTAATCTGTAGGACAGTATGTGATATATACTTGTATATCGTATAGCGACATCTATATTGTGGCAGTAGGGTCATGTTTAGATAACAAAGCATCTAGCAGCTTTAACCTTGCCTTGATTTGCTGGAAATAAAATAAATATAATTTATTGAACATAAAATCATTATTAGAAATGACAGCACTGTAGATTTGAAAACTGATTCTTACACAAGGTCCAAGTGTTCATTGATAAACTATACCAAATATATGTATTAACACAATTATCAACACATAATAAAGTTGGGAAATGAACTAAAAAATTATTTTCATGTATGAAATATATGTTTGTGTGCATTTACCATATAACGTTTGTCTTGAATTGATTTGTACTCACTTTATATTCATTATACTCTGCGTCCATTGGTGCACGGTCTTCTTTTTGTACTTTCCTGGAAATCGAATAAAACAAAACATAAAACAAAATGTGATTGACTCCCAATCTAGTCTTGATAAAGACACTATTTTGTGCTTATGGTGCTTTCTTAAAAGGTAGAACACATAAAAGAGAGCAATCTATGTAATTTCATACATTTAAAAATGTCTATCTGAAAAATGAAAAACAAAAAGTTAATCTATGTTGTAAAACTCGAAATTGCACCCACCTTCCCGTTTGTCGAAGAAATTCATCTTCAAATTCCCGTAAAACCTTCCGCAGCTCTTTTTTAGTATTCCTGGCACCATTCTGCTCACTAATTAGTTCAGGCCTAAACACAAAATGTTCAATTATAAGCACAATTACAAACTACAGGTAAACTTATTTTAGTTCATTGTTGCAGCTTATTGACATGGCCAAGCAGAGATACATCGCCCATACATTTGATACTTGACAAAAATATGTCACACCATGTCATCAATATTCACGTACATGAAAATACTTGTATAAACTTTAATTTGTGTACTTTCAACTTCTAGTCAATTGTTCTATTTTTTGTTGTTGTAATTTTCCTTTAGACTTTAGTATTTTATTCCTGCCGTATTAGTGAAAAAAAGCAAAATTGGCACTATAAGGATACAGTATTTAATTGTGTAAAGATACTACATGATATAATTACTTACACGGTGAGCTCATGTAAATAAGCCTCGCTATTTTTTCTACTATTTTTAAAGTCTTCTGGTGACTTAGTATCATTATCTTCGACATTGTCGCCTGGGAAATCTCGTGTCACTGCAAAATCTTGCGTCGTCATTTCTTCTTCCTGCTCCTGCTCAGGTTCTGCCTCCACCTCTGATGTGGGGATTTTGATTGGCTCCTAAATACACAAATGGATAAATATTGCACTTGAAATTCAAATGGCTTGAAAATCACCAAGCATGTCTAAAGCATAATTAGAGCTTGGCACAAGTAAAATATGAGCAGTTTTCTTGCTATTTTAATGACAAGATGTCTTAAATCTGGAGAGTAAGGTCATTGTGTAAGAAAAGTATAATATGTACAGCAGTTTTATTGAAAAAGGTCTGATATAATAAAGAAATTACTAATTACAAATACAAAAAAAATTACTTTAAAAAAGATCATAGAAATACTGTAAAAAATTACTGAATACTTTAACTTCAATTATAAGCTGGGTGTCTCAGTTTTTAAACATTTTGTGAACAGAAAATGGAAATCAAAGCCTTTACCCTATTTGTACTTTTGGCACTTCCTGGAGCACTTTTAGGGGCAAATTGTTCTATGGTGGTGTCTTCTGGCACAGGTTCCAACTCTTTATGTTTGTCTCTTGGCTAGAAATATAAACAATGGCACAATTAAATGAGTATTTACACTGGAAGAATACAGCATCTACGGTTCCCACTCTCAATTACTAGGTCCAAAGCTTCATGAAGCAAGATGAGAATACAGTGCGTTACTTTAAAACTAAGAAGTACTCAGTTTTGAAATTAATGTTATAGGTTATGTGGGTGTTTTCTTTTCCTAAATTTGCACTGTCACATTTAAAAAATTAAACACTTCAATTTTTTTTGGTATCAAAGTAAAAGTAGCTATTAAAAGATATTTATATAATACAATTGTTAGTTTTAGATAGAGTTTACACTTGACTTACTGAGGCTGGTTTAGCAAGGAGTCTTTTTATGTTTCTGTATCTATCATATAGGGGGCGCATTAGTTCCTTCTCAGCTTTTGTACTCTGAAAATTGGAAAATGCAAAAACTGTCATAACATCTTTAATATTTAATAATGCATGTGTAAGTGGAACGCCTTTGGTACAGTACCTCAAAAAGTTAATCGGTTCAACTGTTATTTCAAATGTTCCACTCAATATGTAGGTGTTCCACTTACAGATACTCCACTTAAATGGTTTTACTGTACTATGAAGAATACAGTTTAGCAAAAAAACATAAAACTGTTCTTATTTAATATATTTTGTAATAAGCTCTAACGTGTGTCCTATAGTGACTCCATGAGCAGCAACATTTTCAATAAATAAAAAAATCTATAAAAAGCTATTTTGGACTTACCGGCCTGCCGTGTATACTTTCAAAATGTAGCAAAGCTTTCTGAACTGCCAGTTTTTCATCTTGTACATGTTCCCTTGTCATTTCCTATCAAATAAATGAAACAAATGTGCATAAAATATTGAAAATAATCTGGAAGGGAATGTGTAGCTTACAGGGGTGGGATGAGTTGAAATCATATTTGAAAGCTCAAGAATTATTAAGAGCAGAATGCTGAATGCAAAAGAAACGCTATTTCTGACATTTGCATTTTTTCAGGAAACATTCATACTGTCCAAAATTAGGTTGTACAGCAATATCAGCACTTTAAGGTACAACATTAACCTTGCATTTTTTAAGGTATCATATTCATATAAATGAACTCACATTGAGATCAGAATTTCTGTGTGCCTCAAGTCTTTTATCCTTTAATTTTTTCATCAACATATCAAGAGTTTGTTTCATGGTCGGAGGATCTCCCCCTGATGTCTCAATCTTGCCACTAGAGGGCCTTCCAGTGCTCCTGTTTGATGATGTAGGCCTGCTACGGTTGCTAGGGAAACCAGCATCTGCTAGACGTTCACTAGAACCTGACAGAGATGTTGCCATATTCTCCTCCTTGAACTCTGTTAATTACAAAATAATAAAAATAAATGAGAAATGAGAAGATATCAGATAAGAGTTTAATAAAACTTTATTATAACTAACATGGGAGCTGTTTAATTAAATATAAATATTTCCTTAGTATCTACTACTTTAAGGAATAACATGTATACATTATTTATTTCAATAATACATGGTACAAATTCCAAACTGATATAACATCTTAAATAAAAATGATCTTTTGTCGGCTTATCTCTCACCACAACAAATGTGCTTCCAATCATAAAACCACCGTGCAAGTTATTACAACAAACCATTTCACCGAAATAATAAATATAATGAAATGTTTTAAAGGTATAATTGTGCAATCTCTCCAAACATTCAAGTTAAATGTATAATATGAGATGAAAATATTTAAAAAAACAAAATTATGATTAAACATTTGAAATATGTGAGTTATAACAGACATGGGAATGGGGACAGAAGTACTGCTTTTTGTGAATCATTATTTTTACAATAAGGGAATGGGGTTGAACTTTCATTAGAAAGAGAAAATATTCACAATATAACGTTTTTTTTAACAAAGGGCCATGGATAGTCTAGTGATGAACTTGTCAGATCTTTAGTTCTAGAATATAGAAATATTTAGTGATAATATCAAATCATAAATATTATTTGAGATTCCTTGATATTGAACAAATATTTCACTCTATTGAGGTGAATACCTGTACATCTTTCACAAGTGATATTCCACGAAGCCCGAAGGGCAAGTGGAATATCACCTTGTGAAAGTGCTACAGGTATTCACCGAAAATAGAGTGAAATATTTGTTTTATTATATCACTGTCTAGCTAAACATCCCTAATATTATTAAGTCATAGGTTAACATTGAAATACATTGAATCTACTCGGTTCGTCTGCCATTTTGACTTACACTGAACTAAATTATTTACACTGAACGAAAACAAATTCTTTGAAAATTCCCGGGAGCGTGGGATATCGCTAGATATCTCACGGTTGTCTTATCTGATTAGCATTGCCATTGAATATCGCCAGATATCCCACGACATGTGACCCGGTTTTGACCAATCATACTGTCGCTAGCTAGATAGTGATATAATAATATCATTTATCGCAAATATTCAAAATGTATTAAATAACTAAATGTGATTTTTGATCAGCAATTAACCTAGAACTGAAGTTGAAGTCTAACTTGAAAATTTCTCACTAATTGCTTCATGGCCCTTTTAAACAAGTTATAAGTATTAACTTTTTATATGTACTGTAACTGTTATGAACCATGGTTATCATGTGGGAAAATGTTGGGGGAGGATGAAAGGGGAGTGGGGGGGGGGGTTGAATGCATATATTATAAATAATCAGCATTCATGACTGATATATTTTCGATTCGATACACAGTCTATAATACACATATAAAATATTGACTCAAAAACTTGAACAGATATACATTTTTGAATAGTGTTGCTTTGAGATATTTTGATTGTACTATAGACTGTGTGGGCCTGTTGACACACCAGCCCATATTTGCTAAAAAAGAATTGACAACATATCTTAAAATTATTTTTAGAATGGGTCTAAGTACAAAACACTTTAGATTAGAATAAACACCACCAATTGCTCCCTTTGATATAAAAAACGGCAAAGAAAGCAATGGTTTAAATATTATTATAAACATACACAATATAATAATAAAATAATAGTTAAACTCTTTAACAAATACATTGTTACCTTCTAGGTCATTTTCAATATTTTGTTGCATATCTGTGGCATTTTGTGGCAATTCATCCGAGTTGTGTTGCAACTCAGTTGAACTTTGCAGGGACTCAGTTGAGTTTTGTTTTTCAGATGTGATTTGTTGAATTTCTGCCGGAATGCAAAATACACAGTTATTCAAAAGTCAATCAAAATCAGTTAATCTTAAAAATACAAATATAGCTTATTCAACCCTTCAAAAATATGGCTTAAATAGTTCAAAATTAAAAACAACTGAGATTGCTTCTGCATTGGCCTAACTGCCATTTTCAAAATTTTCAATAATTTTTTGTAAAGCCCCTGTTAATACTTGATATTTAGAATGATTGCTTGTTAGAATAAGAATGATTCTACTGTGGATTCCTGTGAGTTCCTACCTCTGTATAATTCAAAATACATTTACAACCATCTCAGAGAATAATTTTATCTATTATGCAACCAGATTTTGATTCACCTGGTTTCTCCTTAAATATCACACACAAATAACTTTTATTGGGATTGTATTGTAATATAGTTAATCACTGAGAAACGTGCATCATTTATGGTTTCCGTAGGTTGACCAAGAAAAGATATATGTTATCCTCCAATTCTTTTATAAAGAGTAACATCCCGATCCACTTCTAAGTTCACGGAATCAAGAAGCACATTACCTTTATGTAATATAATACAACATTTCACTTTGGTGTTATCCAATTCTATCTTTATGTTGAATGTCATACTGACAAAATACTCCACTTTATCAGACCAAAATCAACTACACATATGACTATAACTTTGTTAAATATCAATCTAATGTAAATGGATGTTTTTAATTTGTATGAATGATGGTGGCTTCCTCAGGCTATCAGCACATTTGTCATTATTTGTTCCCATAAAACAAGTGAAATTAAACCTAATTAAATCATTACTAATGTTTAATATGCTGACACACAGAAGAGTGTTTGGACAGTAATGATAAAGTTTATGCAAATAAAAGCATGTATACAGCACCAGTAGTAGATCGGTTGATGTATAGAAGAATCAACAGATAGTTACAAAGATGGCAGTGATAGTTTATAGTTGTGATAGGGAGGCATGAAGAGCAAGTCAACCCCCTCTTATATTTTACCTGTATATATAATATATAGAATATAAGAGGGAGGGGTGACTTACTCCCCATGCCACTGGAAGTCATCTCCCTCTATTATACCCTATATGAATAATAGAGGGGGGAGGGGTGACTTGCTCTCCATGTAGGTACCATTATATAGTATGGTGAACACTATCCAAAGTCACTTAATTTCTTGTTTTCCTCTTGGATTAATGTGTTCTGTTCTGTTCTGTTCTGTAATTATATTTTTATTTTTTTACATTGTTAAAAATAGTTGTGTAATCAAACACAACATGTTTTATTCACTTACCTAAGGAGCTAAGCAGTCATTATAATTAAATTGTTGCACTATGAATTAATGTCAGTTAATTTATGATTTGTATTGTATGATCATAATTATCCTCTTTTGAAAATAACACACCACAACCAAATACTCATAGGACCTAATTTCCATAATTTTTCATTGTGTTGTAACTGTAAAATCACAAACACTGTAACACTTATCTTGCATGCCCTTAAAAGTTACAATACAATCATTGAAGTATATAGTTTAACATCATTTCTAAGTTAGAAAAATGATTTAGTCAGAAAATAATTGTAACACAAAGTAAATGTAACATGACATGTAACATATGAAAAATGTTTGTATTACCACCACAAAAATTGCCAAGAATTTCAAGAAGATCTTGAAATCATGATGATTGTATTGTAAAACACCTTTTAAAACTACAAAATATGACTACAAATATTCTCATACATATCATACACAATATCCCAATAGGCACAACTGTTTTATGTATTTTAGTACATTTCATGGTGCCACCTTCACCTGGACCATACTGATCATTCTTAAAGGGGTAGCAAAGACCAGAGATGAGTTGAGAATTAGTTTTGAATAAATTGTCACAATTTTACAATATGCCATGGTTATTTTCTGAAGAAGCCAACCATTCTGACTTCATTTTCAGGACAATTCTTCCGATTTTTTAAAAGGTTACCCAGATTCTGTTTTCTCATAAATTTTACTTAATCTGACAATTCTGCATCTTTAATTTTCAACAATACCTCAATTATTTTTTCAAAAAAATTAAGACTGTGAGGGAAACATAGGCACGGTTTTTGAAGATTGCTTTAAAATTTTACACTCTAGTCTTTGCTACCTCTTTAAATGAGGAATAATTAATTCAATGCCCACAATGAGAACATTTAAATTCCATCACTTGCCCTAAACCAACCAAAGTGTACATAACCCAACCCAGGAACCATAACCTTGAAGAAAATGTCACCCAAGTCATGTATAATCAACACAATTTCTCTCTAAAATTTGTATGAACTATCTAGTAATTTGCCTTAAATTCTTCACTGTTCACTACATGCCTATTGATTTATTTCTTGCTAATTCCACTCTATTTTGATCTATAAAACATGAACTTTGTGACATTTTCACCCAGTTAAGTGTAGGAGCACTGAACATATTTTACCCATGTTATAGTAGTTGTTTGTCCTTTCAATAAGATACTGTTTGTCAAATACGAACATAGCGCGATTATCAGAGAGATATTCTGGGGAGACGTAATGACCATACTGGGCCTCAAATGACGCATCTATATTCAGAAAAGAGAAATATCATGTACACATTTCATACTGCAAGCTTGGTTTAGTGTATCTAAACCAATAGTCCACATAGGGGCTTCAACCTGAGAACTCCCAGGGGTACCTCTTTTCCATTCATTCTTTCATTTATGTAGCTTGATTATGATGAATCTCTGAGGGAGTGGCACCCTTACAGATGATCAACATAGATGTGAGGTTGAAATAAAATCCATGTTAAGATGGATAATAAAAAGGCATGTATATGAACAAAGAATATGAGAGAAAAACATAATGCCATATGCGGATATGATAACATCCATTGTTGTGTAATGTTAAAGTGATTGGAGAAAATTGTCAATAGAAGCACCATCATATATGAGTACATCTAGTCTTAATGGCGTCATGTCCCTGTCCTCCTACCTGCTTTCTCCCTTGTGTAGTGTGGATAACACATACAATGTAATTGGAAACAATTTCAGAGAGGAATAGGGCTGGAAAGAATTTACCTATAAATGAACTCATACTGTCCATGCAATATTTCGGGTGTTAACAAACTCAAGGCTATCTACACTTACGTTTTAATTCTTTCCTAGCCTTCTGAAGATCCGCCATGTGTCTCTTCACCTCCAATCTGGCAGCTTTATCAGTCTGAGATGGCTGGAGAAATAACAACAAAGGATATAGTATATTAATCTGGGATGGCTGGAGAAATAACAACAAAGGATATACATGTAGTATATTAGTCTGGGATGGCTGGAGAAATAACAACAAAGGATATAGTATATTAGTCTGGGTTGGCTGGAGAAACAACAGTAAGAGACGCTGTATTAGAATTATTTTTCGACACAATAGAGAGATTTGAAGCAATATTTTTTAGCCCCACATATCTATATCAATAGGATACAGATTGAAAATATTGATAACATAGTACACAATAGAAAATTGTCACAAAGAACATGAAAAATGAACACATTCATTTTATTCAAGTATGTCTATGTAAGGACGATAACAAAGTTGAATTTACCTTATAGCCATGTTTGGTTTCAAACTGTTCTTCAAACTGTTTGATCTTCCTCTTCAGAGCTAAAAGTGAGTAGATAGAATAAGAAATGCTAGAAAAAATTGAATGCATCCATGTCTTATCCATAAATGAAAGTTAAAGGGACATTCCTTACTGTAGTTTAAAGGCACATTTTAAAGTGACACTTAAAAGTTTGAACTAAATATTTTACTAAGAAGCATAACAATGCATAGCAATGGTTTGGTAAGAAAAACATTGAAATTCAAAGTTTGTAATTCAGCAATTTCAATATTTAGAGAGACTACTCCAGAATTTGGAAATTACCAATTAGGACACTCAAATGACCCAAAGGCAACTTACATTGTATTTTCTTTGTGAGTTGTTTCACTGTGTCTGAGTATTCATCATCATGTCTAAAACCACTGCAACAGAAAAATAAATTATCAGAAGTCAGTCAAATATCCTATAAAATAACAGATATGGTTGGAACCTAAAACAGACATGTAACCTGAAAAAGGTTGCTATACAGATGCAAAGACAGAGGAGTCCATATAAAATATGATTGCACAAAGCAAAATGTGAAGCAAAAAATGTGAAACTAAATTGAAATGTGAAGCTATAAATGTAAATAATAAAATTACATAAAGTAAGAATAACTTAAAATGCATAAAGTAAGAATAACTTAAATAAACCTAATATGCAAAATGATGTTTGGTAATAATGCAATCAACTAAAATCAAAACATTAAAATTCAGATAATTGACCTTTAGCATATAATATTTGTGTGCAATCAATCCACAAGCATTCAAAACAAGGCAAAGCATGGATTCAAATGGGATGAAGAAGGACAAATACTGTACATGTAAAAAACCAAAATGGTTCAAGATGGTGGAAAACAAAATATCAACACATAAAATACCAGAAATGTAAATCGTGATCAATGAGCATGCACATTTAGAATTCAAAGCATAAACAGGGTGTTAGGATAAAAAAAATATAGTTTGGCTTATTGAAATCTGTTATATCATGAACAGATTGTCAACAGGCAAAATCTTTGTCGAAAAAATCTTTGTTGAAAAAAGGAAATCTAGGATAAAGGACTGTATTATTATCATATATGGGACTGATTCAAAACTGCTGGGACTGGGTGTGCCAAAAAACTGAGTGAGCATTATTATATGAAATATGAAAAAATAAACAATAATTTTAAGTGATGTTTCACAAAAGCAAATGTCAAGTAAAAAGGCAAATCACTGCCAAAGCATTATTTAATCATGTGTGAATAATAAAGGTTAGTAAACACAGTTTTATTTAACAAATCATTATCTTAATCAGCAGAGCATGTATTATTAAATTATTATTATACATGTCAGAATTGGTGTGAATCCGTGTAAATCTTATGATTTATCATTTCAAAGCTCATTAGCAGTATTTAAGGTAGAAGATTTTGCCACATATCCCTAATAGCACATCTAGTTTAGAATCTATCATGTGACAGTAGAAGAAAGACAATATGATGAAAAGTCTAATAATTGCTTTGGCACAAAAGTAACAGATAAGAATAAGTGAAAAGCTTAGAAAGTTTGACAAAGTTAAGAAAGTTTATATTGTACAGAGCAAGAACTTGTGATATCTTGGCGTAAATTGAATATTCAATATCTTGTACAGGCTCTAACCTTGACAGCCTTTAAATATAGTCAAGAGCCCTGTTAAAAGTTGAACAATACTGGTGTGAACCTCCAATAAACCTACAGTACTCAAATCTTGACCAATTAGAATTTAAATGACAACCAAAAGTGAAGAAGGTGTACAAAGTGAAAGATACTCTAATCGTTAATGCTTAGATGTGCTATGAGGGTGGGGCTGACAGACCTGTGGGGGAAGCTATTCTGCTCCAGGGGTGGGGACGGTGGAATATCAGTGTCGCCATGAGCACTACAAGAACATCATGCACTTGTAGTTACACTAGTATATAACAATAGTGCATGCCTATCATGTTTCTCATTGTATATGTATAGTACAGGGTGAACCAGATGCATGGTAACTGATCAAGATATTAGAGAGGTTAAGCTACATATAATGAAGAGATCTTGTAATATGAAGGTGGGCCTTTGTGACCCAGTGACCTCAAGGCTTTTCTGTTCCCCTCTCAATGGGTTCTTCCGGACACTTAAATACTCGTATCTACCTTTATATGGTACTATGTTATACCTTTATACTAAATGGGCAAAAAAATTCTACAAATGGGAGAATGAATTCACATTCATGTATAACTTCTCATAAAACTTGTAGCCTAACCTTCCTATTCGCAATATGTAAACAGAGAGCTTGTAACATAACTTTTTGGATATATGTAATCTGACTGATGTAAGATCAGATTCAAAATACATATAAGCAGGGAATGATATGAGCATTTTCCAATCAATCAATTTGAGCCCATTTTATATGGGTGTTTAATTGGATTTATTAAATGATAATGATTTTTTGGACCACCTTGTGTATGTAGTACAATAGTTCAACAGCCAGTGATTACACACATTTAAAGTCTCACAAATATACAATTTTTAACATATATATCATATCTATCTTATATTCATGTAAATACAAATAGAATAACAAGAAAAACAGTTTGAATTAGTTCAAAATCTGAGAATTAGTTATCTTAATATTGTAAAATACTTAGCAATAGCAAATATTTATTTGGAAGAATAAAACACAAAGCTAGCAACTAATAATCTTCAATGAGTCAAGAATTACACTTTTAAGACCATTCAAAGCAAAAGTGGAGGTGGAAAATACACATGTATGTATTAACTACCGCAGCTGTTAAGCACATTTTAAAGTTTCAATCACTCTTTGAAGTAAGCATCATAACTTATGTCTGTTATTATTTCTTATAATTATTTTACAACTGTCTGTATCTGCTGTACATAAAAATGATAGCAAAATGGAATATACACTCACGTAATCCCCAATTGGTGAAAAATGAAATAATGAAGGAGCAATCTTTGGAGATTTTTGCTAGAACTTTTACATAGGTCAATAGCTACAAAACTGTCATCAATAGTTTGGAATAGTTTAACATGGTGGTTTGATACATTGGGATATCTGACCGAATGAATCAATTTTGTATGAAAACATACCTTAATTGCAGTTCCAAATTGAAAACTTTGGGAAATAAATAATTATTAATGTATGGTGTATTGAACTGAGATAAATATTTACAAACCTTGCTCTTTTCTTTATCTTAGATGACCTAGGGGAGAGTAGGACCTCCTCTTCTTCTTTTAGAGACTTGGCCTTATGAAAGGCAGGGGAGGGGCCATGTTCTGCTAGAATAGGATCTAGAATATAAAGTGTGACATTTTGAATCAAACTTTTATCAATGCACAACCAACAACATTATCTGAACTTACAAGAATATAACATTTCTGATAGGTCCGACAAAATATTTTGCTCATCAACGAAATATTTTGCTCAAGGGTAACATAGTTTTGGTTTGGTCAAATATCATGAACTTAAAAATACATTAAGTCTTATCATTTTTCACATTCTGTTTCTGAAAAACATGTAGATCGGGGATGATGATGCAGACCTATGAACTTACTGAACTCAACTTACCACTTCCATCTCCATGTTCATGTAGGATAGTGAGATCTAAGGGAGGGACATAGGGTTTCCTGTTCTCTGCTGGAGAGTGCTTGTCTTCAGTGGCAGCATCCTCTTGAGAATGAACATCTAGGAAACCCATATGATGCTTGGGGTCATTGTGATTTTCATCTTCTGAAAAATATTGTGCCAAGGTGATGATACTTTATCATTCCATTAAAGAAACAAGTAAAGGCATTATAACATTACAAAATGTGAGCAACTGGTAACTTATTGCAAATAAGTATATATAGTAAATGTAATTTTACACTTGACACAATTGCTAGAGACAACTATCAAACTTTGCAATTTGCATCTGAATCTGTGCATGCATCTTATAATGAACAGGGTAATTTCCATACCTTGTTCCATGCGTGCATATTCTTCATACAAGAGACTGTCAACAGCATCTGTATTTCCATGGTTCTGATTAACCAACACTTGCTTCATGGCCTTTCTGGATGGAGTTCTACGATTCTTTGGACCAGAATCACGTTTAAACTGAAGAAATAATGTATGGATGTTTGAGAAATGATTCAGATATTGTTGAGACAAATCTCCATTCAATTAGATGCGCTTACAATCCTTGCTTTTTACTTTTCAAAACCTAAGAATTATTCAAATCAGGTGCGGCCACCTTTGTGTATATCTTGTCATACCAAAATACCAAGAGTATACCCGTTTGACTTTCTAATCAAAAAGTATCAGACATATACATCAAAATTGCTGCTTACATTTGATAAGACAGGACCTGAACTGTCATTAGTATCTTTGAGATCATCTGCGTTTATACTGTGACCATTCTCATCCACATGACTGGAATAGAAACAAGAATAAGTAAGTTAAGAAGTAAGCTGTTGTGTGTTCATTTTGATCATGAACTTTATCTTTGACATATATATTAAATATTACTTACCCTTTCAAAAGAAGTAAGTCTTAAGAGAATACATTCCATATTTTCATCACCCAATGATAACATTGAGAAATTAAGTATACAAATGTCAAAAATTGTATTTGTATATATTCTGTATCAAGCAATTACCGATATGTTTTTTTGTTTGAATTGTCACATGGGCACAACTAACATAGACCACCCATTGATTATATTTCCATATGCCCGTACAAAAAATTATGTTAACTTGCCTAGAATCACTCTTAAGCCTAGAGCTACGGGGACGGGGAACTGGTCTGGGTCCCTCTTCCTCCATTGACCTTGGGGTATCTTCAGGGGTTACGCTATCTGCCAGGTCATCGGGAATAGAAATGGACTGACCCCCTCGACCAGGAAATGTCTTACTCATACTAGGCTGACCCTGTAAAATAATGTAATGTATCAGTGGTAAGAATGACAAAGCATTAACATGCAAAATGTCACCACTTGCCATTTGTTACAGATGCAGAATGCCAAATGCTGACTGCTGAACACAAACCACTGAACACCAAATGCCGAACATCATCTACTTCTGGTTGTGATATGATAATAGTAGATGTATTTTCAAATTAGTGAAAATGTTTTTTGCACATTTCAATATATTACTGTTTCATCTCTATTGCAGTAAATTTTGTTTCAGCACTGGGAATATACGACAAAGATTCCTTTTTTTAAATTTACTGCAATGGAAAATGATGGGTATGGTGAATATTGTCATCTTGCATCACATCTTCACAACCCACAGGTTGTTTTGCAAATAAAAAAAACATGTTAAGAAATCATGTCTTATTCTCTTAAATCTTCATTTTGATATACATGTATATAATGGATCAGTGCACGTACCATTCCTATGATTGTTCCCTGCTCTTCAAACATTTTAAAAGCCTGTGAGGTTGGACGTTGACGACGTGGTTTCGCAATATCACTAGCAAGATCATCAGAGTCATCTGACTGAAAATGACGAATTCTGTCCTGCACAGAGGTCTTCTCATCTGGAGATCTAAAATGTCAATATCAATGTTGAAATGAATAATAAAAAAAATAAATAAAAAATAATAATATCAATGTTGATATATCAATATTTGCTTAAAGACATAATACGATGATTTCTTCAGTGATTATGTCAACTTCAGAGTTGTTTGGCTTGAATTGTAACTTATCAATGTAGTCTTCTAAAAATCCAGATATTTTCAAATCCAATTCCAGAGAAATTATGCATTTTATTATTTATTATATATTCCTTTTTTAATTTTTGTAACTTATGACCTATTGATATCACAAACAGTTTCAAGTATTTTTGCCAAAAACATACAAAGTGTTATTTGATTTCATTGTCAACCAGTGTTGAATCCTATTGCTAAATACTACCAAAAACATATGTTACATAATATAAAATGTTACACTGTGTTTCCTGTAATTGGTTACATCAAAGTTGGCATGATAATTTAAGATAATTAGGTCAAAAGATGTTTTGCCAATTTTCATGGTGATCCTTCGTAATATAAACTGAGCAGATAATGTAGTTTTATGACTCATTGTTTCCTTTAAAAAACAAACCTGATGAAGCTGTGAATATTACAGGGTGACAAAAAAAACTGGAACCCACTTAAGTCTTAATATCTTCGTCAATTATGCATATTGGGCTTAGTTATTTGGTACATGTATAGTCAACTGAATGTATGACAAGATGTCAACGTTTTAGCATTCTTGATCAATTAATCTCCAAATGAGGCACGATTAGATAATGTGCTCCATATGTGCACCACAACGTTGGATGCAGAGCTGGATTCTTCTTGCAAAATTGTCAATGACCCGACTGCATTCATCTCTGTCTATCTCTCTAATTAGTCTTCCAATGTTGAGTGTGAGGTCATCAATGGTCTGTGGACTATCTGTATACACATTATCCTTGAGATAGCCCCACAGATAAAAATCTGGGGGGTTCAAATCAGGGGAGTGGGGGGGCCAGATGTGGCAGGTATGGTGACTGATTAAGCAATCACCAAAGTGAGCCTGAAGCCATCGAATGGATTCATTTGAGGTGTGGGGTGTGGCACCATCTTGTTGGAACCATTGCTGGTCTTTTCTCAAGTCACATCGTCTACCCAGCCCTTTCCAAAACTTTCGAATGTTATAGGGATGTAACGTTCTGAGTTGACTGTTGTCTTGAGTTCTGTCAGACCTCTCTCTCCCCAAATAGGTTGGTTTACCATCACTTTTTTTCTTTGTTGGTATTACAGTTCCTTCTGAATCAAACTTCTGTACAAGCCCAAAGATCTGTGACTTGCAAGGGGTTCTTCTTGCCCTGTGATCTCTCCAATAGGCAGTTTGTGTCTCTTTATAGGATTTTGTCTCGATATGCTTTCTCACAATATAAATCTTTTCTTCTGTCATCCATGGCATGATTAATATCTGAGCTACAGTACTCATTATGGTGTCATTTTGTCATGCATTCAGTCTTGTTTCTACACTGAAGAAATGAAGAATGTAGGTATAATACTTCCCAAGAAATTTGATGATTTATGGGTTCCAGTTTTTTTTGTCACCCTGTACGATTATTCTGAATGATTCAGTACATGGGACTTATTTGGTAATGAAAACTATTTTTGAAAACAATGAATATAAGCTTTGACTGATTCAGACATTGGAGAACTGATTCAGAACAGATTATTGGACAGTCTTTTCCTTTATGAAAATAATTTTTCAACAACTTGGTAATTGATATTATCATTGTTTATTTTCACCATTTTATATTAAATAAATTAATTTACTTAACACAGGGTTTTGGCCCAATAAGCAAATAAGTAAAAGCAAGAGAGACACCAAAGAGAAAATCCAGACAAAAGAAAATTCATTTTCATCTATGTTTAATCAATTCTAATATTCATTTTATACTTCAATAAGTCAATGTTTTACATACTCATTGTTAGATCCTAGGACTGGAGATTGATGAAGATCCTCTTTTCTCTTCCTTGGTACTGGCACAGGTGCTGAAATACATTGACCACATCATGAATATATCATTATAAAAAAAACACCACGTGGTGTGTATTATAACATCGTTATAATGTTTTGTTAAGTATTTTCCATATCATTTGCGTCATTTGGTTTCATTGTTGTAAAGTGTTTCAAAAGGTCCTTCATTTTGCCATTTCTCTTAATGTTTGAGCTCGATAGTCACTACCAAGCAAAATGCAAAAATTGTGGCTATATAATGGTGGCTATAATAATGGTGGCTACAACAATGGTGGCTAACAACCTGGCAGCCATGAATAAACATATAAATGGGAAAACTTTAAGCCAATGCTAGCAGAATTAACTAAAGGTACAAGATTCTACAGATACAAGATTCTTGTAGATTTTACAGTACTTACTTCCTTGACAGCTTCCAGGGGTGGATGGCCGACTATCGCCAAACATATCCCCAAATAGATGCTCCGACACAGCCTCACTGATGGTCTTTTCTACAAGATCTGATGCAACCATTGATATAATGGGTGATGTTACAACACTAGAGCCTCCATCACTGAAACAACAAAAATTTTATTATTTCTTTTAAATATCCAAATCAAGAAAGATAAAACAGACTCAATATTGTATCTTTCTTTGACATTGTATAATTCTCATCTAACTACCTTTTGAGTAATGCCCTAAGTTGACTGAGGGCATAACGGAAGTAAAAAACTCATTCTATAAAAGTGTTAATAATATTGAGCCTTTGAGTGGGTGGGCAAATTACTTGTACCATATGCTCAAGAATTGATTTATGCTGCAGGTAAATTTCCACTTAGGTAAGACTGTAAATGATAAACTGGTAATATAAAGTTATATATTTCTTGTACAGGTCCCATCTTTTCCTTAATTTCCATTTACAGGACAAAAGACAGGAGACCAGGTTTTCCTTTTATATTTTTAGCTCACATGGGTGAGCTATTGTTTTAATGAGTGGTAGAAGAAGTTGTGAGTGATGCTGTATTCTGTATTAATTTACAATTACCATGTAAAAAGATGATGAATTTTACAAAAGTTAGTGTACCAATTTCACATCTTAAATATGGTTTAATGGAAAGCACAACAAATTTGTACTAACTATGGGCCATTTAATGAATTGGATGCTATAGTTACCTCTCAAGGACAAATGGAGAATATGCTCTGCTGTCCAACATGGACTCGTCATCACTGTATCTTGGACTGTTGAGGCTTGCACTACGACTTCTGGGAGTGTGACCCCCGTGGGATGACACCTCTGTACTGTCTCTCTCCCAGCTATCCTGGTCATTGTTCAAAATATGACGTGACTGAAAGCATAAAAATTGATGACATGATTCAAGCACAGGAGGCAATGTATCATTTTAAAAGAAGAGTCTTTTCCGAAAAGTTTTGCACTTGTTTAGTATAAAGGATTTCAGATAAAATGTATACTAAACCAGAAGTACCAATGGAGTGAATGAATATGAATATTCGATTTGTGCTGTAAATTACGTTTGGAAAATAAAGTTTAAAGTGACATAAAAATTAGAACGATCATCTGTTTAATATCCTAGATTTCCTCTTAAAGATGACAAATAAGCAACAAATGGTTTGCTTTTGACAATAATGATCTCAATCTCAAAGGGATAGTTTGAAGCAAAAATAGTTTCCTCTAAAATCAAAGTACATATCTTTGTTCCAGCTAATGTATTATATTTTACATCATAATGTGATATCTAATGATTCCAAGCAAGACTATGACCTCTTAAAATCCTAAATATTTGTTTAGAATCAGCTGTTCTTTTTCATTGAAATTTTGTAATTTCCCATGTTAATTCATAATTTTGCCAATTTTTCATTCATTTAGCCTGTTTTCAGAAATCCAAATGAAAGCCCCTGAGTGTATTCAATTGTGCTGATATGGTTACTTACCTTTCTGGGTGAGGGAATAGGATGTGGAGGGCTTTCCTCAAACTTTGGGGGAGGGGGTCTGGTGGGTGGTGTTTTGGCAGATACCCTAGCCTCTTGAACCTAAAAGCAGCATGCAACATGCAATACAAACTAAGAAGTGAACATGTCCCTTATCCGCAATAAAGACATGAAAATTATATATGAAAAATGATATTGCTTTTTAGATTTTTCAATATCAAATTCAATATTGAAAGTGAAAATACATAATTTTCAAGCCGTTAATACACGTCCCTAAACCATGTGATAGAAGTCAAGGTCAAATGGTCCCCATTACTTTATGATCATGAAGGCTGACACTAGCAGTTTATCCATCGTATCCATGGAAAAAAAACTATAAATAAATCCTACTGTGGAGCTTTTGAGTGTCTCATAACATACTTGATTCTATATACTTGAACATTACTCGTACCTGATTCTATATACTTGTACATTACTTGTACTTGATTCTATATACTTGTACATTACTTGTACTTGATTCTATATACTTGTACTTAGTGTATGCAAAGTATTGGGACCATTGTTCCTTAGTAAACCTTTCCCCACACAGACTAGTCCTGCTTCAAGACAGTGAACCTCCCCTCCTATGGACTTCATTTTCAGCAACACAACACATGGTGAATTAGATAAGGGGGATGGGGAGGTGTCCAGGGTCTTAAGCAAGACTATGCCCAAACCATATTTAATTAAGTACATGTGATCAAAACACCAGACAATTTTTAGATCATGCTATAACTTTTTCTTATTTATCTTCATATAGTTCGCTTTACTCCTTACAGTGACAGTGACATTACATTGGTGACATACAAATCCAGTACAATACACAGTGCTAAACAGTACAACATTCAACACAACAATGTGGCCTCTTTTAAGGCAGAATCGACAAGCTTGAAGCCCACATTATGAGATGTGCCCTGTGTGACACCCATGAAGCCATTTGACATAGTTTATGAAAAACGCCCTGTATATGTGTATAGGCCCCCTACCTGTATTAGTTTAGAAGCATACGGTGAAATCTCATCATCTGACTTGAAGAGGGCATCATAGTCTTGTATGAAGTGGTTCAGGATCTGGTTGGTTTTCCCTTGCTCTCTCAGTCCCTCAAATCCATTGCTGCATCTGTATGTATATGGGAACATTAAGCACTTGAATTAAGCAGTAAAGACAAAAACAAAGATTTTTCGATTCAAGCTACAGTTTATGACTACTGATATTGCTCGTCATTGTTATAGATCGTAAACAATTTTCATCTGGGTGATCAAAAATAAAATACAGTAGTCTTATATACTCAAATACATACCTTCAAATTCAATTGACCTTTAATTATGTTTTTTATCGTGTTAGAATAAAAAATTACAGTCGGCTTTATAGCTGAAAATAAATAAAAAATCTAAATATAAGTATCACAAACCTGAATAAATTAGGGCCAAATATAATAGCCAGTGCCATAGAGCTCATTTTGTTGCTTTCCTCGAGTAGCGAGACAGTCACTAGGAAGCGACAAAGAAATTTCAGCAGATCATAGTTTTCTTGTGGAAGATCTTCAAGTAATTGCTTAAGCTGGTCTATGAACTGTTCAAAATCTTGCTGGAAATCTGAAATATTAGAAATATTCATATGATCAGAACAGAATAAGTTGTAAGTGTTTCAATTCACAGAAGGATTAATCTTCACACCCGTATTAAGATCTCAAAATTTAATATTGACAGACTGAATAGCAGACTTGTGATGACAGTGGAATATTCAAGAGGGACAATTCACTGAGTAAATAATATTGACTTATTCATTTCGACTGCACTTATCATACCGTACTTAGAGAATCACAATACAATTTTGAATATTTAAGGAAAAATCTGGATTTTCATCTGAGACCTATTTCTTAAGATTAGGAGTGAGGCAAAGTTATTTGATCGAGGCGTAACAGGACGAAGCCTAAAACAGAGCGAGGTGTTGTGTCTTTGTCTTCAATAAGCCTAGTGAAAATCTTGTGTTTGATTTGTGTTATATCTTATTTTCTACAAGTTTTTACTAACCTTCTTGCACTTGGATAAACTTCAATGTCTCACTTTCTGGAATAACAGAGTCTGGCAATTCTCGTAAAAACAATTTCAAAAGTCCCGCAACTGACATCACATCATTCGCATCTTCCAGATTTGCTGATCCAACTTTATCATATGAACTCTTCAACTTTTCCACCATACGTGCATTTCCATTTATTCGAAAGATTCCCTCATGGCCAATACCTAGAATCGTAAAAATGTCCAACGTCATTGTTAAAGTCTTTAGTCTACTTTAGAACTTGTGTTGCTTTTAGTACTGCAGCTACACATGTATGTATGTATATCTTTATTGCCCTTCATGAAAAAGGAGATACCTGTAATATACTAGAATATCCTTATTGCGATATCATTTCAACAATTCATTGCTCTATGCATCTTGCATATATATAGAAATGCTTGTTATTTCAAAATATATCCAGATTGATCATTACACAAATTGTGTGTGATGAAACCCAACATGACATAAGATGAAAGGCTGATGCAACTGAGCCAACTGTTTACAAATACATGAAATCATTCAATGCTGGTAAAATTTCAACTGATCTGATTGGCCCATGTGGTGTAAATCGTGTACATTGTATTTACATGCCATGTGGTACATAATTTGTATCATACTCTGACATCATCTGTATCATATGTTTTGATCGTCTAGGTCATGAATTGCCACAATTTTCTGCTGAAATACAATTTAAAACAGCATATGCTTTAAATTCGTGCACTTGCATTATGAGAACATATCAAATGATTTATTGTAAAATACCGAACATATTGTTTCTTATAAATTACATGTACACTTTCTGTTCCACAGTTTGTATTTTATTGGAATCAATGAACACTATTATAAGGGTATAATAAATATGGCCTTGGATATATTTCAAATTACATTTATTACATTCTATCATGTAATGCTGGTAATGAGACATATAACATTAAACACAGGTTAATGACTCATCATTTATTATGTAATAGCATACGAGACGAGACGAGATCACATGCTTTTTGAAGGCCAATGGAAATGTAGTAATGAATTATAAGTTGCAGAATATTTTTAATTAATTAATAAATTATACACCTCTTCCCTCAGGTATCATTGTTTAATCATATACCAAGAGGAACATGATGTCATGGATAATGTACACTCAGCCTGCTTACCTGACATTAATTTTTGCATTGATGAATAATTAAATTCTGATTCGATAACTAGACAATAAATAGGGTCAGAAATGCTGGTATGTTAAATGAGGAAAACATAAATTACAGCTATGTGCATTAAAACATTAATCATGAAAGATGATATTCAAACATGTTAATGTCAATCACTTGTCAAATCATAATATAAATCATAATTTTGAAAAAATCTATTAAATAAACAGATATTTAGGGTTACATCTACATGGATAATAACCATACACAAAATCTAAAATCAGAAGCATTAACAGTTAAGTGTTTGATAAGTTTAATCGCTATTCTTGGCATATTGTGTTAATATGTGTGGTGTCAAGGTAGTTCAATCAATACATTCTTACAATGAGGAATCCAAAGCATATAAAATCCCTCAAGAGTACATGTGGTAGATCTAAAGAGGGGTTCTGATGAAGCATTCTTGTACATGTACATGGGTGTTAAGCTACGATGATAACATGAGCACATGCTTTGAGGATCCGCGTTGTTTGAACCTACCGCCGAGCTCACTTATACATTAAGCCCCGTTACACAGTCATGATACCGCCGAGCAAGCTCATTGCATCATCGGGTCTGCTTTACCCCCGTGATTTACTTCAACTATTTCTTATTGACCACATTAACTGTATCTATCTTGGCAAAGTTGTTCTTTATGTATTTATCAAATCATTACAACTACCTCTGTTACTAATGTAACAGTTATATTAGTATTGTTATATGTATTGTATAAGGTAAATAGCTTCAGGAAATGGATCATACAGGCACCCAAACACAATATAAACAATTTGTAAAACAACATACAATGTTAATTAAATCGTGATGATGATGCAACAAATTTGATTGTTTTCATCACGTGATATCAAAAGGTTGCAGCCCGGGTTGAGTTCTGTTTAGTAATGTAATGCTTGGGAAATATTTTCAAGACCTATTAACTATTCAATTTCAATTTATCATCTTTATATGTCATACAAAACAAAAATACATAGATGATGAAAGGAGCAAGAAACTGAAAACTAAAACATATGCCCTTAACTCTTGATATCAAGATGTAAAAATTGACTTTCTTTGAACCATTTTGTAATATTTGTTAGTTTCAATATTCAATTTTTAAAGGCGGGAATTTAGGTAGTTCACTTCATAAGTTGTTAAGAGACATTTCCTAGATCATAAAGAAATATAAATTTTATGATAATATTTACAATAAGAGCAATTCAATAACTAAAGACTATAAAAAGGATAATAAATTACAGGATGCTTGTTATAGCAACAATATGCAATCATTCATTTTCTAATATTTAGATTGTGTCAATATGTCCAATCATCCTTGGCAGGACTGTAGTGAGCTTTGTGAGCTACATTTCAATTTGAAAATTCTTCTTTTGGCTCATGCCCATCTTTTTATCTTTATCTTTCACTGAAATGTTTTGAAGTATAAATCTTAATTTCATCATGTTAATGACCTTGTGATTAAATATGCTAAAATGTAACTGAAAGTTTACTTAATTTTTGTATATTTCATCTATAATTTTGGAATGAGCTATAATAATTCCTAGCATTTCCATATATATTTTGAGTGTTGAGTTCATGTTGGTTTACTTTATTTATTGCAAACTCCATTCTTTAGTGCTCCTTTATACATTTTGAACACAAACCCATTATGTCTATTTTAATTCTAATTCATACTAACCATGTTGAGAAATGAAGTCAACGATCGTCTTGACAATTACAGGCACGCGACAATCCTCCGGAGCACGACGTACTAGCTCCTCTAAAGGTACCCCAAATATTTTATTTCCGTTCGATTTTTTCTTAGCCATCGGGGAGCTGAGTATCTTTTTCATCTTATCCATTGTGTAGTCCCCGTCTTCATACACCTCCTGGAATATATTACAATTTAAACTAAACTAAATACATAAGAAATATTTCTGCATCAACCTTATATACGTCAATCATATAATTGGCACTTTTTTAGTCTTGCGATTTCTTATAATGTTAATTACACATAATTATTTGTTAAGCGTGTAATAACACATGTGTCTTGAAATATATGCTTTCTATATATATGATTATCTGAAACTGAATCTGAAATCTATATGACGTATAACATACATTTATTTTACTTCTTTCTATATATCTAATATTATAGATTATCATTTATTATTTATGAGGTTCAGGATACTGGGATTATCCTTAGGCTAATATAGTATATCTGCCCTGGGGGACTGCGAATAGTACAAAAATGCACCAACGTATAATTATGAAGTCAACCGGAGATAAAGTATATCCCCGTTCACTGGGACGTAAAGCTATATCCTGCCCCCTGATGAAAATACAACTCTACAAACCTTTTTACCTCAAACACGTCAAGTATGAGATAAAATGTTATACAACATACAATATACAGTATGTTATATTAAACCTGTTTGAAATAAAATAAACTTAACAATGTTTAAGATGAATGTGATAAAACTGAAAGTGAAAACTGAAATAAGGTATTGAAATATAATTTTCTGTTATTTAATCTACTCAAAAGCAAATGACTCACAACCAATAATTAATACTTTTGTCCTGGATTAACCTCAAAGTTACAGCATGTTTGGCTATAACAGAACTATTAATGTAACCTTGGTAATCTAAATCTTTGGATTATGGATCTTTAGGGTTATATTCAATCAAAGAAGAGAGTATTTACCTATTATATTAAACATGATATAATCATATCTATATGTAATTTTTTACACATCTTATGATGACCTTATATAAATCTTTAAGTGATGAAAACTTCTATATGATTTATGCATAATATGTTTTGCAGAAAATATATATGGGGACTTAGATTAAAAAACGTTTCCTTGTTTTTCTATATTCTGCATTTGAAATGATTTAGAAGAGCAAAAATAAAAAATGAATTCTCTTTTTTTTCAAATTACATTAACAACTTTCATAAGTGTCTTGATGATTAACCTTATTTTATTCAACAAACGAAAAGCAGTTTCATGTTTTGACAGTGGCGGGGTCATGCAAACCCAGGACTAGATAATAGTTTAGCAGGAACAAATCATGTATGATTTTATTCTCAAAATGTTTATTGTCATGATAATAACATCCTGTAAAATATATGTCATGATGTTCTGATCTTTTAAAACCGAAATCAAGAGAAATTATTACTCATTGCTGACCAACAACGAACTTGGAGATATCCCTGTTGAGCTGTCCAATAAGTATCACACAATTTGTACCATAATCTTAGCTAATGTTATAGGGGAGAGAAGAACAATTGAAATGTCATTGGTTTCACAATGGCATAAAACATAGAAAAGAGGATATTGATATACAGTCCATTTTTAACGTATACATAAAAATATTGGGTGAGACTTGAGATAATGTATGCGGCGCCAGTCAAAATTGAAACTTCTGATTGGGCTGAAGCCGAGATGCCCGGATATGTCCCAGCAAAAGCCGGAATTCACGTGATTTTTCACGAAGAAGGGGCGGAGTTTAAGCGAGATTCATCGAGACTTCTTCGTGTCAATCGTGTCAATCCCTGCATTGCTTATTGTTAACTCCACCTTTTTGCCCATATATGGAGATGGAGATGCCACTTGCGAGCGTGAACAGTTCAGTCTAGAAATTTCTTAAGCGATGTCTTTCTTCGATTTTTCTGCACGATATCTCGATAATTAGTGGACATATTTGTACCATTCTTTCGTCAAAATGAGGGTATCGCTGGAATACATATTTCCAATCTGTTGGTCAATAGATTTATTCATTGATACTGGCAGGAATTAGATCGTAATAAACATGCTAAAATTGTAAAACTTGGAACGTTTGACAGTAATCTCCGAGGAATGTATGAATTGCATCAGGAGAAAGCAGGAGAAAAGCTGGGACAGTCTGTTGTGTGGAGTTTGCAAAGCAATCCCGGATATAAATGACGTCATCTTAGCAGTTTACATGGTTTCGAAAGTGATATATTTTAGCTAGGCTTGGTCCAAGGGGCCCGTCTTAAGTGCGTGTTGAATTAAATGGAGCCTGGTATACTAATATGAAAATATGCCATTTCGCTCATTTTTTCATCAAAATGGTCAAGCACCAGTGCAGTAGAAAACCTCTGAAATAGCTTTGGCCAGCAATAAGTTAACATATGGATAACAGGGGCATGTAGAAAATACTCTTAATTACAATGCATAGAAACTCTCAAAACTGGACATTTCATTTAACTTTAAGAAATAGTAGAAAATAAGCAAAACAAGTTGAAAATTTGATTGTAGGGTGTCCTGGAATGACCCAACCATGAACATATAATAACTACAAGTATGATGCATATATTGGTTAGTACTTTTATGTGATATAGCAGCAACCAACCATATTCTATCAACCTTTGTTTCTTCAAACTTTGGTTTTAGATTTTATCTTCAGCTAATACATCGCATCAGAATGCATTACTAAATAGAAACCATGAAACAAGATGGAAAATTTAAATCTAAGCATTCTAGGGTATTCCATTTTTACCAATGGTCTGTATTATACTATCACTTTTCATTTAAGTGGTAATTTTATTTAAAAATACAATTTACCTAAATGAACTTAAGCCTTTAGTCAGTAAAATTTCTTTACTCAGGAAATCTTAAATTTTCGCAAATGTTATTTTACCACCTGCTGTCACCATTAGGTAAAAGGTAAAACTTACTCTTTAATAAAATCATAATTCTGTTCTTAAGACTCAAGAAACTGCTTATCTGACAAGGATATACCCCATCTTTAGACTAAAAGCTAACTTACCTATTTAGAACATCTAATAATTAACAACCATATATGATCTGAAAAATCATGGTTCGGTATAAATTCCTAGTTATACTTATGTTCACTCACTTCCTCAATAATCAAATAAATATTGAAACTGTTGGTTCAAGAACAGGAAAGATGATTTAAGTAAATGTATGAAACCAAATTTAAGTCATTATTATACTTATTAACACTCAATTAAGACTTACGCAAAATACTTACACAATGGAATATTGAGTGGTCCTATTGTGCCGTTTAAACTTTTTTTGTTAATAGCACGTGGACATTTACTTACCAATTTGCCACTCAATACACTGACACACGAGAACCTCATTATGTCTTTTACACAGGACTTAGTCATTGTTGCTCTTGTGGTATTGAAGATGAACGGCTAACTAAATGTTGATTTCATATGTAACCTTCGGATGGACTAACTGTTGATTCTGTTACTTTTAAGATCCCACCATGTTCAAAAATCTTTTTTCCAACACATGAGAATCCTTTTTGCACATGTGGAAGACTGCTATATAAATTATGTTCTTTGGTACCATCTGATACAAAGTTAAGGTACCCATTCAAATATGTAGTCAGAATAATTCCTTCTAAGCCACTAGCATCTTGTATCTGCTTTATGTAGAAAAGTATTATATCCAGATTTGATTTCTTTATTTCATTTTATTTGATGAATTTCTAGATATTGAATTCCTATTAATTTCACACAGTTCAAAACAATTTATTATAAGACGTACATCCAGTCAATGTGTGAAGTAATCCTCGAGCAGGATTAATTTAAATCTATCATTTCCAGTGTTTTAATCCAAAATAAAAGCAGATGTGTATCCTTCCTATCACACATCCTTGCGTGGTTTATAACTTCAAATGCATCATTATAGACTATGAGTACCAGTGCAGAATCCATAACTGTTTAAATTAACTGTTTTATTTTGACAGTTTTAAAGTGACTTTTCATGTTGATACTTTTACATGTTGTATGTATGAATGTGTTAATTGGGTTCCATTTTATCAATTATAGGTGACAGCCAGAACAAATACATTTATAAAATATTCATTTCAATACTTATTATTTTCTTTAAAAAAGCAATTGTTTTAAAATGAGACAACAGTTAGAACATCATAATATTCTCATTCAATTTGTAACAATCCTCCAATTCTGTGATTTGTAACTAGTTGTTGACATTTTGAGCAGTGATTTTGCAATTCAAATCAATAGTCTATTAAAGTGGCATTTACAGAGTTTCCAAGGTTTCCAGTATAGAAACTTTATAGCCTGAATCACTTTATGTTCTCACTATATCCACGATATGCGAGTTAATTTTATTTTCATATACCAAATCAAAGAATTCCTCTTATCTTTCCTCTTAATGCAAAACGCAGTCATCATCTAAGCAAATTATTAAATGAACATCCCACACTTCGATTGATCTCATATTCTATTGTCGATCTTGCAGAAATATACAAATCCTGGAAAGAGAATCTATTGCATTCTGTTTCCTGTATCCGAGGAAATTATTTGTGATCAACTGGAACTGTATGGCAGTTTCCTCTACAGGTGAGTAGGTATATTCCAGACTGATCTGATTTTCCACAGGTATATCATGTGTTACTGAGAGATAGTACAAACCAAAACATTATGTCTCAAATCCTGGATATTTGCAGCTATACATCCTGCTTGTCCAAATGTCTCAATCTCAACTTAATCCATCAATTTGTTTAATGACATCCTGATTTATAAAACTCCTCTTATCAAGGGGCGAGTTTGGAAGTTAAAGACAACGTGGCAGTGTGAATCCTGATGGTAAAAGTATGTTTAACAATGACTTTTATGAATGTAAACTTGCATGATTTAAGCCCAATTTAAGTCCATTTTCATGTAAAGCAGCACTTAAATATTATCAGGACATTTGTACTGTCTAGCACCTAACCACAAAACCAAGATTGCAAAAATAGAGTTTACAATATAAATCCATGTAAAGATGGAAGGGCAGCCTTATCCATTGGTTCCATTTTGTTTGTTTTTATTACAAAGTTTTTATTTTCAAAATAAAAAGGGTTGGCTCAAATTAAGATATTGTTTAATACAGGGATTATAAATGTGTATAATAAAAATTTTGAATTCAAATCACATGTTTAAACTTGAAGGCGATAAAAACATCTGCTTCACTTTTCTTGCTGTTAAAAATTCAAAAAATACATTCTTAAATAATCTGATCAAACATGATTTAATGTAAAATTGCATAATAAAATAGCTAAAAAGATATATTGACCAAGTTCTATGGTCCCTATCATGCAATAAACTCAAAAAGTAAAACATGTAAGAAAAATATTCACAAAAAGATGAGGACTGAATGCGGCTGATCATGTTAATGTTCTGCCGTTTGATGTAGAAATCAGGTCAGTAGTGTAAATTTAAACTGGAACCAGATACATGGGTTATCTACTTGGAAATATAAGAAATCAAAACATTTGTGGATCTGGTAATCTATCATATTTTTTCCTGAAATACATGTAATTCAGTGCAATATAACCAATTTAGTGCCATTTCATGAAAATTCAATGCAATTTAACCAAATTTAGTGCCATTTCATGAAAATTCAATGCAATTTAACCAAATTTAGTGCCATTTCATGAAAATTCAATGCAATTTAACCAAATTTAGTGCCATTTCATGAAAATTCAATGCAATTTAACCAAATTTAGTGCCATTTCATGAAAATTCAATGCAATTTAACCAAATTTAGTGCCATTTCATGAAAATTCAATGCAATTTAACCAAAAGTGCCATTTCATTTCAGATCCAATGTAATTTAAATGGAAATTCAGTGCAAATTAACCAAATTCACTCCTCAAGTTTGTTTGTCAAAGAAAAGCAGAGAGAAAAACTAGATGAAAATGGATCAAGAGAAATGATTATCATATAAAAAAATTCTATAGTATTGATCAGATAATTATGGGATAACTTTACAATTTTAACTCTCTTTAATTGATCCATATGGTTTGATTAATTAATTCACCATTTTTAATTACAAAATTGATGGGAATTCCTATTCTTAAATGTGTACAACTTTTAAAATAGAACAGCTGGTTTCATGAATATTTTAGAAATAATATCACTATACTAGATTTATTGCTCAATAACATGGCTCTTAATAATGGTGAGAAATGAGATCAGAATATATTAGGTCGTGCTGACATTCTAGGCTAATATATGAACAAACACGAGGTTAGCAACCAGCCGGTGTATCTTTTACATACAGTAAAACATGTATACCGTGATGCAACAGTCAGATGTCTGAACTAATGTTCTCTTTGTGTTCACTGGAAAGAGGTGTTCAATAAGACAAGTTTAACTGTATTTCAACATTTGTTTACATTCTATTATTGCAATGAAAATGTTTCAATGTATTCACCTTCATTAATCATGATTCATGTTTAACTGATTAAACAAACCATCAATATTTTCAAATACAAATTCTGAAAAGATAGTACACTGATCCTTGGTTTGTAACAGATGTTTTGAGGGGTCTCTGAGTTGGTTCTTGGCAAATAACTTTTTCTTGGCCTTATAGGGTCTTATGAAGATTAAAAAGGAGTTTTATCTTGCAATTAAGACTGGTTATAGACATTGAGGTTAACTAAGGTGCCAGTCCAGATCCTGTAAAATAAGATATACAGGCCTATTTTTAAAAGTAAAGTACAAAAATGTAGGTACAAATCAATTTCTTCAGCAAGAAGGCGGTAGCAAGAAGGGGTCAGAATGGGGGGGGGGGGGGGGGGTGGTATGATAAGTGATCTTCATCGCTGAGGGTTTCCTTGAAGTAAACCCCACATTGGGAGACTTTCTCTAAACCATTTAGTTTTTTATTGAACATTTTCTATTGAAGAGAAAGCTGATTAAAGTGCAGATTCTTTTCCATAAAAAATTGACCTTAACATCTTATGGTCTGGAGTACATAAATACTGCATTGTAAACTCTAGATATTTTCAAAAGAGGCATGAAGTGACCTCAAAAATCTATGATAAAAAACTCATAATGGAGAAGATGTCCTTAGATGTAAATAAATACCACTGAACTATAGCATGCTAAATGAAGTAAACATCTATAAACAAATCTCCTATAAACCTCACCTCTGTTCTAAAGGTGTGGTATATATAGGGGCGGGAGGGGGTTGTTCAAACTCATACGTTACGAAATTCTAATCTAGCAGCTAGTCTACATTAAAAATAGTGCTTGTCTACAAAGCAAATAAATGTAAACGTAAATATTGGTGAAATCAATACTAAACGAACATTGAACAGACAGCTAAGCTTTCAAACAATAACATCCTCTTGGCTTACATAAATAACATGGCATTCTCACTTTTCCTTGCAACTGTTTATTAAATGAACTGAGGGTTGCAAGAAAAAGCTTGTCCATCATGCTTATTTGCAGAGAAGATAATTTATACATCCCTCCAAAAATTTGGTCTGTTCATCAACAAACTCACTGTTAATTGTTGATCTATTGTAATTGAGGAACAAAAATTAAAATTAAACAGCCTTTAATAAACAATGAAGGTTAAGCTACATTTTTTTAAGTTAGAGAACTTGCACGTATGAACAAATAAAATTATGACCCCAAGGATTACTGTCTTTCAATTAGTTTTTCCAGGGACCTAATTACAACTTTTCTCCTATACTTTGATAATCAATCGGCAAGTGAATATTACCTTAAGGGAAGAATTAATTTATAGAGTAGCCAGGCCCATAGCCCATGATTGGCCAAGGGGGGTTCACTTTTTGAAAAATTCCAGGGGGGGATTCACTTGTGACAATTTTGGTCCAAAAATGGATAAAATCACTTAAAAAGTGCTCAGAATGGTGAAAAACTGAATGATTTTGAAAGATTTTTGGGCCAGGGGGAGCATAATTCTACATGTTCAGGTACAAATTCCCTTAAAAATGTGTAGCTTATCTACTGTGGACTTGAGGTTGCCAAACTTATGGAGGGGGTGTACATGCTTGGGACTTCTATGGGTATTCTCTCCACACAACACACTACTAACCTTGTCTTTCAATTCAGTTGCACTGCAAATTCAAATCCTGAAGCACATAATTTAAAGTGAAAAGTTAGTTACAAATAACCAAAATATATTAGCCATGCATTGAATAGTACCTTCAGACTAGCCAGTGATAAAATGGTGTTGTATACTTCTGTTAGATTGCCCGAGACAGGGTCCCACTCTGCCTCACTCTAGTTGATATCATGGTTAGAAAGGGGATATATCAAAGGTGGTTTGCAATCCCCAAAAAAAAATATAAAATATAATTTATAAAAAAATCACTTCAAATGTTTTTTAAATAATAAAACAGTTTTCCTGGAAAAATTAAAGTTTTGGCCTAAATTATGAGATTTTTGATAGTATACTATTTTTAAACAAGACGTTTTGATCTATGCTTAAGAGGTTGGCTTCTGGGCTGAGGTATGGGCCTCTGGATAGCTGGGAAAAACAAATGCATGGAAGGTAAAAGAGTTTAATTATAGAGACTTGGAGATATACTCAAGGGACTGAGGAGAAATGGTTGGTAATAAGGAACAAACACCATAGATCTCGTGTATCTGTACAATAAAGACATTTTGTGTATTGGTAGTCTGAAGGTCTGCATTCCCTTCAAACAAGTCAAAACATAAATGTACTACAAACCAGTGCAGCCCACAATACAGTGAAGTTATCAATACGTTCAGCCATGCAATATCAGACACAGTGAATGAGACAATACATATACATGTAATAATCAATCAGACATAATTATCACAAAACATAGAAATTATCACAAACAAATTACAAAATAGCATCGCCAAACATATTACTATTATGATATATTACCCCCCCCCCCCCCCTCTATCCTTCTAACCTAGCTTCATATATTACTACCTTTGTAATGGTACACAGGTATATCAAGCAATCAGAAAAACAATAGGATTATGAATGGAATAACTGTTCAATATTCGTCCTTGTTATTAAATCAATACTACAGATTGAGTGGATTATTACTTTATTAGCGCAATCATACATTTCATAAGTCACCTGGATAGACAGAGGATATCATGGCCTTCTTGTTCTGTCAGTTTCTTTCTATAGAAACATATTGCTTCAGTTGTAAAATAACGTAATGTGAGTTTTTCAGAATGCCTGGATTGGACCATTGGCCAGCTTAATTTCTACATGTTCATGACCTTAACTGCATACTGTATTTGCAATGTAATAAAATGTACTTTATCTGTAAAAAAGCATCAGTTTTTTCTGATAAGTAAACATTTCAAGATCAAAAGATCGTCATAGTAATCAAAAATACCCAGCATCACAAATATTTTTGTTGCACCTGCCCACCTATCTGCCTTCTATCATGAGACACTATGGCCCAAAATAGTACTAATTCTGGCTTAGTGCAATAAAAGCCTTTCATGTCTGACAAAAGAGTGAATCTTGAGCATATCTGCATAGTAAGAATTGAGCATTCACTATAGATAGAAGTCAATCATGTTTGGTATCATAGTTGGGCATTCCCATAACAATGATGCATTTCTATTAATATATTAGTCATGACATGAAGTGTATTGCCCATAAATGGTACATTCCTATTAATATATTAGTCATGACATGAAGTGTATTGCCCATAAATGGTACGTTCCTATTAATATATTTGTCATGACATGAAGTGTATTGCCCATAAATGATACATTCCTATTAATATATTAGTCATGACATGAAGTGTATTGCCCATAAATGGTACATTCCTAATTAGTCATTGACATTGACAATAACAGTATGGATGTCCATGGAAAATGGATCATGGATAATGTTCATGGATGATACCTCAAACACAGATGGTACAGAGTCTAGTTAAACTACACTCTGCCTAGTAGAGACCATATTACAGTTTAGTAGCCCCGCCCCCACGATGGGTACTGGTGACAGTTTGGGTAATAAATCACTTTTGACCTACGCGCTGACCTTTCTTCCACCAATTAGCGAGCTTGAAGAAACATACGCCAAATGCGTTCTAATTAAATATGCGCATGTCATTGGTCAATTCCGGGCTCAACGATGACGTCAGAAGGAATGACCATATATAGAACGTCGGTCAAATTTGGCCGACGAACACTGATTGGCGCGGTGAGTTCACAGGTTTATTTTAGTTTGAAAGAGTGAAGACGAAGCTCTCTTTTTAAGAAGTGAAGTCAAACGAATCTAAGTTACTCTAAGTTGACAAGCCCTGAAAATATTTTTGCACAGAAAGTAATGATCACTTGTCTAGAAGTGATTTTGTGCTACTTTCCTATACTGTTATGGGCAAGGTTATAGAAGTTGAGAGTTGATGACATCACTTCCTGCAAGAAATCTTAAAAGATGGCAGCTCACTGGAAATAAGCACTAGATTTTTAAATGATCAATATTGACCATATTAAAATATTTTCCCATGTTTTGCTAAATATGGAAACTATATATATGATTATAGCTACCATATCAAGAGAGAAAGGGTCTGGCAAGGAATATTCCTTTAAGTGCACTGAACATCATACTCCATCGCATTTATAGCTTATTGGCTATGCACTGTAACATTTTATTTCAAAGCTTATGAGAGTACACTGCAATTTCATTTAACACAGAACTGGAAATAAATCTAGTTTAATTGCAACTTTATGAGGTTTTTACCAGTACCTAAGGTTAAATGCTTTTTATCACTCTTGCTAGTTTCAACCATCTGGAGATTATAACATCAATATAACTATACTGTCTTATTATACTGGACATTAAATAGAAACCAGAGCTCATGGCATAAGTGCATTACTTAGTATCACTTCAGTAATATAAGAATGCGGAACATATTTGGAGATCAAGCTATTGATTGGTTATTAGCACAATAATATTTTTTATTTCATCCTGTTTATTTCATTTGTTGCTTTAATGCAAAAACAATGGTACTTTACTACTTCTGAACCAGCTGAAATGAACCATTTTTCAGTTTGTTGATTAAACATGCCATACCATGAGAATATGGTCATTGGCTTAATAGTATATAGCATATATTTTATGCCCGATCTTTAAATTCAATCACACAATTCAGTGCTCTCCCCTTTTTTCATTTCTTAATTCTGACTAATGAGTGACCAAATTTTGTTAAAATATTCCACTTTTTAAAATGCTTGATCACAAGTGAGTGCAATTATAGAATAACATATTGATTAAATTCAGTTGGGTACCAGCAAACATTTCGGCACACAGTGAAAAATATCATTCCTAAAAATCAAAAATGGCTGCCTACAAATTTACCCAGCATGCCAAGAAACATTCACTTTTAGGTTAACCAAGAAACATCCCTTAATGATTTCAAATCAATCATACATCCTGAATATGTCTGGAAATGTAGATAGAAAGGGAGATGGAACTGCCTGGCAAGCTGATGACAATGACCTAACATTTCTAAGTATAATTGGTGATGTTTTTTTTATTTATTATTATTATTATTTATTATTGATAGTTTAAAATACAATTACAATAGCATCCCTAAATCGCCAGAGGGCATTATATAGAATGGTGAGAGGCAGGGGGGTGACAGGCAGACAGGGCCCCGGACCGGAGCAAGTGTGACAAGACAACAGGATACCAGACAGAGACACATTGGTGATATATTCAGATTCTAGAGTGCTTAGAGTGCCACTCGTAAAACCAAATGAGACAATAGCTCACACTATAATGGTCACTACTAGAGCATTAAAAGATCACAGCGAATTACCCTACTAATCTGAATCAATCAAGCCAAACAGTCAGTTAGTCTCCTATGAAATTGAAACTGGCGCCAAGATACCGAAAGCCAATTATCAAAAAGGTATGAAAAACATATTGTTAACCTTACAGTCAGCAAGTTAAATACACTATAAATCAAATAAGTATTTCTCTTTGATGATGTTTCTCAAATTAAATTAGGAATAGAAGAAACAGTGGATCCTGACCTTGATAAACTATAAAGTCTTGCCTGCTGTTCCTTCCCTGACAATTAATATTTCCTCGGTAAAGACTTGGCATCTCTAAAGACAGAGATTTTTCCCAACGTCAAAGTTACTTGATCATATATGACACATATGCAGTTGAAATTTACCTTAATCTTAATTCAGTTGAAAATCCATTTTTGCATCCAGTTGAAAAAGCTGAAAATCCTGAATTAATGAATTTTTGGGCAGTTCTGAACATATCAAGTCGGAATATAGGTACGTAAAATTAGGATTTTGTGCCCAGTTAAAAATCCACATAAGTTGTAGCAGTATATCAATTTTTAGGTATCCATGTACAATACTTGTATAATACTTGGATATGACGCAATTGTGACATTTATAGATTATACATAGCACTTTTTATGCATAGTTGATTGGGGAACTAGACCTATTGTGTTCTGAGCCAATTCTTCGGTCGTGTGTCATTCTGCATATTATTATAAGAAAAGACCAATTATGTCTTTAATAATAAGCTGATTGAGGCAAGTCAAATTGAGAAATGCATATACAAAATAGCAATCAACCCTTGAGAAATATATCATTCAATCAATATTTGTAATAACATAATCACTTCAGATTCAAGGAGATCTTTTCAGCATGCTGAATGTACAGAATTGCGATGCAGTAATTGCAACCTCTCATAAATTCCAAGTAATATGAGGCTATAAAAGCTTGACTATTAAAGAATTTAGCCTATGTTTTATGAGAGGATCTCAGCCTGGAAATTTGTTTTGCGAGTGATGTCCATTGATCCTTTATCCTTTGTTTATTAAAATACCTATGAAGATTTAGAATGAATCAGATCGAGAGAGATCAAAAGCACAAAACATGGATGCTTCAAGAGTATTTATCTTTATCATCTTAGAGAGCAAGTAATCAAAATTAAATCAAACGTATGCCATTATTAGAAAAGCATTTCTAAGATCTCGGGGATCATTTCCGCAAGAATGATTTCAATTAGATGATTTTCTCCCAGCAGTGATTTTATACTATCATTTTACACTATGCTATTTGAGATGAAATATGGCCTTATTACCCTTTCTAATAATTTCATTTTGCTATTTAAAAGTAAGCTTCGTCTTCAACTAATGTACATGGCTCCAGTATACTCAGGTTGTCTTATATATACACCTCAAGGAATATAATTGCTACTAACTTCCTAATTATACGTATAGGCATAGCTTTATATAAAATTCAATGTTGACAACAATATCTTGCAATAATCGATCAATTTTCTTGGTTGAAAACAAGCTGATCAAACATAAATAAAAACTGCTTCTAAAGATATCCGAGAAATAGGCCCCTTGATAGCAATATTTTCTCTTTATTACAAACATGGCAGCACGTTGAGTTTAATTAAAATGGCACGCTAAAGTGAATGTTAACTGGTAACTAGAATCTGTTGGAGGGTTTGTTGGGAAAATCAGTTTTCGAAAGTCTGTTTGTTCATTAAATTCTTGATGTAATTGCGATTGAAAGGGAAAAATCTGGGCTGGAAACAAGACTTTGGCGTGTAAGAATAGTAGGCATTTTCTCAAAACAAGATGATCTTTTATAATTAGATTCCATTTGAGTTGAAAAACAGAGAAAATAATCTAACGCAATTTAACAAACAACATTGTACTGATCAGAGGATCTTATTGCCCTAATTTGAAACACTACAGACAGGGACAAGACAAGATGAACATTATATACATACTACTACTGATATAAATGGTGCCATATGAAGTTGAAGAGTGAGGAAATGATGATGATACAGAGAGATCCAATATGTACGCTTTCACAATGTACAATGTACACAATAGAATGATGAAGACAGAAAAACCAGAGTCCTTCAAACACAGCTATACATACCCTTAACAAATAAATATAAATATACAATTAAAAGCAGCCAGGTACATTATTAGATGAGTCTTGAAAGTGATTTTTGTCCTTAATAAAAATAAATATCTTCAAATGCACCCCTGCATATTTAACTAAAAACCTCAAAAATCTTTGTAATCGACAATATGTTAACTTTTTTTGACAAAGTCCTGCATCAAGCCATGTTTACCTCACCACACCTTCACATTAATGTAAAATACTAAATGGGAGGGGGACAGAGACTGGATGCAAGACTAAATGGTTTTCAATGTTCAAATACCTGTGTATATGTTTCCTCTCCACTAGGGGCTATTTGAGTCATTGGTCTAGTTTCAGTGGGGGCAACAGAGTTGGGCATGATCCTTTATGGCATTGTGGTCGGTTCCAGTTAGGCAGCCAGGATGGAGTCACCTGAAACAATGCACATGACAAATATATAAGTTATACTTTTATGGTTCTATTTATGAATTGACTATATCAGAACTTCTTGCCAATGCCAATATCTATTCTCTTCTTCAATAGGTAGTTGCTGAGGAATCTACAATTTTGTTTCCCTAAAGGATTCTTTTTTATGTAGTTGAGGAATAGGATTTGTTTCTATGTTTCACTCTCGGTTCTTGATTAATGGAGTTACTTTTTGGGGTTAAGGGTGATAATTTGTTGATTAATTTTGTGAATAATGTTGTTTTTAGCATGACTTATTGAAGCTTACATGAAAGCACACTTTGATAAATAGTCTACATTTAAATAAATGTACATGTAAAATGCTTTGTAACTATATCAACTGAATGCAGATGATAGGCATTGAACTCTTGATGTCTTCCCTTAGAAAATTGTAATTGATTATAACCATTAGGCAATAAAGTATACAAAGGAAGTATCAAGTACATGTACATAAGTACATACAAAGGAAGTATCAAGTATTTGAAGTAACCATACAGATTAAGCTTTAATATAAATAACAAAAAACATATGCTTCCAACATCCGTTATTTAAATCAATAACAGCAATAAACAATAGGATTTGTGACTCATCATTTCAGTTAAATGACTCATTTCGAATCATATCTATAAATATATTTAATATAAGCTTTACATATCCCATCATTGTGCACTCTCCAAATGTATCCCAGAGCACAATCTCCAAATGTATCCCAGAGCACAACCTCCAAATGCATCCTACAGCACAACCTCCAAATGTATCCCAGAGCACAATCTCCAAATGTATCCCAGAACAAAACCTCCAAATACATCCCACAGCACAACCTCCAAATGTATCCCAGAACAAAACCTCCAAATACATCCCACAGCACAACCTCCAAATGCATCCTACAGCACAACCTCCAAATGTATCCCACAGCACAATCTCCAAATGTATCCCAGAACAAAACCTCCAAATGCATCCCACAGCACAATCTCCAAATGTATCCCAGAGCACAACCTCCAAATGTATCCCAGAGCACAATCTCCAAATGTATCCCAGAACAAAACCTCCAAATACATCCCACAGCACAACCTCCAAATGCATCCCACAGCACAATCTCCAAATGTATCCCAGAGCACAACCTCCAAATGCATCCTACAGCACAACCTCCAAATGTATCCCAGAGCACAATCTCCAAATGTATCCCAGAACAAAACCTCCAAATACATCCCACAGCACAACCTCCAAATGCATCCCACAGCACAATCTCCAAATGCATCCCAGAGCACAACCTCCAAATTCCAAATGTGTCCAAGAACACATCCTCTAAATTTATGACAGTGCAATAAGAATTTATGTCTTCCTCATTCCAAAGCCCTACATTAGAATATGCCTGGAGCATTCGAACAAATAGCTACAATGAGAAAACATCTAATATTTCAACCTGAATAAAAACAATGTATTGTTCTCTCCAAATCATATAAGAGATGAGATAGATAAGGTTGTGATCATATCCATATTTTTGTACTTCATTTTACGTTCTCCTGTTTCAGTTAACATTTTATTGATGTGATTCAAAATACATCAAAAATTGTAGCCTAGTACATATTTTAACGGAACGTACAACAATACTTAAACTCAAGTATTTTTTATCTTAATTTTATCACAACATTTTTTTCATGTGATACTGTTAATTATACCTGTTATACAAATGTGCTAAAGGTAGTATGTAAACTAACAAACACTTACAAGTGTTGTACATATGTAAGACAACCTGACCTGACAATTTATTGAACTTTACTGAAACAATAATGTTGACATTTGACAATAAGGACAATAGGAGCATGTAACAGGTACTACATTAGTTAGTTGTAACTATGTCCTACAGCAACATACAAAACATCCAAAGAATGTGATACATCAATTTATCACCAAAGTGTCCAATTGCAGAAAACCTACATGTCCAATAGGGTAATCCAAAGCCTGTACATGTACATCCCTTGGAGAACACGCATCCTCTGAATGCAGGGCTTAGGGCTACAGACGTCATACACTGCATAGGTGTACCCCGGATGCAAATCAAATAGAACCATTAGACAGAAAAGGAAAAGAGCTTCAAAATGCTTTTTATTTGAAGCTTCTGGCTCAATTTTGAAGGAAGTTACATTAATTTTTGTAAAATTCAAAACAAATCTTAATTTTTTTTGGCTCGCTTATGCCACGATCGCAGCCCCCCTGAATAAAACTGAAATCTTTTTTGGCATTCACCGATTGGCCAGTAATCTTAGGGCATAAATTCTAAGCTTACTACCACTTGAGGGTTTAAGATACCTGGCTTTACCTGATGAAACTGACATCACATTACAGTGTTCTCCCCAAAAAAAATTTTCAACTGGGTGCAAAATTTCAAGTCTGAAAATATCAACACTCGCTACGCTCACAATATCTCAATGTAGGTGCTTTATTACTTCACTCATTTTTCAAATCAGAAGTTAAAGTGCAGATTCCAACTGGGTGCCAACTGGGGGGCCTTTGGTTTCAAGTAGGGGGAGTCCCCAGTAAAAGTGACATGGGGAGATCACTGCATTATATTATTCGATCATTATGACACTATGACTTGTTGAATCTAAGATTTGTGCCTTCGTTATTCTCTTTATGTCTGTATCAGGTCTAGATATTGATGACTTAGGTCTAGATATATTTTGGTTTATCAGACCATGGTAGCAAAACATGACAAAAATACGAAAGATCATAAAATCACACATTTTATTTTTTGCCCAAAATATCATCAAAGAGCAAAAAATGTTCTATTGTACATGTTAAAATATAAATGCCATTTTGGTCGATAAGCTCATCCAAACATTCAAACTACAACTACTGACAAAAACAGTTTGAACAATGATTGATTGATTTAAGTATCAGGATCTAAAACACACTTGTTAATAAAAAACAGGTTAACATGGTCGTTAAAAACAGCTGATCGTTTGAATTGTAAATACGTGACAAAGTTTATGTTCACTTGATATTTGAAATTTTTTCAATTTTTATTAATGAACAAAAAGTTACGATGTCCCTAATTTATCAGTCTACATCAGATATAATTACCCCAAAAATATATTTCAGGTGTTCCAACCAACTAAACATAAATTATTTATGCACTTTCATTTAAATATGAATTACATTCATATGACACTTTTTATTGTTTTATAACAGGTATCTGGTCCTCTCTCCCCTATCAACTATCAACTATAACTAGAAGGCATTATCATCACGCAAAATGTCACAACATGCCATTTGTTGCAGATGCCGACTTCTGAATGCCAAACACCTACCGCCATTCACATACATGTATGTCATAATAATGACATAATGGAACACAATAATATGAATGTTAACACGGAGGGATGGATCAGGACGGAGGCATAAGATAGGCAAATAGAAACCATGCCTTTCAAACATGATGCTGCACATGCACCTGAGCCCAGAGGTCCAGAGCTTTGATCCAGATTTGATTTTTCAGCAGGCCCCAGAAAATAATGTTGCAAATGGTCCATAATTCAATTTTTACTATTTGAGTCATTTTATCTACTTACTTTCCTTTCAAAATATTGAGAATCATTTTCTAAAGACAGGCCTTGTCGGGACGCTAAGGCGCATTTCTCCTAAAAGATGATCACACTTACTGTCTAGGGTTGTTTCAGGGTCCTACAATACAGCAGCCTGAGTCTCAACATCTACCTCTCTAAACTGTCACCGTGGGTTCCGCTATGGGACAAGATGTGGCCTCACACCACTGTTTAATTTATTATACAGGTATCACACCACAGTTAGTTGACCTGAAAGTATAGTTAACAACAGTTTATAAATTACCAATAACCATTTGTTTTTTACAGAATACAATTCATGTAGGTACTCGTCTAAAAATTAAAGTATAGAACAAGAAAGGTTAAATCTATAGCAAGGCACCCATGTCAAGTTAATATCCTTGAAATTATGTTTTGTCAAATATGACTCCTGCATAATTCTAAATGTTGTTAGATTATCATCTAAAATGCAATCTTTTTAATTTCTGACTGCATATAAGAGACAGTGGCGTAGCCAGGATTTGGTGACCAGGGGTTCTATTTTTATGTTATCCACAAATCTCCCCCTTCATTGGTGTACCTCACATAAAAGTGCTTTAGAACCACACTATGCCCAGGTATAGATTTGTTACCCCTGGAAAGTAAAATCAATTCCCTAGAGACTCAGGCCCTGTTGTATCACCCTCAGAAATAGCTTTGGAACATTATCTCCATTTCTGCAGGGTAAGGTCACCATTTTTACTGAAATGATCTGTTACATTTCGTGGTAATATCAACAATTTCATTACCGCGGATTAGATCATAAACGGACGGTGAAAATGTTTCTATTATCTAATATTTGCTCTTGGGGACTTATCAGCCCCCCCCCCCCGGGACTTAGCAAGAATTTGTTTAAAATAAAACAAAACGGAGATGCAAAAATTTGAAAGAAAATGTGTTTTCATCAGTATTTAGACAGTTGGTTTATTTCACCGGAGAGTAAGAAAATAAATTGTGTGAAATAATTGATATTTCTTTTTTTGCATAATGATGCATGATGCTCCAGGGTCTTCCCGAGATTAAACAATCCCACCCCGTGTCTAAGGTTGCCAAACTTGGAGAGAAGTGTAACTTTATTATTTTTTATCTACTTGTCAAAATTGAATATATTTTTCTGGTTGTTTTTTCACAAATATTTTTTGGGGGAAATCAAGACCGGGGGTTCGTCTGAACCCATCAAATCCCCGGTCCCTAAGGCTATGAAAGAAACTATTCATATACATGTTTGAGCCCTAACTTCTCTACTAATATGCGTAATATGAATAAGAGTCTTGCTTCAAGACCCTGCTGGACCCTTCTCCCCTATCTACTTGTACTATAAGACCATGGGCGTAGCCAGGGGGGGTGCGATGGGTGCGATCGCACCCCCCCCCCCCACCATAACCTTTGAAAATATGACCATTGAAGGTATTTGACCATTGACCAGGTAGAAAAGAGCTTTAAAATGCTTTTTATTTGAAGCTTCTAGCTCAATTTTGAAGGAAGTTGCATCAATTTTTGTAAAATTCAAAAGAAATCTTAATTTTTTGTGTTGCTTATGGCAAAATCGCACCCCCCCTGACCGAAAACTGAAAAATTTTCGGCGATCGCACCCCCCCTGACTGAAAGCTGGCTACGCCCCTGATAAGACTGTATGAATAATTGATACTGTTGTTTCTTTTTGATCCAGTTCTGTAAGCAACTAAAATGCAAATCTATAATGATGTTATATCCAATATAATAATCAATTATTTATCTGCTGCTCTCAATCAAAATCAAGTATCTGATAAAATATTCATGACATGTACAAATGACAGAGGTTACATCAGCTATAAATCAAACACATTGTTATTTTTTACGTGTTGGTAAACAGGCTTGAAAACATCGCCACAAAATGAGATCAAATAGTCGTTTCTGAGGAATTCTATATCTCTATTGACAAATGTCAACTTTTGGAGCACGAGCGTCAGATCATACTTAATGTCATATAACATACTTCTAGCCCATACCAAACACTTCAGACGAAATCTTAATCATCCCATGACCCAAACACTTCTTCCCAGGCCATGGCCTTCACTCATAGGTATGTGACCCCTTCCCCACCCCCTTGTATCAATGCTTCAAGATCATGGTAACTGGGCCTTGAGAACACAAAGCTATAAAACATTTGAAACAGTCAAAAATTTCATTCATACTTAATGAGTTGGACGACAGGTTGACTCAGATAAACAGAAAGTCGTTTATAAACCAGATGATAGCGTCAGATAATGAATGAAGTTACATATTTAAAATTATATATCATATGTTATGTATGTGACTTCTAGTTGACTTTATATAAAAAAAAGTATTAAATCCTTTACATATTTTTACAATGCACCTCCCAAATAAATATAATTTTCACAAATAAATAGACTTAAAAATGCAATTACCTGTAGTTATACATGTATACCTCAGATTAAAGATGTAATTGATCAAATATTGATTTTATATTCCTTTGTTAAAGAGTATGTTTAACCAGTACTATCACTTCAGATAACATAAACTGAATGAAATAACGGTTGATACCAATGACATCATAAAATAAAGTGAAGGTCAGCGCGACATCAACAGCTGGATGGGACATAACCATAAAACATGTGAGGTGATTGATCATTCCACAATTAAAAATTCACATCCTCATAAAAACAGAAATTCAAAAGTCGCATATCAATATAAGTCGATTTTCATTCTGTTATGTCTAAGGAACTTTCAAAAAGATTTTAATTTAATTATGGGATCAAAATAGAATTTTTGCAAGGGAGGTAGTTAACCTTGATCCAGAAATCATTTCATTAAAAATGCACATTGCCGTTACCTCTAATTACATTCAATTGTGCACAGGTTGATTCAATTGGAAGCTGACTCAGATTTTAATTCTAAAACAGCAAATTAAATGTCTATTTAATAGGACCTATTTTTAAGTATTTTATCATGAGAAAAATACCTTTTAACACTTATCTCCTTGTATACATGCATACTGTATGCTCAAATATATAAAATAAAAAAACAAAAAATAAGTCTAATGTCAACAGTTTATATCCAGGCCACATCTATTCCTAGGTCCTCAGCCTAAATGCAGAAAATAATATTACCAGGTAATATTGACCAACCTTGAGATATATCATCTCAGAGAAATCCAGATCCTATCTTATGCAATGTACATGTATATTACATTGCCATCCTGAGCCATGGATATACATGCAATTATATAAAGAAAATAGCAATGCTTCTATCTGGCATAATCTGTTGCTAGCCATCTTGAATTATCATCTAAAAACAATGTCTATTGACTCACATTAATATCTTGGGATCAATTATAGTTTTAAAGCAAAGATGCCACCAATACCTTGTACACTACTCATCTCAACACTTTTGTTAGCATAGACGCACTCCAAGATAGTCAACAGTATCTCAGAAACAGTCTACAGTATCGAAGTAAATTTGTAAAAGTCAATTAGTGTTCCAGAATCAGTCTTTCATAAACAGTCAACATGTAAATATTATAAAAAAATGTACCATAACACTCAATATTATTATCTTTTAATGAACCAATCAAAGAAAATCCAGTATAACTTACAGTGATCTATTTTTTGAAAAAAAATGTTAACATACTAACCCTGTAGATATCACAGAATGCCTTATTCATCAAGGTTAGATTTTTATTTCTGTATCTTACCTTTCAAATGTTTCTGACTAAAATATGAGCTGCCTGCAGAATGAGGTATAAGTTCTGATTATCCACTAAAGCAGAACAAGCCCACACCCCCACGCCTACATATCATATTTATCCAATACATGTGTAGATTCCAACTGATACATCCCCAAAAATACTTACTTCTGCAAATTAGATTAACGTCACTTTGGCTATGTTTTTAGTTTTGCTATTTTTGACTTTTTTTCGGATCAATTTTGCCTACTTCATTTTGCGAATTTTTGTGAAAAAATCATAGGATAAAACAGTTTATTGAAGTATAGATTTCAACATGCCCATCCAATTGGTGAATCTGGCAAGTTATATATGAATTGGCTCCAAGTGATTTTTCAGGACTTGCAAATACAATTAGACAAATATTATATTTTTACTATCACTTTTAGAATACTACTTGTCTATTCTTAAAACTGTTAAATGACATTGGTCAAGTAAAATTATATCAGATGCTGAAACTGATTTTGAAGCCCACAGTTATTCATTGTAAATTGCTTTTGTCGTATAAACAATTTTTACATTTCGTTTTAACGAAAAACTTGAAATTTGCAAATCCACAAACCAGCTATTCCCAACAAACAAAATGTGATTATTTCATATCATTTGCTGGTAGCATATGCAATTAACTGATTCCAATGATATTTGAAATGTGATATTCATATAAATACGGTAAAAATCAGTAGTCTTAAGAAACATGATAAATGATAAGTTCATTGCGTTGTTTTATCCGGGAACAAGATTAATGATCAAACCAGAGAAATAGCGATTCGTAATTACATTTCCTCGGTTGCATTCCAATAGAGATTGATATCATAACTTGGGCGTGATGATGTAATAATCATAAGGGGAATGCTCAAGGTGTTTCCTAATTAATAATATTCCAAAAATGGAAATCTCTCATGAAGAAAGATACACCCTCAACAGGTTATCATAAACCCTTGAATACAATTGGTCAGTTTCAGTCATGTGACTGTCAAGCATGACGCACCATCGTCCAGTATGTCCCAACCGAATTTCATCTTGCAGCCCCTTTCTAGTTCTTCATTGGGATAGGGACCTAACGAATACTGTACCTTATAAGTTCACCTAATACCAGAGCCAAGAATCTCGGAGGAGCCATAATATAATTTCTACATGTTTCATAACAATGCTATGCATTAATATCTGAACTAAATAGGTTTTTATTCATAATGTGACAGGAGTGATCAGGTACAAATCTTCTCTAGTCAAGAATTTATGATCATAACACTACACCCTGCCTTTATATCTGAAGTTTCTTTACTGCTTAAGTAGCAGGAGTAATCGGGTATAAATCTTTTTAAGATGGCAATTTATGATTATTGATCAAAGAAAGAATCTACAGGTTTAGATGATATCAGGAAATTAGAAGGCAGAAATGGCTGAAGCAACAAAGTGTATAAATATTAGTGATTTATTATTTCTACCTCTGGCTTTTCACTCTAAGACTATCAATCATTCATTGTTTCCT